CAAGAACTGGTAGGGGAACAGGAATTGGGAAGGGGTGTTGGGTGTTGCTTGCCAGCAGGGATGGCCAGAGAGTGGGCAGGAAGCATAGTGACTGGGGTTAAGGCACCTTGTTTTGAATGATAAGTGAGGGGAAGATATTCCAGATTCAGGGAAGGGTCGGAAGCAAAGAGAAATGGGAGTGTGGGAAATAGGGATTCTGATGTGCCCTAGGTGAACAGCAAAGCTGGAATTTTCACACGCTACCATCTGGTATATCTTGGATTTAAGATTTGTATGTCTTTGCATATGTGTCTTGTCTCTCCAGCTAGACCATGTACTCGAGGGTAGGGATTCTGTGTTAAGATAGTTTGTATTCTCCCCTCTCCCCACTCCCCAACCTGGTGCTCTGCACATTATAAATGATCAGTAAAACTGTTTTTAATATATAGGAGCTTTGTGTTCCTGGAGACTCAGCCTTTTGATTCTTTGGTTACTGTGGCATGAATTTACCAAGACAAGAGTACCCATGGCCCCTTGAAGTGAGCAAGGCAGGTTTCAGCTCTGGAGCTTTAGAGCAGTTCCAGAAAGCTGGCACTCTCACTTGCTGCAGCTGATCAGGTTTAAGAATAATGAGGCCTTTTGTAAATTCTCACCTCCCTTCTGCAGACCAGTAAGACCCCTCTGCAAAGTGTAACGTCTTAAACTCTTCCTAGGACCGGGACAACAGCCCCAGCTCCTGTGCTGGCCTCTTCATTGCCTCCCACATTGGCTTTGACTGGCCTGGTGTGTGGGTCCACCTGGATATTGCTTCACCAGTACATGCAGTGAGTATCTGGAAATTCTCTTCCTATCGTGCTCTCCTAGAGTCCAGGGGTGGGAAACCTGCAGCTTCGAGGCCACATGTGGCTCCCTAGGTCCTCAAGTGCAGCCCTTTGACAATCTAAACTTCAAAAGGATTTGTTCTGTGAAGTTTAGATTCAAAGGGCCGCAGTTGAAGACCTAGAGGGCTACATGTGACCTCAAGGCCACAGATAGCCCACCCCTGTCCTAGGCCCTTTCTCCCTAAATTACACCTCATCGTTATATGTTTATTTGGCATTGCTTTCTTTTCCTGCCTCTTGATTGATTTTTAAAGATGTTTCTTCAGCCAGCCTACATTTACATTTTAGGCAAAACCCCTATTGCTCTCAGCCAAGACTTTTTTCTTCTGTACTCTTGGGATATTTTCTGGCTTTTTGGCTGTGGTTCAGGTTAACCAGAAGCATGTTACGCCCTTAGACTCACTGAGAGTGGCTCAGACTGTCATTGTGGGGAGTTTACACCAGAATCGAGTCTGCCTAGAACAGAACAATTGACATAAGGTCTGTGTCCCTACCCTGGGACGTCTCAGTGCGTGATCCTTAATGTGTTAGGGGGCCCCTAACGTCATTCTCCACCCCCACCCCCAATATTCCCAGCCCAGCAGAAAGTTAGGGATGGGAAGTGGACACAAGTGAGTTCAATTTCCTTTGCCCAGTAGAAAATGGTAATACTTGAAGGAAGCCTTTTGCCATAAACCTATTATAGCCAACTCTGGATGTTCATGCCTACAGAAAAATAGTTGTAGATAATCCAAAGAAAACTTAATATTGGTTTATGCCTGCACTGTGATTTGATTCTCAACAGCAGCAGAATCACTGCCTTCTCATGATACTTACAGGAAAATGCTCCTTCGTGTTCTATTCAGTTGTGTTATGGTTTGCTTCTAGGGGGAACGAGCTACGGGCTATGGTGTGGCCCTCTTGCTATCTCTCTTTGGTGGAGCCTCTGAAGATCCACTGCTGAACATGGTGTCTCCTTTGGGTGAAGATGCAGACCCTCAGGGAGACATGGAAAGAGACTGCAAAAGGCGGCGCCTAGTGTGATCCTCTTCTACCTTAGCCCACCCCTAGGGCCCAGACAACTGTAGGGTCTCTTACCTCACTTTGCACTGATTAATTTTAAGCAACTGCAAGATTCCGCATTAGAAATTGGAATTTTTTTACTGTCGTGATGATGAAATTGCTCCTTCCTACTTTTTAAGAGGTTTGGGGGTTAGGAGGGAGGGAAGGGAGGGTCAGGGGTTGTTTGGGCTTGTTTTTGTGTGAGATGCTGGTTCGCACAGTTACCTAACAATTCGGCCCCCTTGGCTTTTGCAAACTTCACTAACTCCCAAGAACAGAAGGAGAGCATGACCTTCACTGTGACCTCACAGTGTCACTTCAGCCTCTCTGTGGTCCTACAAAGCAGAGGATTATTCACTGTACTGCCATGAGGTCATCTGACTCAGGTTCTTGAGGAAGCTTCTGCTTCTCAAAATGCAGGCAGGAAGAAGAAGCTACCCTGGCTGCATCTCTATAGCATCAGCAGTCCCAACGCCCAGCACATCGTAGCCTCCATTGCTGGCTGCAGGTCTCTCACCTTCTGTGAAGTGCTCTACTCCTTTTAGCCTGCTGCCCAGAGAAAAGGTGCACAGAGCCTAGGCCAGGCCACATCTTCAGCTAGTGCTTCCCTTTGGAAGGACAGAAAATATTAAGTATGATGGATCCAGACTTGAGAATCAATTTCATCTACAGAGTGAAAGGATTCTTTTGCTCTGGCTACTTATAATTTACTTAAGATTTTATTAAATCCAAATGCATCATCCCTGACTGATTTTTTTGATTTTTTTTCTTTTTGTCTTTTTATCATATTGGCGTAGGGGTGACCCGGGCCTCTCCAGGACTATATGTCATCAGAGAACAAACTCTGGGAGGTGCTAGCAAAATGGAAAAGCTTAGCATATAGGTGTGGTGAATGGGAGCGTCTGCTCTCCAAAGACCAGTCCTACTAAGAGTCCCCACCAGGGATATACTTTTTGTCCAAAGTAACTCTGCTAGCCAAACCATTTACTAAATATGGATGAGATATAACCTCTGCATGAGTGGAGGACTCGTATGGATGAACTTACATATGATGGAAGTGTTAAGAATCCTAGAAGAATTAGGTCCTCTTGGAAAATGAGACTCTGAAAAGACCATTGACTACAAAGAGTAGGTACTCAGAACTGATTTGTATCTTCTCCCAGCCCCCTCATTCCTTTCTGAGAATTATGGGATGTCAGCCTTAGATTGACTAGCCCCTCACCTGCATTTTACAGCTAAGGACACAGGCCTGGGGCACAGAGGAGTGGCTTACAGCATTGTCTCTGCCACCTCGTGTGCAAAGCCAGTACTGAAACCTGAGCCTCGGTTCCTGGTACAGTACTTTCTTTGATTTTCCTTATTGGTCTGAGTATGAAAAACACAAACATGAAAGTTGAGGGCTTATCTGTTTAGTTTCATTTCTCAACACAAACTCTAGTTACTGGTTTAGAGAGAATCTGTAGAGCAGATTACAAGATGTATGTTCATGGTAAAGTTTGCTAGAGGATGTAATTGGCTCATTTTGAGTTCTTACAGCTTTCCTCCTTTGGAGACTAGGTAGTTAAGATTACAGATATAAAAGAAAACAGCTGGGCCCAAAAGGTCCAGCTCAGTTAACTCTTTGAAGACTCAATAATCCTGCCAATATTAGTTAGTTCCTGCCAGAAGTTAATTCAAATCTGCTGTTTGAGGCTTCTTGCTGTGTCCCAAATCTGTCTGAGAAGCAGCATAAGAGAGAGTTTCCTCAACTTGAAGCCAGGAAGATCTGAGTTTGAATCCTGCCTACATACTATCTGTGTGAACCTGAACATCAGGAGAGGGCATGGTACAGTAGAAAGAGCTTTGGGATTTGGATCCAGAAGGCGGGTTCCAATCCCATTTCTGCCGCTTATTGCTTGTGACTCTTTTCAAGTCATTTAACATCTCCAGGCCTTGATTTCATCTGTAAATAAAGTACTAGATGGCTTCTAAGAGCTCTTCCAGCTCTGAATCTATGACCCTGTAATACTCTGAGCCTTAGTTTCCTCATCTATAAGAAGGGGATAATAACACCTAATACGCAGATTTCTTGTGAGGGTCAAACGAAAGGTAGGTAGATAAATAAAGACATTATCTATCTATCTGTAGCACTTAGCACACCTTAAATCCCCATGTAAATGTGAGCTGTTGATTATTTTGCCCCAGGGGGGGAAAAACCTGGGCCTCATTTGGACTTAGATGACACAGTCTTCAGTAATAAGGAGTTCCCTGTGCTTTTGGGAGCCATGGTCCTACTGCCAGCTAATCATGGAGCTACCTGAGGAAGGCCAGCAAAGGAGAGCTCAGTTTGGGTGTGGGGAGGCTGGCATTCCTTGGGAATAGCCTCTCTCTTTAGGGAGCTGAGACAGGCATGGGATTGCACCAATAGCCCTCTGCTAGATGCTGATGAATGCAAATCTGACCTGGCTCACTGAGGGAGGGAAGAGGAGAGGCCAGGCTTTCCTTTACTTCCTGAGATTTGAATGGCGGGCCTCTTCTTATATGTATCTTTTAAACAAGGAGTATGGTCACTGCGCAGCGTCCAGAATTGTATGTCCCTTCTGAAACTTTTGGTGTTGCCCTTTTCTGAGAGAGAAAAGTGACTCTTTCTTTGTTCGTCACAATTTATTGAACAACTGGTTTCTGAGTTGTACCATAATGTAGTTTAAAAAAAAGTTCCTGCCCCTTTTGGAGCTTACAGTCTAATTGAGCTAGCACCTACATGAGGAGTTAAATAACGGTACAGAAGATTTCAAGACCACCTAATTAGCTGCCATGCCCAAGAGTGGGGACCTGCAAGTCTGTGTCCCAGGAGAGGAGTGATTGCTGCCAGTGGCTGTGTGGTCTGTCAGACTGTCCAAGGCCATCCACTGGCACATGCAGCAACAGCCAGACTTTCCTCTGACAGCAAAAACCATTGAAAGACTTACACTCCTACACGTCACCGTCGCCTGCTGCCCATGTTAGTAACAGTGACAGCAGCAGAGGAGTGCTTTCCTTGCTTCAGCTTTGGCCGGGGCTACCTGCCAGCAGTACAGCAGGGCCACAGTGCTAGGCAGACTGCCGGGTGACCAGCCATGAGGGGTTTGTTCTTTGTGCACCGAGAGCTAGGCTTCAGCAGGGAACGCAGGTGGATATGGGGGAGGGTATCCACATGTGGTCTTGCATGATTGCCAGGACCCAGATAACTGATCCACAGGTTGCTGGGGAGGGGGCTGGGCCTCTCGGGTCCACTTGATCATGATCTCTGGGGAACAATACAAAAAGATGAGCTTGGAGAAGAGCTGCTTCTCCAGCTCAAGGTCACCCATTTCCCTGACCAGGAAAATGTCAGTGCAAAGCTTGAGGATGCGGTCCACATTGGGGAACTCCTCATACATGATGCATCAGGAGATGTCATTGAAGTGTTCCCGGATGAACTTAGCAATAACCATGACAGCAGACACGTACAGCCCAACAATACTGTGAGGGAGACAGGGAGAAAGCAAAAAAAGCCTTTACTATGTGACTGGGGACAATCTAGCTCATGTTATAATTATTTTATTTCAGCTCCCTCTGTTACAGCGATCTCTGTCCATCTATAACTTATAGTTTTAAAGGACTTGTCCACAAGTTTCAGAAGCAGGATTTTAACCCAGGTCTCTCCTGACTCCAAGTCCAACAGTACCACACAAACCTACTTCTTGAAATTGGGGGTGAGGGGTGGGGAGTGCTGACAAAAGATAACGAATTAGGCACAAAATTGGATAGAAAAAGGAATGTATTGCTTGCACTTGGGAAACTGCACAGTGCTTCCCATGGTCCCAAGCTACCCTGGTGTAACAACCTAACTTAACAACAAAGCCCGCAAATGTTCTGGTGAAGCTCTATGGTTGTGAATCTAGGAACACCACAATTTCTGAAGAATCAAAATGCAAGCAATCCAATTTTTTGTTTGTTTGTTTGTAAGGCAATTGGGGTTAAGTGACTTGTGCAGGGTCACACAGCTAGTAAGTGTCAAGTGTTTGGTCTGAGGCCGCATTTGAACTCAGGTCCTCCTGACTTCAGGGCCAATGCTGTATCCACTGTGCCACCTAGCTGCCCCCTATTTCTGATGACAAAAACACCCACCAAACCCTTTATACTTGCCACTGAGGCTAAATAGAGTTAAATTTTTGTGATCACTACTCATTTGTATTTTTGTCACATCCTTCTAAAAAGCCCATCTCTCATTTTTGCTCATGAAATCCTGGGGAAGGCAGAGGTGGAACTCTTCTTATTTTGTGGTTGGACATATTGAGGCCCCTGAGAAGTGTAATGATTTGCCCAAAGTCACCCAGCAGGTGAGTAGAATAGCCAGGCTTGGGGTTGGGGTTCTTTCCACTCGATGACAATGAACACTTGGATATCAGCCTTCGGCTCATCTTCGTTTATATTTGTGTTCATTGTCTGGTGCTCCCTAGGTACTCAAAGTTTGTAGATACATTTTGGGACATACTTTTTTTTTTTCCTGTTCAGACCTGTGATTTCTCTGGAGTAGGAAAATTCCTCAGTGAGTAATCTCTCAATGCAGGTCAAGACTTTCTCTGCAACTCCTGGCCTTAGGAAGTTATGTAGGAGAGCACTAAAGTGACCTGCCCAGGGTCACTCAGCCAATATATGTGAGAGGAAGGATTTGAACCAAGGTCTTCCCATCAGTAAACATTTTTAGCAGTGCCCTTAGGGAATGTGCATGAATATAGAGGCTCATCATAAAGCTCCATATACTTTCAAACTTTGATAACTTGAAGTTCTAAGGATCAGAGACTTGAGTTCTTCTCCTGGTTTTTCCTTTGTGTGACTAGAAAAGTCAGTGCCTTTCTCTAGGCCATTTCCCCCCATCTATAAAATGGATAAAACTGGGCTCAATCCCATAGGGCTGACACTGGTTTTTGGTTTGTTCTAGCTTCAGAACTACCACCAGCCTTATAAGCACTGCTGGGCCCTTCTGTGGCATCCTAAAGACAACCTGGGCCCTTTCCAAACAGGGGGGAGCTCCCCCAGGAGATAACTTGATTTCTTACCCATATCCTGCAAGGAAGCCCAGGCTCTGGGGGCTGACTTTGTCACTGTAGATAATGGTCTCGAGGTCCCAACTGCAGCCTCGGTTCTTTGCACAGCTGGATCTCCACTCTTGGATAACCTACCACTCAGTGGTCCCGGAGCCTGAGGATGAGGCATTGGCCTCCAGCTGCTACAGCTGGATGGTGATGTTTCATTAGAAAGCCAGCTTGTCGATGTCCTGGGGTTTTTCAGAATGGACTGAAAGAAAAGGGAACCACCAAAGATTCACTCCAAGGCGGACCAACAGCCTCTCCTCACTGAGAGGAAGTCAATCTCAGGATTTTCTTCAGGCTTGGATGAGAATGGAGGCATTGTCCTTGACTTAACGCCAGTTGCCTCCTCCCACCCCAAAACAAAAGTTCTAAGGTAGGAGTTGCAGTGTGGCCTAATAACTAGAGAGCTGTCTGCAGAGTTGGGAAAATCTAGGTTCAGATCCTGCCTGTGCCACATACTAGCTATGTGACCTTGGGTAACTCACCCTCTCAGTGGCCTTGTCTGTAAGACTCAGTGCCTGAGACTAAAAATTGAAAAAAGGTACCACTTTGCAATTAGTAAACAGGTTTCCTTCTAGGTCTCTTTTTTAAAAAGTCAAAAGCTACTGATGACATTGAGGTGATGGACACGATATAGAATGAGATGTGTGGTTTTGGACCGAGCCAGTACAGGAATTTGTTTTGTTTAATTATACAAATTATGCAAAGATTTTTTTTTCCTTTGGGGTGGGGGAAAAGGAGGGAGAGTAGAGAGAGAAATACAGTTCTCAAGAAACAAAAAATGAGAAGAGGAGAGAAGGAATCCCAGACAAGAAAAGCTTTGAAACTTGTATATTGAATGTATAATATACTTAAAAAGAAAGGCAAGCTGTGCACAACAGGGATTCACTGTTTCTTGTAGTCTTGCTCTACGTTATATGTGGAAATACTCAATTGTTTGGTTCAAAAAAAATGTTAAGGAAAAAAAAAAGAGTTCAAGGCAGCATGCAGAGGTAGGGCATTGTTTTGGCTTTGGTTTATAAATCTCCTAAGGCCTCTCTGCTGCCTCCCAGAGCATCAGAATCAGCAATGCAAGCAGGGCCAACATCAAAGAATCATTGACTTAGATTTGAAAAGGATCTTAGAAGCCATCTAGTTCAGGACTCTTATTTTACAAAGGAATAAACAGAGGCCTATAGTAGTAAAGTGACTTACCTAAGATCACATGAAAAGTGAAAGAGCCAGGATTCACCCCAGGTCTTTAAATCCTAATCCCGTGTTCTTTTTACTACTCTTCATGAAGACCTCAAAGAATTAGCAGTCCAGTTCTCTGACCTCCCAACACCTCTTCCACCCATTCTATTCTCTACCCTTCAAGATTGCAGTCATTTTATGTGCCAAAGCAAATCATTCCTTCTACTTTAAGCAAAGTGTCTTCCTCAGCTGGGAGGAATCAACAGTGTGGCCAGGTTCAGTTAGGGTGAGGGCTCAGTTGGTTCAAAAGCATACTAAAAGGTCCATAGGAAAAGAGGCCTCTTAGTGTAAGTAAGAACAACAGGTCTGGGGCCATATGTGAAGCTGACCGTTGGCCTGAATGCCTTCCCAGCTTCCAGCCGGTGAGCAATCTTAGCTTCTGTTCCAGCTGTTGTCCTCAAAGCTTTGGGGATCAGACCAGGAAGAGTTCTTCAATAGAAGAGAAAGAAAAAAATTAACTCATTATTTTGTTTTACTTTTTATCATGATCACAACATAAAATATGCTGGTAAGCTGATGGTGATACTGTTGGCTACTTAAAGCAATGAAATTATTTCTAAAGCTTTCTTAAATCTCAATCCCCAATACACCCTCCCCCACATACTTTTAAACATCAGTTTAAGAGTAACCAGGGATTCTTTAATTTAGAAGCCAAGAGTTTGGTGACTGGATTCATTCTTTTCCATGTAATGAGATGGAAGGCTTCTGGAATTTGATTGCCTGGATTTTGATGTGCTAGGAAGGCCAGAAGCCACCTGGATCAATCCTGAAACCTGACTGAGGTGTCTGTCTTATGCAGGAAGCCCAGCTCCAACAGAGTGGCTCTAGTTCTGAAGCTGTAAAACTGAAAGTAGGAAGGGGCTGGGTTATGAAGAGCTTTAAATGCCCAACAGGTGAAATAGAAACACTGCAGTTTGTTGAGTAGGGGAGAATGAAATCATCAGCTCTCTCTAGGAAACTCACTTTGGCAGCCAGGTAGAAGATAGACTGGAGTGGGGAGAGAGTAGGGGTCAGGAGACCAATTAGAAGGTGATTGCAACAGTCTAGATGTGAGGCAATGGGAGCCAGAAATAGGGTGGTGGTTGTGTGATTGGAGAGAAGGAATGCATATGAGATATTGTGGAGGTGGAAATCAAAAGATTTGGTTATGGATTTTATATGTGGGATGAATGAAAGTGAGGAGCTGAGGATAACACCAAGATTATAGGCTAGGGTGACTGGGAGGATAGTCATGCTCACAACGATGATAGGAAAGTTTGGAAGAGGGGAGGATATGGGGGAAAGATAATGCATTCTATTTTGTTTTAAGTTTGGGATGCCTATGTGACATCCAGTTTGAGATGTTCAAAAGGCAGGTGGTAATGTTAGATAACTCAGGACTGAGAGAGAGAGTGGGGTTGGATATGTAGATCTGGAAATCATCTGAAAACAGAATCCATGAGGCCAATGAGATCTCCAAGTATAGAGTGAAAAGAGAGGTCCAGGACAAAGTCTTAGGGAAGAGCCACAGGTTGCATTGGGTGTGACACTGATGAACAATGAACCAAGGAGATTAAAAAGGAACATTTGAACAGATAGAGGAACCAGGAGAGACAAGTGTCATGAAACCCTAGAAAGGAGAGAGGATGGTGTCAAAGGCTGCATAGAGATCAAGAAGGATAAAGACTGAGAAAAGGCCATTAGATTTGGCAATAAAGAAATCATTAGTAATTTAGAAAGGGCAGCTTCAGTTGAATAGGTCTGAAGCTAGATTCCAGAGAGTTTAGAAGAGAGAGTAGAGAAAGTAGAAGTACCTAGTATAGATGACTTTCTCAAGGAGTTTAATTGAGAAGGGGAGGAGAGATAGGATGATAACTAACAGGAATGGTCAGATCAAATGAAGGTTTGGTTTTTTTTTTAAGGATGGGGAAGATATGGGCATGTTTGTAGGCAGCAAGGAAAAGCCAATACATAGAGACTGAAGATAAGAGAGTGAATGGGGTCGTTCTGCTGGAGAAGTTAAAAGGAGATAGGATCAAAGGCTCATATAGAACAGTTGACCTTGGCAAGGAAAAGGGCCACTTCTTGATCCAAGACTGGATTGAAGGAGGAGATTGTGGAAGAGGATGGCTGAGTGATGACAGATGTAGGGAGTGGGGAGGTAGGGGGGAGGAGAAGGGGAGAAGTTCTTGGGGAACGACTTCCATTTTTCTTTTTCAGGGAAATATGGGGCAAAGTCTTCAGCAAAGAGGGTGGGGGGAGGGACTGCTATAGGAGGCTTGAGAGGAGATGAGAAGATTTGGAACTGCCATGGTAGAGAGTGAGATAGCAAATTAATTAGGGATGAGTAGAATGATTGTCTTGCTTAGTGAGGACTCAGTTGAGATTAGATAACATAAATGTGTAGTTGGACCCATTCATCTTGATTTCCCCCATTCCAGGATGGGAATAGGTCCAAAACAGGTGGATAGGGGGAGTAATTCTGGGGTGGGATTTGGCAAGGTGTGATTGGCAATAGAACAAAATGATAAGAGATTTGAGAGTATTATAGAATTGCGTTGGTTAACCTAGGAGTTGAGATAAGGAAGGAAGGGGAGTGTAGCCAACGTAAGGGTAATGGCCTGGGAAAGAATTGAGGAGTGGAGGGAATAAAGGTCCCAGTGAGTACAAAGAACAAATTTAGGGGTCACAGGGTATAGGCAAAGATAGAATGATAAAAGATTGTGATCAGATAAAGGAATCCTGGGGTAAGTGAATGTGGAAGATAACACATACCCATGGGTGATGGCAAGATCAAGGGAATGACCATTTCTTTATGTAGCTGAGGTGAAGTCAAGGAGTAGGTCACAAGAACTGAGCAGACTGAGGAACTAGGAAGTGAGGGCATTTGGAAGATGAGAGCAGGATAGAGAGAGGAAAGACTTTGAGCCAGGTACTGAACTCATTAAGGAAGGAAGGGAAATGCCCTAGGAAGCAGTGTTAAAGGTTAGAGAGAAGGACATTAAGAAAGGTTCATAATTAGATCATTCAAGGTCATCCCTCAAGGTCCATCCTTGTAGCAGGTGGTAATGTGTTCTTGGAGACCTCCTCACAGGTAAGATTCCTGGAAACTATTAGGGGAGGGTGAAGAGGGGAGTTCTTGAGCAGTGGGGATGATTTTGCCACAAACCATGCTCACCTTCACATGGGACCCTTGTGAAATATTTGCGTTTTCCTTGTAACAACCCTGTAAGATTAGTGGTGCTGGTATTACGATTATTTTATGAGGGATGGCTGCTGTGCTTTGCAAATGAAAGGGGAGTAAATGGGAGAACAGAAGTAAATTGTTTTAAATGGTGGTAGAATAGAACAATGCCAGAGGCTGGAGTCTTCAGAGGGTAGAGAAAGAGACCCTAGGTTCAGAAAGGCCCATGTCTTCTAGTCCCAAGGATGTCCTGGAAAAAAGAGAAGTGGGCACATCTACTAGAATCACCAAGTCTCACAGTTGTAAAGGCCCACAGAGGCCAGCTTGATCAAACCATACCTAAATGAATGCCCTCTGCAACATTCCTAACAAGCAGTCATCCAGCCTTTTCCACTTTGATGCTTCTAGTCATTGGGAACCCACAATTCACTTTGGGACAGCTCTGATTACTAATATGGCCCAAACCTGCATCCCTGCTACTTTTCCCCATTGCACCTAATCTTAAATCCTAGCAATAGTAGCTGCCCCACTGGGGACCCAACTGGCCAGTTCCAGTCAAGCAATGCAGCTCCTTCCTTCTCTTCCCTTCCCTTCCGTCCCCTCCCTCCCTCCTTTCCTTCCTTCCTTCCTTCCTTCCTTCCTTCCTTCCTTCCTTCCTTCCTTCCTTCCTTCCTTCCTTCCTTCCTTCCTTCCTTCCTTCCTTCCTTCCTTCCTTCCTCTCTTTCCATGCACATAGGGAATCATACCCTTACCTGATGGTGCTCTGCCTAAAGGAATATAAATTTTGATCACTGCAACCTAGCAAGATATCTTGGAGTTTACAGGCTAGATTTCTTTTTGAAGGACCATGCCTTAAACCCAAATCCCTCTGGCTCTCATTGATTGGCCAACAATGGTCCCAGCCCAAGCTCACTTGGTCATTGTTTGGATTGAGATGGCTCAGAATGAGTGTAAATAGCAGTTATTTCAGTTTTGGCCAGAAACCTTGAGGACCTTCCCCTCCCAAATTGATTTTATTATTATTATTTTTTTAACTAGGTAAAAGAGGCCATTTTATTTGCCTCATTTTTACCTAGCCTTAATCACTGAATGGGCATTGCCTCAGACAAACTGAGACCTGGGAAAGACCTGAGCTCAAAAAGGCCAAGGCCTCCCACTGCCTCAATGCCATTTCCAGTCATCCTGATCTCTATCTTGCCACTGGACCCAGATGGTTCTGGAGGAGAAAGTGAGGCTGGTGACTTTGCACAGCCTGCCTCACTTAAATCCAATTCATTTGGAAGTCATGACATCTCCTTCCTGATGTCATTGGTTTTCTTTGAGAATGAAGGACAAACAGCAAACAACAAATCCTAAATAGAAATCTGACTTTGACCTTACTCTGTATCAGAAGACATGGAATTAGTATCATTAAGGGGAAAGGTGATGGAAATTCAAAAAATAACTTTTGCTTTCTGTAGCCCCCACATTTATTCCGTTATGCTCAGCAGAAAGCAGGCCACAGCTTAAAGGAGCTACAAAAAGAGTTTGGAAATACCTACATGGGCTCATTCCTGATGTGGGTAAGCATTTAGACAATTTGATCTCTCATTTCCTTATCTTTGTAACACACGGTGTACTTGCCGGATGCTTCAACATTCTTGACTATAGAGACATTCCTGAAAGGGGAGGATGAAGTTCAGTGAGGAATGCTGAGCTAGCCCCAGCTAAAGTCCAGAGGGTGGAAAGGGCTGCTTCCTGCACGCGCCCCCCCCCCCCCAAGCTCTGACTCAAATTTTGCTTCCAGCCTCCTGGCCCCAGCTGCTACAACCAGGCAACTGAAGGGAAATGAAATCTTAATTACTTCTAGCCTCAAAACATGAGCTGCTCTAGCCCAGGCACATCCTTGGGGACACCCCACCCAAGCTACCTCAGCACACGTGAGCCAGAGGAGATGGGGATTGGCCACAGAGAAAGGACTATGCTGAAGGAAACTTGTTTTCTTCCCCATTCTGTACTTCTCTCAGTCCCTCTAGGATCATAGATAGGATTAGAGTTGGAAGGGGCTTTATGGATCATCTTGTTTAAATATACCACTCCCCCTTACTTCACACATGGAGAAACTGAGGTGAGGGGTGGGATGGGGTGGGGAAGGACTTGCCAAAGATCTCATAAACATAAAGTAACAGGGCTGAGAATTGAACTGAGGTCCTTTGACATTACCCCTAAAATTCTATGCAGGATAGAGGTAACTGCTTCTGAATAAATTAAATAGGCATACTGATTAAAGCATAGGCATGCTGCTTACGAGACCTGGATTCAAATTTCAGCTCTGCCACAGTTGTGTGACCTTGAGCAAGTCATTTCTCCTCCATGGTCTTCAGTTTCCGGTGTGTAAAGTGAGAGGATTGGACTAGAACCTCTGTGAGGTTCTTCTTAGCCCTAAAATCTCACGGTCCTGAGACTCCCTCTGCAGCTGTTCAGCCATGAATGGACAGACAGGCAAGGATAAGACGATAGGTGAAAAGAGCAGAGCACTGCACCAGAGAGGAGAAAGGGCATTTTTAAAAAGTGTTCTGCAGGCACCAGAGGGGCCATGGGGTGTGGTAATTACCCCACAACAATCTGCTGCTCAATAAGGCCTCTCTCAAGGACAAAATAGAAAAAGTACAGTTTTTCCCAACTGATCTTCCCTTAAAAAACATTTTTGGAAGGTTCAGGAGAACAAATTTCAAAGCCCCTTTCTATGCTTTCCTAAAAATTTAGGGAAGGAGGGAGAGAATTTGGAACTCAAAAATTAAAAAAAAACCAACAAATATTTTAAATTGTTTTTATATGTAATTGGGAAAAATAAAATATAAAAACTTTTTTAAAATTTGGAGGTTTTTTATTTTGTTTTGTTACATTTTTTTATGGAGTAAGTAAATGTTTTCTGTGTGAAGAAACTTTAAGGGATGAGAGCAGGAGAAACACCAGGAAGTTATTCCTCTCTCCTGCCTGTCAGCCTGGGCATCCATGAGACAAAGGAAGCCTGGGGTTCCTTCTGTGGCTGGGGGATAACACAATCATTTTTCTCCATTCAGTCTTCACAACTAGGGCTAGAAATAAAACAGATGCTATCTAGGTGCCATGGGAGTCCCCTGGCCTCCCACCAGCAGAGTGCATCCTCCAAGCAGTGGGGTCCAAACAGTGAGTTTGGACCAAGCTGTTCATAGCAGGAACTTGTGAGACATGTGCACTTTGCTTAGAACAGTTCTGTGAGCTTAGTCATGCAAAGATCATTATTACCATTTTTGCAGATGAGGAAACAGAGAAGTGATATGACTTGCCCAGGGTCATAAGCCTCTCCCTCAGAACTGGAAGGCTTATAATCAGTGACTCCCAACTCTTTGGGTAGGTTTGTGTTAACTCTCTCCTTATGTTTCTTCATCAGAGATGCAAACCAGTTGGTGCAGACATGGGGAAGATCATGCTGCGTGTGACCAGGAGCAGGATAACACACGCCAGGGGTGAACCTTCCATCAAAAGGCCACACTTGAGGACCTAGAAGGCCATACGTGGCCTTAAGGCCGAAGGTTCCCCACCCATGGCATACACACATAAAGAATACTTTTCCCTTCCCAACAGGTAATGGGGCCATATTAACTCTTGACTCCACAGTTCCAAAGGAACAGTTCAAGTTCTCTGACACGACAGAGTGTTTAAATCGTGAAAGTTGTGATGTGTGGGACCCATTTTAGGAGGCAGCATGGTAGAGAGAGGAAAGGGCACTGTCACAGAGTTGGAAGACCACGCTTTGAGTACTGCCACTTCGGCCTGGCTGACTCACCCCTCTGGGTCTCAGTCTCCACTGTACAATAAGAAGATGGTCTAGTTGATCCCTGAGTGCCCTTCTCACTAACCTTCTGTGGTTCAGAAACTTAGGAACTGCTGATTGGGTTTGAATCCTCCCTCCTACACTAGCTGTGTGACCCTGGGCAAGTCACTTCACCTTGCTGAGCGTCAGCGTCTTCATCTATAAGATGGGACACTAATGGTGCTTCACTGCATTGAGCTGTGAGAATGAAATTGTATAATTACATAAGGCACCTTATAAATCTTAATATATCTATATATATAGATGTGAATTATTATAATAATAATTATTATTATGCACAGCCCTAAACTACAAATTTAGTCAGAAAAAGAAATAGTGTGGTGGAGTAGATAGAGTCAGTGCTGGACTTGCAAACCACAGTGTTGTTGCTATTGCTCAGTCACGTCTGACTCTTCGTGACCCCACTTGGGCTTTCTTGGCAGACGTACTGGAGTGGTTTGCCATTTCCTTCTCCAGCTCTTTTTATAGATGAGGAAACTGAGGCAAACAGGGTAAAGTGACTTGTCCAGGGTCACACAGCTAGTAAATGTCTGAGGCCAGATTCAAATTCAGATCTTCCTCACTTCGGGCCCAGAACTGTATCCACAGCACCACCTTGCTGCCTCACAAACCAGAAGACCTGAGTTCAAATCCCTTCTTTGACATGAGCTAAGTGACCTTGGGTAAGTAATTTAGCCTCTTTGGGTCTCAGTTTCATTATCCATAAAATGAAGAGTTAGACCCAGAGATGTCTAAGGATCTCTTCTACCTCAAAATCTTTGATCCAATGAACCCTCTTTCTCCTTTGTATGTGACGATTGCCAGGATGTGTTAAGTCATCCCCGCTACTGAGGGAGTGGCTCAAAGCATACATCCAGCTGTGTGCATGGTACTAATTGTGTATGGGTTCATGTGTGAAGTGTAATTATTCAGAAGGTATAATGGAAAAAGCACTGGACTTGGAGAGGAGGTCTTAACCTCTCATTCTGGTGTTCTCCTTATTGAGCAAGTCACCCTCCCTGGTCTTAGGTCTCCTCATCTGTAAAATTAAGGGGTGGGACTGGATGACCTTTATGGTCCCACCCAACTTTAAAACCCTCTGATCTTATTGGCTCCCTAGGCAGACATGTTGTTTGTATAAAGCCCAAGCTGTAAGGACAGAGTGAAGAAAAATGATCGTGTACAAGCATCCAACCCAACCCAGGCACCTGTCTGGTGGTTTAACTGCAGCCTTGTTCCTCCTCAGGAGTCCCCGATGCTTCCTGTCGCTATCCACCTCTGGGAGAAAAGTGGCCTGAATGCTTCCTGACCATGACTTCTAGGTCAATGAGCAACTAAAGAATGAATCAAAACTACATTTATTAAGGACATTCCTCTGTGCAGTACCCTATAAGAGACTGAAATCCCCACTGAAGATCCTGAAATGTCTGCCTGCAGGTGCTCAGACATGCAGGAAGTGTCCTGGGTGAGACAGATCCCTGGTTACCTCTGAATGGTCCACACCAAGGTGACATAGTCAGCCGTGGCAGTGGAGAGCTCGGTGATCATGGCTGCCTGGTTGGCAGGGCTGATGTTCCAGAGGAGGCTGGCATGACTTTTGATCTTTGCCACAGTGATATCCTCTGCATGATAGTTTGATATGAACTGCATGGCAGCCTGGGAGGCAGGGAGGGGAGGAAAGGAAAAGGGAGTGGGGAATGTGAACTGCTTAATCCCAGGACATGAGCCCTAGACCACAAAGACCATCCAGGTAAGACGTTCCTCAACAGGGGTTTGTGAAGTTTTTTCTCATATTTTGATAATGATTGAAACCAATAAACTTGGTTTCCTTTGTGATCCTATTTATTTTATCTTATGCATTTAAAGATATTATTCTAAGAAAGGCTCCAAAGGCTTCATCAGACTTACAGAGGGGCCTATGATGCAAAACCAAAACTGGTTAAGAACCCCTGCTCTAAATCAAGCCTCTCATTATACAGAGGCAGATAGGTGGCATGGTGGATAGATTGTTGGACGTGCAGTCAGCAAGACCTGAGTTTGAATCCTGCCTCAGACATTTAACTAGCTGTGTGACCCTGGGTAAGTCACTTAACCTCTCTCAGGTTTAAATTTCTTCATCTGTAAAATTTGAGATAATAATAGCTCCTCCCTAACAAGGCTGTTGTGAGGATCAAATGAGGTAATGAATTAGCTGGTAAACCTTCAAGGCATATATAAATGTTAGAGATGATGATGCTGATGATATAACTGAGGTCCAAAGAACAGAAGAAACTTTGCCCAAGGTCACCTAGCAAGTTAATGGCAAGGATGATAATAGAACCCAAATCCCTTGGCTTCTAGCCCAGGGATCTTTCCATCATGCCACATGAAGAATGAAAGAAAAAAAATCAAAACACAAAAGTGTTCTAATCTGAAAATACAAGGTCTCCTTTAAGGGCCTTCCAAGAGAATATACAAAATCCTGAGGGACCTTCTTGGTGCTTGGCTAGGCAGGTACCCTCCCCCCACTAGGTGAGCTAAGATAAGGGAGAAAAGAACAATGGAAGGAGCATGAAATCTTCATGAGCAGATGATGTCTTGGTGCTTTGATAGACACTTACTGGATGGAAAGCATACTGAGCTGTCAGGTTGTCAAATGCTTTCTGAGAGAACGGGATAAGAACTCATGGTAAAAAGGGTCTAGGAAAAAAGGGAAAAGAAAATGACACTGAAGTACATCCATTGGGCAATGGTCATTCATTAAATGAGGACCTGTATGCCAGGTGTTCGAAAAGTTTCAGTGTACTTTTAAGTTGCAGTAGCTATTAAATAGCTTTAATATTGGTATTTAATATTAAGGTTTAATAGTTCTGAAAAGCTTTAGTACCAATTAGCATATTTTTAGTAGCTATTAAAGCTTAAAACCACACCAGAACTTTGAGGACACTGTGTATACTAAGTATCTACTTATTGTGTATCTATATAGCTTCGGACTACTCACACTGTGGAGACATAAGGAACCTACTAGTGCCTTGGGGGAGTCAAGAGTCACAGAGGAGACAAGACACACACACAAATGTTAACAGAAAAAGATATACCAATAATAAATTACATTTCTATCATGCCTTAAGTTTACAGCATGCTTTCTTCACAACAACCTGGCAAGGTAATGCCAGCATGACTATCCTCATTTTTGAATAAGCATACTGAAGGCTGAGGCAGTTATGTGATTTACTCAGAGTCCCTAGAGCTATGACATGCTGGAATGTGGCCTAGAAGCCAGTTCTTCTGACTCCAATACTCACTTGATTTCCACTACACCATGCTGTCTTTTTCTATGCCTTTGGACATGAATAGGTGCTAAATTGTGTGGTACAAATCATAGGTAGTGAGAGAAGAGTGTGCTGGAGTGTCAGTGTGTGCTGGAGTAGTCAGAGATAAATATGGGTCCCAAAGGATGGTTAGTATTAGGAGAGGCAGTAAGGATGGTGAAGGAATTCTAAGCATAGAAGATGGATGGCATAAGCAAAGACTCCAAGGCTATACTGGACCTACTGTATGCAGGAGCGCAGTGAGAAGACACACTTGGTTGGAATAGAGGGTTTGATTTACAGAAGGGTTAGGAAAGATTGGCTGGAGACAAATAATGGAGATCCATGAAAGTCAATCTAAATCCCATTCTCCCACTGCTACCATTTTCCTTGCTCCTCTTCCCATTTCCTTACCTCATAACCACTGATGGAAATTTTGATGGAGACATCCAGGGGCTGGTTGGTCACTCCCCCCACTGACTTCAGCAGAGACATGAAAGCCAGTGGAAACCACATGAGGAAAACTAGAGCCAAAGTAATAACACCTCCCTGTCCGTATTTCACAATCTTGTTCTGCTGCTGCCCTGGTAGATGGGGGTATCTCTACAGAGAAGAAGGGTGGCCGAGGGGGAATAGAGAGAAAGGGAAGAACATGGTTACACCAGCTAGGGAGATGAAGGCCTGCTCTCCTTGGGCTGGACAAAAGCAGGTTGGAAATGGAAGGAATAGCTGAAGATAGTTTAAAATGGTGGGGGGAGGAAGGGTGTGAAATGAAAGAAGGTTGATCCAGGGACCCCATAACCCTGAACTCCATGAGGCCAGGAAAAATAATCATGCCCAGGGCTGAGACCTAGTTAGGTCCAAGTTGAGAGCAATGGCTATTGGTTAAGTGTGGAAGGATTTAGGCTGAGCTGTCAATCCTTTAAACAGAATATTAAGCAGAGGTCTCAGTGACAGGGATGGGAGGGGCTCAATGCCAGTGTTGAGGAATAAAGGATGAGGGGAAGGGAAGGGTGTCATTTCAGGATCACAGAACTCATAGCTGGAAGGAACCTTGGAGATCATCAGATCTAACCCACTTCATTTTACAAATAAAGAAAGTGAGGCAAGAGGGAAGATGTGCTTTACTCAACATCTCAAAGAAGGTATCTTTCAAACAAGTAATCCATTACTCTTACCACTCTCCGACAGTACTTCTCTACCCCTCCTTGATGGACAGCAGCTGATGGGAATGGGTGGAATTTACAGAATGACAACCAGCCTGGTCAGTAACCAGACCATTCCATATCAAGCTCTGCTATGATCCAGAGAAGCAGCCATCCATGTTACATGAGGCAATTGCTATGAGGCAGCTAAGTGGTGCAGTGGATAAAGTGTTGGCCCTTGAGTCAGGAGGACCTGAACTCAAATCCAGACTCAGATGCTTACTGGCTGTGTGGCCCTGGACAAGTCACTTAACCCTGTTTGCCCTCAGTTTCCTCATCTGTAAAATGAGAAGGAAAGAGAAGGAAATGGCAAACTACTCCAGTAGCTTTGCAAAGAGAATTCCAAGTGGGGTCACAAAGAGTCAGACATGACTAATCAACCAAAAACAAAAAAGTTAGCAGCTTGGTGGCTCAGTGGATAAAGCATTGGGCCTGGATTCAGGAAGACCTGGGTTCAAATTCAGCCTCAGACACTTACTAGCTGTGTGACCCTGGGCAAGTCACTTAACCCCTGTTTGTCTTAATTCACTGGAAAAGGAAATGGCAAACCACTTTGCCAAGAAAACCCCATATGGGCTCACAAAGAGTCAATTAACATGATCACAAACCTTCTCAGATTCCCTCCAGCATTTCATGATGAAAATACTGGCATACAGGTCCTCCAGGCAGATCCAACTAGACAGGCTGAGGGCAGTGTCAGTCCATATCCAGTCCACAACCGTTCTTAGCTCCAAAAGGAAAGGCACGATTCGAAAACTGGAAGAGGGAACAAAATCCAGGGATATTTGCTCCATTATCTGCCATCTCACCCCTCAAAGTCCCAAAGCCTGAACTCTCATCCAGGACTTAAAGGGAGGAGGGTTGTCACTCCTAGAGCAGATATCGGTCCCCATTGCAGGTGTTTCTGAACCATCCTATCATGTTTATATTGTTATTCTTCCTATATTCTTCTGAAGCCATTCCCTATGTATGGAGGAACCTCAACAGAGAAAGTGTATTTGCAGGCAAACCAGCCAGATGTGAAGCTGGAAGAATATTTGGAGGGTGAAATCAGATGGCACACCCCAAGGGAATGTTTGTGAAATGCAGAATGCAAAGGGAGGAGGGGGCAACAAGGAGCATGCATATGGCATACAATTATTTTTTTTAAATCATTTCAAAGAATCTCAGAGTTGGCAAGGACCTCAGAGGTCACTTTGTCCAACCCCTACTGGAACAGACATCCCTTCTACCAATTATGTGGAGTTTGCTACCTCCTAAAGCAGCTATTCCGTTTTTGGACAGCTCCATGTGCTAGGAAGCTTTCCCTTTATATCTAGCCAAATTGTGTTCTTCTACAGCATCTACCCACTGCTCTTATTTCTTTCCTCTGGGATCAAGAAAAGCACATCTAATTGTTACATATCATAACAGTCCATCAGATACTAAAAATAAAACTGTCATGTTCCTTACCCCATCCCCAATGTCCTCTACTCTAGACAAAACAGCCACAGTTTCTTCAGCTGAAACTCATGTGTGTGACAAGTCTTATCAATCGTCTTGGTTGACCTCCTCTGGCTACTCTCTGCATGTCAAAGTATTTAAAAATATGGCATCCAGAACTGAACCTAAAATCCTAGATGCTATTGGACTAGGATAAAGGATAGCAGGGTTATCACCTCCCACATTCCCAACTTCTGTTCAGAATGTTTTTGGTCCTGCAGCCAAAACTCACATTTGCAATTTGGGCTTTCACATTATAATGTTGACTCATATAGAGTTTGCACTTCATAGAAACCCCCCAGGCCTTGTTCATATCTGAATCACTGCCCAGCTTGCTACCACTCCCTTGGAAGGATGTGCCCTAGAGTCCCCTTTCATGAGTAAGTTGTGAGTCATAGAAGAAAACAGATGTTGCTCAATTGTACACTTGGACACCAGAAATTTCAGTCCATTCCCTACGTCCTTTTAGAAAAGTCAAGAGATGGTTGAAGATTCCATTCTGGCATAAATATCCCTGAGATTTTCCTGTAAATAACCATGACAACACAAGGTTTTGTGGAAAGTGTGAAGTCTTCTTATTTACCCTTGAAATAGGAAGAGGTTAAGAAAATTGAAGTTTTTGGTCAGAAAGTTGCCCAGGATATGATTTGGGTAGCCACATTTGATCTGATAGGCTGACAAGCCAAAGTAAATACATTTGACCGGGTATCAAATCTGAGCCATGTAGTTTGCACTGAACCTCCTGCAAGTAAACAGAAAAAAATCTGTTATTGGTAAACTCATGAAGCCTCAGTTTTCCATCTGTGTCATGGAGAGAATAACCCCTGCCCTGTTGTTGTAGTCTGGGAAAACTATTTTTTTTTCCTGGCTTAGTCTTTCTCCATCCAATAAACTCTCTATGCCCAAACCATCCCCCTTCTTCAGCCCTGCCCCTTTTCTGGGAAGCCTAGCTAACTGACACTTCCCTACCTGAGAGGTGGGAGAACATCTCAGACCCTCACTAGTCTTGGAGCTGCCCTGTGAAGCTTAGCATGAAGGTGAACTGAGGGGTCCAAAGCCATTTGCGGATTCCTCCTTCTGCTATGGCTTGAAGACCATAACGCCAAGGCTCTTTGACATCATCTCTGGATTCATTCCTTCCCTGCCCTGTCCCAGCCCACCTTTACAAAGATTGCCCTAATACCCTTTCTTCTCTGTGCTTCCTTGTGTGGCTAAGTCATGCAGCCTTCCCTTTTGGACCTTCCTTTAAATGTGCCAAATAAAGCAGCCTACTGCTTTAGCATTAAGCTCAGTGCCCCATCCGGTTCTTTCAAGTCCTTTTTAGTTCCAGCAACAGACCCTAATGCCTACAGAAGGCAACATCATAGGCATTTTAGATTTGGAAGAGACCTTAGAGATCATCCATTTTACAAAGGATGAAATGGAAACAGAGTCACATAAGTTGAAGTGACTTATCCAAAGCTATACACATATTGAATAGGAGTGTTGGATCTTGAACACACAAGTCTCTGAATTTGATTAAAGTGCAGTGTTTTTTCTATTAGATAGAAGGATAGATAGATAGATATGTAAACCAAAGCATGAACAATATTGTGATAATATTTGTTCTTTGTGTGATGAAGAGGGAGGTGTAGAAATCCTTATGCTAAACTATATTGTTTGAATGGGTCTTTGGTCAGAGTTTTGGTCAGAATGCCTGGAGTCCTCATCTACTTTTAATTCTTTCTTTAAATCATTGTAATAGACTTTCAATCTATTACAGTATAGCATTATAGCCTCTTAATTCTTTTCTTTTCCATTTCTGACAAAGGCATCTCGGTGTAGGGAAGGCAGTGTATTGGTGGTAACATCATAGTTTCCCCAGGCAAGCACTTTCTATGCTAAGTTTATTATTCCCCTGACTTACTTAACTGGATCACTAAAGGCCATCTAATTGGTCTTCTACCAACTTCCCAGCAGAAACTGGGGAAAAATATATTCTACTCCAACGATAGTCACTGCCAGTGGCTTCCCTGGGACAGGCATGGTGGGGCTCGAAGGATGGCCAGCCTCCAGCTGTCTTTACCACAAGGCATTAGCACCAATCCTGGCCCTACCACAAAGCCATATTCCACCACCAGTATTAGATGCTGAAAGTCTTCAAGTATCCACTCAAGACAGTTTCCCAACTATGCCTAGAGTGCTCTCCTTTTTCACCTCCACTTCCTGGCTTTGTTGACTCAGCTCAAATCCCACTTTTGCAAAAGGTGTGTCCCCCTATGGCTAGCACCTTCCCTCCAAGATCACCTCCCATTTACTCCATACGTATCTTATATGTATATAACATTAGAATGTGAGCTCCTTGAGGACAGGGACTTTTTTTCTCTTTTCTATGTACCACCAGACCTCAGCATGGTACTTGGCATATAGTAAGCCCTTAATAAATGTTTGTTGGCCAAATGAATGAGATTTGAAACTAAAACATTGCTTTAGTCATGTTGCTGTCTAGGAGAGATCTGCCAGCCTCATGACATTGACCTTATGATAAGTTCCTTTGAGCAAGTCAAGAAGGTTGTATCTCTTTCATTTCATTGAAAAGTTTGTACGACTCAATGAACATTCCTCCTCCTTGTTCCTACAGTGTACCCAGCAGAATGCCTTGCACATAGTGCATAATAATACTCATTAGAGTAAATTGAGTTGAACTGTCTGTACTACTCATACTTAACCACATGGGAGCATTGAGTACTTTGCGTTTTTCACATTCTTGGAAATGAAATGAAAGATTTTCCCCTACATCGATTTTTTTTTGTCCCCCATCAGAAATACCTCTTGGTTACTTCAGGAAGAATGAAGAACAGCCAGAAGTGAACTTCGATAACAAGGACAACCTGAAATACGCACTTGCCATACATGTTTTTTCTCAGGTTGATGGCATGGTCCACGTTCATGCTGCCAAACTGTATGAGGATCGTTGCCAAAAAAGCTTCTGGCACCTGGTCCTCAGAAAGTGTCTCAGAAAAGTCAGCAGCTGAGTATTTCTAACAAGATGAGAAATACTGGTTAGGAAAACACAATCTTCAGGGTACATGGAATGGCTGGCAGAAACAACCCACGCAAACGACTCAGTTTTCCTTAGATACCATCATAATCAGGTCACAGTCTTGCTCAGAAAGTTTTGAAGGCTCTCTAGTTCCTATATAATAAACACCAAACTCATTAGCCTCCTATCCAAGACAACAGGATTGAATGAATTTTAGAGTAAGAAGGGCCTGAGAGGTCATTCAGTTCAACCACCTCATTTTACAGAACAGGGAACTGAGGTCCAGAGGCTACATGACTTAGCAAAGATCACCCAGGTTGCAAATGTCAGAGATGGGATTTGAACCCAAGTTTCATGTTTTAAATCCAGTGGTCCTTCTATTACTCCATACTCCCAAATCCTTCCACAATCATTCTTCAACCTTTCTCTTCAGATCTATGTCCACTACTACCTAACATAAGCCTTTGCTCCTCACAGTCCCCTGGCTGTACCCTACACTTTTCACTGCCATCACTGTGTCCATTCCATTCCCTCAACCTATAATGTCCTTTTTTTCTCTCTCCCTATTGAAATTTTCCCTACCCTCCAAGGCCCAGGCTCAAGCAGTACCATATACATTAAATCCTCCCAGCCAAGCCCACTCTCTCTGTCTCTGCCTCTCTTAACTACCACAGTACTTTCTGTACAATAGAATGTAAGCTCCTTGAGGGCAGGAATTATCACTTTTTTTTTTTACTGTGCATCTCCAGTACCTAGGAGTGCTTAATAGTAGTCACTAGATTAAATTGAGTTGAATTGTCTATTGAATTGTCTTCCTTCCTTCCTCTCCTTTTTCCTCTTGTTTATGTCTTACACACATTTCAGTTGTCTTGATCGATATCTGGCCACTGAATGGCTCTGAAGGAGAAAGGGAGGCTGGTGACTTTGCATGGCCCTCCCTCACTCAAATCAGATTCAATTGCAAGTCATGTCATCATCTCCCTCATATCACAGTCCTCTTCAAGAACGAAGGACAAATCACACACAATCACAATTCACTTAACCACAAACTATACTGCCTTGTCTCTTTCCTTCCTTCCTTCCTTCCTTCCTTCCTTCCTTCCTTCCTTCCTTCCTCCCTTCCTCACTTCTTCCCTTCCCTTTCCTCCTTCCTTCCCTCTCTTTTCCTCTTGTTTATGTCTTTCACACACTTCTCAAGGACAGAGACTATAATCCTTTTTCATCTTGGCATTCCCACTACTTAGCAAAACTTTTCACTTATTCACTTATTATTTCATTTATATGAAGAACAGTAAGGAGTTAATGACAAAGTGTCTCAATCACAGTAAGTGATTAATAAATATTTGTTGAATTGAATTTTCTCCAACTAAATTCTGTAACTCTTAACATCACAAACTGTGTCTTCCTCTTTGTATTTCACGCAGTGTCTAACGCTGTGTTCTGACCGGGGCAGATATTTAGTAAATACTTGACGATGATGGGCAGAGCTGTAACTAAAGTTCTAGTGCCTTGGGCAATCAGCACAGAGTGTGTTGGCAGCCTGCCTGGGACTAGAGAGCCCAGAGCAGATCTAAGGAAGGGGATACAGAGGATCAGGGTATAGAAGGAAGGGGATTACCTCAACTCAGAAAGGTTCTGTTGCTTCCTTCCTTTCCCCCTTTTCTTACCCCAAGACACTTATCTTGGTGCCTCCAGAGGTTATTCTATTCACCTTCATGGTGAGCCGGTAGTAGGAAGCCCAGAGCATATATAGAGCTGAGGGGGAAGGACACGAATAGGGAAAGAAGAATTCATAAGCAAGCCCATCTGCCAGGACAGCAGAGAGTGATCATCAATGCCCAGATGGCCAGTGGCCACCACTTGTCCTGCTTCCCAGCTTTCACTTTAATTAAGAATAGCAGCAAAACAACTTAATATAAGCCTTGGACATAGCACAGAAAGCAACAGCCATTTCAGTAATGGGATCTGTGAAACTGGTATTTAAAGCAAAAAGCAAAAAGATTTCTCGCTGCCGTTCAGCAAGCCAAGGGCCATACTCTTCTTGCCATGTGCCCAGTTCACCCTCCTTAAAAGTGTGGCTGTAGAGGGGAGCTCCAAGGCTCTGAGGAGTCCCCAGGGAAAGTCAGAGTGCTGAGCCATGCAGGTTGGAGAGAGAGACTGTGCTTACTCCAAAGGCCCAGTATCCAAAGATGATGATGAGAAAGTTGATGCCCTCACCCAGGAACATGAAGGCATAGACATCACACACAGGGCTGAATTCTGGGTGGATGATGTTGTAGAAGAACTGTCTGATGGGCCAATAGATCCGGAGGGCACTAGGGAGCCAAAGACACATGCAGTGATGACCTGTTCTTGAACCATACAGCTCATCCTAGACTGTCAGAGTAGGAAGGGACCTCATGACACAGTCAATGTCTTCTTCTTGTAACAACAACAACAATAATCACTAGCACTTATATAGGGCTTCTCAAGTCTTCTAAGTGCTTTACATATGTTAACTCATTTGATCCTTACAACAACCCTATCAGCTAAGTGCTATCCTTATCCCCATTTGCAGTAAACTGAGGCAAACAGTGCTTAAGTGACTTGCCCAAGGTCACACAACTAGGAAGTCTCTGAGGCAGGATTCAAACTCAGGCCTTTCTGACTCCAAGCCCAACTTCAAGGATGCTGTAGCCCCATCTTTAGCAGCTACAGTTCCCGGAAACCCAGAAAAGACCCCAAAAAGTTCATGTTACTAAAGTCTGTGACATTATCAAATGGTTCAACATCAGAAACAGATATAGTTTTATTACTTGAAGTGACATCAAAGAACATATATTACCAACTGCATTGCTGCTGTACCCTAAGGACCATGGGAATCTTTCCATCTTGCAGCTGAAACCATTTATATAGCTTATCTCACCTATTAGAATATGAGTTCTTGGAGGGTATAGACTATCCTGCTTTTCTATTTGCATCTTTTGTACAAATTAAGTGCTTAACAAATGCTTTTCCTTCCTTCCTTCATTCATTCAACGTCAGAGCTAGAAGGACCCTTAGGCCATAAAATGTCAGAACTAATATAACTCTTAGCAATCACAAAGTCCACTTGACTTCCCCTGCTTCTCAGGGACTCTGCCCAAGGGTCACTTGATTAGATAGTCAAAACATCAGAATTTGAATCCAGGTCCCCTGATTCTGGGTCTAAGGCTCTTCTTTCTAGCCCCTCCTCTAACAACCCTCTCAATTACGTTTGAGTTGCCAGCTTTCTGGATTTCACCAGCTGTTTCTTCAGCATCCTTGCAGTGAGCAGCCTTCCATTGATTGGAAATTTTCTGAACCAGCTCTGCATCTTCCTGGCTCTTCTGTCCTGGAATTCCCCTGAGAAAGACACAAGATAGCAGCAATCTTTCTTCTGGGATTGCTTTTTGGAACCTCCGTCTCTCCTCAAATCCTAACCTCCTTGAGTGTAACAGTGGCTTCTTTTCCACCAGAGGGAAATGCACATGCCTGATTTAAGGGACAGAGCCACATTCTTTAGAATGAGTAACGTTTGCAGTCCCAGCCTTGATCTTTATTGGCCTCTAGAGACCTTTCAGAATAAAGACAGGGAAGTGAGGGGGGAAGGGTTAGGGGTGTAGGGAAGGGTAAGGACTGGAGGATGCTAAAGGACTAAGGGTCTGGCCAGGCACAATCTTCTAGGTCAAATTCTAATGCAAAGGAACATTTCTGAGGGGTATCCCTGTTGTATTATGCAACTAGAGACTGGGGATGGGAAGGAAATGTTGGGGAGGGGGTTGGGATGAGGAGAGAGGATCATCAGATGTACAGCTAGGAAACAGAATCATCTAATCTGGGGGTTCTTAACCTATTTTGTAACTATATTTCAATATAATTGATTTCCTTGTTAATCTCCTATGTTTCATGTATTTAAAAACATTATTTTGAGAAGGGGTTCATAGGCTTTATCTGACTATTGGAGGGGTCCTTTACACACACACACAAAAGGTTAAGAACCTCAGATCTAATCCAACTTCTTGATTTGCCAAAAGGTGAAACTGAGACACTGAGAGGTTATCTACAAAGCCAGTTTTCAAACTAGAAAATAAGGGGATTAGCCTAGATGAAACTGTCTGAGCCATCCTGGTGTGATGAATAGCACACTGAACTTGAAGTCAGGAAAACCTGAGCTCTGATCTTGCTTCAAACACTTACCAGTGCTGTAACCTTGCGGAGGTTACTTAACCTCTGGGCCTCAGTTTCCTCATCTTTTTAATTAGGGGATTGGAGTCTACCACCTCTTAAGATCCCTTCCATCTCTACTTATAAAACCTAGGTCCTTTAACTCCATATCCTTCCATTATATACTTTTCGAAGAAGCTAAAGGGAAAGAAGGAGAAAGAGGAGGAGGAGGAAGAAGGAAGGGAGTGAACTGGTGTTTGTAGTGAGGAAGCCAGACCAAGATTGCTAACAAAGCCCCTACAAGGATCAAGATTTGAGGAATTATGTATGAAGAAATAAATCTTGAGTTTTTATAACTCCTTTTTTTGTCTTCCAAAGCCCACGTGTACCCAAAGGGGTTTGTCTCTTTCTCCACAAAGCCCACCGGGAGCGGGCAGGCTGAGGAAAAGGATAAGGCTCTGCCTGCCAACCCTGGGGGAAGCTCCCCAGCTTTCTGCTGCTGTGTCATTGACTCTTGGACTTTCTAATCTTTTTCTTTTCTTTTCAGTTAGCCTGGCCAGAAGATGGCTCATCCCATAGTCCTAGACTCTGAATGGAGGGAAAAAGGAAAGTATTTGAGTATACATTTTGCTGATCTCCCTCCCCCCACCCAAGTCCAAAATAGACACCCATGGGCCCAAGCGCAAAGGGACAAGCTATGTACAAATGGTAAAGAGTGGGGGCAGCTAGGTGGCGCAGTGGATAGAACACTGGCCCTGGATTCAGGAGGACCTGAGTTCAAATCCAGCCCCAGACACAAAAACACTCATTAGCTGTGTGACCCTGGGCAAGCCACTTAACCCCATTGCCTAGCCAAAAAACCCCCCCCCAAAACAAATGGTAACAAGCCCAAGATGACACTGCAGGATTTGGAGACACAGAGGCTGAAGGATCTGGAGAGAAAACAACCCATGAATCCCAGGCTGGGAGCAGTGGTACCCCTCTCACAATATCCCTCCCCAGCCCCAGCCCTGACACATAATTCTGCTCAACTAAAAATGGATGTGTGGGGTTATAGAGAACATAGGAAACCCAGAAGTTGTCCAGGAGGACTGGATTGAAAATATGGTGAGATGCCACCCCCCTGTGAGATAAGGGAGCAGCAGTACTTGAGCCTCTGAGCTCTCTGGGGACCAGGCTGTGCAGGAGATAAGGAAGTGCTTCCCCAGACCTGAGTCTGATAGAGCCTCTCAGAACGGTCTGTTTTGGGCTTCCTTTAAGTCCCAACTAAAATCATGCTTTCTACAAGAAGCCTTCCTCAACCCCTCTTAATTCCAGTGCTTTCCCTGTTTTAATTATTTCCTATTTATCCAGTATATAACTGGCTTTGTATATAGTTGTTTGCATGTTGTCTCCCTGTTAAATTGTAATCTCCTTGAGGACAGGAACTATCTTTTGCCTCTTTTTGTATTCTCAGCATTTAGCACAGTGCCTGGCACATAGTAGGTGCTTAATAAATGTTAATTGAAAGAATGAGTGAGTGAATGAAAGTCCCAGAAAGGGGCCGTGAAGGGGATGCCAGCACTTTGGGGTAGGGCGAGGCAGGAGAGGATCTAGCCCCTGAGACTCTGCTAGAAGGCCATGCCTTCCTGGGAATGTTTTAACTTCCCCCATTGCCAGGACTGTTTTTTGCCTTGAAAGCTTTTCCTCTTAAAGCCTCCAAGTCAGCTAAATTTCAGCAGCCTGGCAAAGACCATTGGACCAGAAGAAGTAGGTTCTTGTCCCTGCTTTGACACTAACTCTGGGCCATTATCTATACCATTGAAATCACAAGTCTAGTCCCCACCCTCGATTTCCATCCCATTCCCACCCCCCTCCCTCTCCCTCTCCCCAGGATCAACTAACTTTGGGTTCTGCTTTATAGAAAGGCATCTGTAAAATGGGAGCAATGCCTACCTTACCTAGTCTGTATGAGGTTAAAAGGGGATAGAGAACAGACCTGTGATTTCATTGATACGGGGAAATTACAGGTTAGAAAATTCCCTCTGCAGACACAGGTCAGAGCTTACTCTACAACCAGTAGTCTTAGCTACTTAGAGTACTGAGTTATTAAGTGAACTGTGGTACAAGGCCAGGATGTGTCAGACCCAGGGCTCAAACCTATGGCTTAGAGACTGACTCCCCAACTCCCAAGACCACAATTACAGGAATAATTAGTTTAAATAAAAAACTACCAAATGGCTTGCTTCCTCTGGGGTTTTAGGAGAATGGGGTCCCCCCCTTTTGTTAATGTCTGCCTCTTCCCCCAACCGGGAATGCTTCATTAGGTTTGCCAGCCCAGGCAAGGTTTGTAATTCATGCCTCAGGTACAAAAATTCCTACTTTATGCCTATGGCAGGGAAAGAAATACGGTGTGTGCTCTGAGGTGTGTCTGAAGAAATAGCAGCAAAGGAAAGAGTAGATGGAAGAATTTCTTTGTATTTACTTCCTGTCTTAAACTCGGAATTCTGGGTATTCATCTTTATGAAGAAATCTCATTGAAGTGAGCTTTTGGGGAATTTGGTTTCCTAAGGATTCCTGGCACCAAGCCCAGTGGGATTATATAATGCAGTTAAAAAATAAAAATTTTAAAGTCCAGAAACAGACCTGATTTAAAACTATCTTTAAAACAAACCTATGCACCAAATGAAAAACACTAGTGCCTTCAAGGCATTCTGAGCAGGAGTCAGAAATTCAAACGTATTTAAGTCTCAGTCTTGAGGGCCTTTGGCGAGGGCAAGCAGCCAATTCTGTGTCTCAGCTTTCTCATCTGGAATATGGGTGTTGATTTGAGCCTGTCCGATGTGGGAGCTGTGAAGTCTAGCTAATTAATGTTTTTTTTTTCATTAAAAACAAGAAGGTTCTAAAGAGCAAGAATTGCCAGAAAATGATAAAGTGAATGAAACCATTTCCAAAGAACATATCCTCTGCTGGGGCCATTTATCTTCAAGACTGATCTATGATAGAACAAAGCCAACAGTTGCACAAGGTCATAGTGGACATAGCTACTCTTTTTTTCAATTCCAGCTATATTTGGCAGAGAAAATGGCTTTTCTCCATGTATGCCTGCATAGAGCTTTGTGGTCCAGGGAAAGAATCCAAACTGTGAAAAATAGTTGACCACTACTGCTGCCTGAAGAAAGAGAAGGGAAAGGAGAGAACACACGAAACCAGCTGAAAGTACTTATTTAGTCTCAAATTAGCCTTTCTTATACCAGAGATTTCTCTAAAGCGTATTATCCGCAGAAATAAGAGAGAGAGAAAAAAATAACCAACATCATGCTGAATTCTCAGGATACCACTGTCTGACACTGCTGAAGTCCAGAAAAGAGAAGGGAAGTGACCATGGGCATGTTTCTTCCTCTCTCTGGGCCTCAATGTCATCATCTGTTGGACTAGACAACCTCTAATGACCCTTCTATCTCTAAACCCATAATCCTATGCTTTTGTTCAACCTTCTAAAATTTCTTTGAGATCTTTACTCTTTTCCTTTTTATGTGTGTGGCTTGGATTCCAAAAGTCTGTGCTTCCAAATTTCTTCTAGTATTTATTGCCTGTAAATTGATTTGGCATAGTTCCCAAATAGTAGCTAAATTCCAACATTCTCTGGCCCACTACCCCAAAGCCAAACCATTCCTCATGGTAGTTATGCTAAGGAACAGTCTTCTTTTTATGCTGAAACTGCTTTGAAAATAGCTTTGTCACCCAAAGTACCACTCCTGGTCACCACCATACTTTTTCAAATAGCCTGACTAGACTAGTCTTCTTCCTCTACCAGGAACCCTACCTCTTATTTCTGCCTATGAAATTTGAAATCTGCCCCATCCTTCAAGATCCAGCTCAAATGTCACCTCCTCAAAGTCTTTCCTGATCCTCTCTTAAGGTAGAAGTGACCCCTCTGGCTTCTGAACTCCTATGGCACTTGTTCCATTCAATCTTGTTTTCTATTTACTTCCATACTTACTTTATCATTCCTACTAGACTGCGTGCTCTTTCAGAAACTAAATCATTCATCTTCTCTCTTCCTGCTTTGGGAGTCCCAAAGATGCTTCTTTCAGCTTAAAGAGTGTCACGGCTAAAAGGGATGTTAAAATTCTATGCAATGTTAAAATGATAGTAGAGAACTGGACTCAAAGCTAGGAAGATTTCGATTCAGGTTGTGCCTCTGACATATAGTTGATGTGTGACTTTGGGGAAGTCACTTAATTTTACAGTGCCCCAGACTGCTCTCCATGGCTGGAAGTTGCAGAGAAGGGGTCAACCTACGTCGGTAGAAGGAGTTTTCCCACCAGAAGCTCCCTATATCAATGAAATCACAAGTCTAGTCTTTATCCCCACAAAATGTTTATTAAGTGCCTCTAATTCAATTAAACAAATATCTATTAAATGCCTACTATGTACAAGTCTGTGTGCTGAAGCTATAATTTTCTTTTTCAGGCATCCAACTCAGTAATTGGTATAAGGAACTTCCAGTGAGAAAATTATATCTATTAAGGTAGACTAAAAACTATTTGGATGACTTACAGCATTAAAAATTTGCCATGGGTACTAAGAGGTTAAATGACTTGCCTAGGGCCATACAGCCATATGTGCCAGTTAGAACTATGGTCTTTTTAATACCAAGGCCACTCAGCCATCTAGAGAGTCAATCAATCATTCAGTCAATAAGCATTTATTGGGGTGTGTGGAGTATTCAGGAGGACTAGCACCTTTGGTGTGAGGGCTTGCCAAACCTTTTTCAAGGCTGCTCATCCACTTTTGGTGTCCACCTGATTAATCTAATTCTTACCTGTGGCTCCACAAAGCTGTCACATGAGCAGTGACCACACCCCAGTAAGCCATCTCCTCAGATGGGCTAAACCAGGGTAATGGCCAGGTCTCAAACCTGTTGGTGAGTTAGGGGGATGTCTACCCCAAGAACGTGAAGAATTTCTCTAGCAGAATGGGTGGATGAGAACAATTTGTTCCAGTGGCAACGAAGGTGCTGTGGAGAGCTTAGAGCTTGGGCAGACATGAAGGACACCAAGGTCATCCACTGCATACAGGGCCATTGTCAGTGGTCTTGACTTTTGTCTTGCCACTGGACTTTGATGACTCAGGAAGACAGAGTGAGGCTGAGGACTTTGAGTAACTCTGCCTCACTTAAATCCAATTCACAAGCAAGTCAAGACATATCCCATGACGTCATTGGTCCTCTTCAAAAAACGAAGGGCAAACAACAGCTGAGTGCTCAGTATGTACCAAGATTGTGCTAAGAGCTATGGATACAAAAAATGACAAACACCCACAAACACACACACACGTACACAAACAGTCACTGCTCTCAAGGAACAAACGTTCTAGTGGGGGTGACATGCTGACATCGAGACACATAACAAGACAAGTACAGAGTATCTGAAGATAATCAGAAAGAGGGAAATCCTATCCATTATGCCGCAATGCCTTTTTGCTGTGGCTATCCTTTAGAAAAATCCATTTGTGATTTCATTTTGACTCTTGAAAGCTAGTGTATTGTTTGCAAGATCTGAAGGGGAGGTTATAGAAGAGAAAAGTATGGCAAGTGATAGCACGGTAGTATGTGAGCTCTGGACAGCTAGAGTGCCAGCTATGGAGTTGGGAAGACTTGAGGTCAAATCTGGCCTCAGGCACTTACTAGCTTTGTGACCCTGGGTAAGTTATTTAACCCTGTTTGCCTCAGTTTCCTCATCTGTAAAATGAGCTGGAGAAGAAATGGCAAACCACCCCAGTATCTTTGCCAAGAAAACCCTGAATGGGGTCATGAAAAGTCAGACACAACTAAAACAACTGAACAACAACAACATGACAGTGTTATCTTCTGTTGGTACTACCTCTGTGTAAAAGATAGCAGCCATCAAGAAGCATTTAGGAGGTCTTGGAACAGAAAGCATAGCCCACAAGAAGCAGAGAATGGGGAGCACCAGTGTCAGGATGGAAGCTGAAATCATGTGGTTCAGGATGATCACGAAGTAACTGAGCATTTCAGACTTGGACTCAATCAGCTCGTACAGCTCCAAAGTGAGCCTCACCATTTTGGGGGGACTCCTGTAGAATGTATCTACCTCTTCCAGCTCGCAGTCATAAAAAACCCTGAAAGGAAGAACCAGTCCAATTGGAACAAAACAAGAACATCCCTAGTTAGCTGCTTGAGAGGAGACACAGGGTAGGGAAATGGCACTAGACCTAGAGTCATAAGACCTGGGTTTGAATTGTGACTCCAGCTCTTACTGTGTGACCCTGGCCAAGTGGCTCAACTTTTCCAAGCCTCATCTGTGAAATAGGCATAATAATGCTGCCACTGCCTGCCTCATATGGATGTTGTAAAGAACACTAAAACTTGAATCACCATAAAAGTTGCTTTCATTGAGAGGCAGCAGGAGAAAGAAGCTGGATTTGGAACAAAAGGTCCTGGGTTCAAATCCTAGCTCTTCTACTTACTACATATGTGACCTTGGATAAGGCATTTCCCCTCAATTGTAAAAAAAAGAATGTTCAACTAGATGGTCTTGAAGGTCCCTTTCAGTTCTAATTTTAAATCTATAATAGTAACTACAGATGCAGATGTGCCCTGTTTTAAGAAGATCTTAGATCTAAATTTTTTTTAAAAGAAAGCTAATATCCAAGAAGTAATTATCCATTTCATAAAAGTATTTCCTTGAATAGTGAGCTTCTTTAAGGCATTTAAAATGTATAATTTACAAAAACTCTATTTGCTCAAAATTGGTATGGTACATATTTTTGAAACAAATGATTATCTGAGAAGCAGCAGAGCAAACAGATGAATGGTCTTAAAGCCAGAATCCTGAATTTAAATCCTGTCTCTGACGCATACACAAGTGACCTTAGGCCAATCACTTAACCTCTCATAGATCTGATGGTAGAAGGAGTTTCTTCATTAGGGAGTTTTCTGAACCAATGAAATCAAAGCTCCAGTTCCTGACACTAATTTGTGCCAAAGACCGCTTGCCTCTAGCGTCCTGGGGCATGTATCTTACCTCTTTAACCCAAGTAGAGTGGTTTGGACTGTCCTCACTGAATAAGAGCAGATAACCTCATTCATAATGGATTATAGATAAAATTCAGATCAACGCAATAACCAACCATGACTGCAGTGTCCTAAGAATGAAGTGTGTTCCTCACCTCCCAACACTGCAGTGATGGATTCAAGATGGAGTATGGGACTCATTTTCAGAAATGGCCAATATGAGGTTTTATTTTGCTTTACTATGCACATTTTTAATAAGCGTTTTTTTTTCTTTCAGTTTTGGGGGCAGCAGATGGAAAGAAGAGAGAACAAATGCTTGTTACTTAGAAAACAAAATAAGAAGGAAGGGGAAATAAGAAAAAAAGAAGGGAGGGTAAGGAGAGAAGGAACGGGAAAGGAAGGGTAAGGAAGGAGAAGAGAAGGGAAGGGAAGGAGAGGAGAAGAGAAGGAGAGGGAAGGAAGGAAAGAAATAATTCTTGCCTTTTAAGGAGTAGATCTCCAGTAGGCAGCAATGGGAAGGGAGCTTTTCTTATTGATCTAGTGACTCTTTTCTTCTTCTGTCCCACTGAAGCAGTAACCAAGTCTTTGGCTTCTGATAAGGAGCTTCTTTGTCGAGCTTGCATTAAGCTGCTGTCGGGTGGGCTGGCTTCTTGACAGCCAAGTCCTAAGATTGGCTCACCCTCATCTTCCTCACCCAGGCTGTTCTCATCATCACTTGTGTAGTTATCACCCATCTCTGAGCATTCCCTAGGCCTCCCAAATGTCACAAGACACCAAAACTTTTGAAAATAAACACATTAAATTCACATGAAACAAATTTCAAACATCAGAAAACCCCACGAGGGATTTGCAATCATTTGTATGGGGCTGAACTGAGAGTTTTATTTGCTCTATCTATGAAGAGTGGGTTTATCGAACAAATTGTTAGTGCAAAAATTCAGGGGATGGCTTGACTTATTCAAAAGGACAAGTGCTCTCTGGTAATTAGTTTTCATTTAAACAATTTACTTACAAACCGTTATTTTCCATTCTTTAAAGCAAGTCTTTCAAGAAGTGTTAGTAGACAAGCCTTTGTTAGTCTGATGTGTGCAAAGTACTTGGCATGTGGTAAGCATTTACTAAATGGTTATTAATTAATTAATGCAGGAGGAGAATTGATGGACTGGGAATCAAACATTGTATGACCTTGGTCAAGTCATATATTCCCTTGGGACTTCAGTTTCTTCATCTGTAAAAAGATGGGTTTGGAGGTAACTGTCTCTAAGGACCCTTCCAGTTCTGATATTCTGTGATAAGTTATAAAGCATTTTCTGGGAATTTTCTTACTGACAAAATTACCTTCTGATCATTTGGTTCATTTAAATCTTGTTGGAAAAATTACCAGATCAAAATCAATTTGGATTATTTGTTGTTTTTTTAAACTAGGTGGCAGGTTACAGTGTAAATGGAAATAAAAGCAAGAAAATATAATTGTAAACAGCCCCAAAGAATGAACTACTCCTTCCCACTTTACAGAGATGGGAGACTATGGTTGTAGAATACAACTTTTATTGTGTTGGATAGCATTGTATGTAATGGATAACAATGCTATCCAGCTTGGTTAGTTTTATTGAGCTGATTTTTCCCCCTCTTTTTTATTCTTCATCATATGGAACAACTTTCTGGGAAGAGGTAGGGAAATGTTGTATTCAGAAATGAAAGCAATATAAAAACAAGCTATCGATAATTTTTTAAAACTAGGTTGCAGCGTAAATTAGGGTAAATTATTTCTGTGCTTATCTGAGCCAATTTTTTTGGCTTAGGGTTCAGTGTGATGACTTCAGCAAAAGTGTGCTTTGAAAACATTATTCTGACTTCCACTGTTTGCATAGTGAAAATTTGACCTTAATAGACTCTAAGCTTTCATCAAGGCCTTTTCACCTGCATGCTGTGGTCTCCTCAAGTGATTGTGAGTCTTCTCCAGTTGGGGGATGCCTCACTGATGGTGGCAGATCCTCAAGGTCATTCTTGGCAAGGTCCTTCCCAGATCCAGCCTATAACTGAGACCTCTCCCTGGGTGATTGCTGGCTTAAGGTGTCTTCATCTCTACATTGATCCCCTGAAGGAATCATCTCTTCTTCAGACTCATCTGGTAAATATAATTGTCCTTATGGTGCTCAGGTAACCCAGCATCAGAGAACCCCTGATCTTCTGCTCCTGGCTCCCTTTCCTTTATTTTGACAGGTGTGGTTTTCTGTTTCTCCTGAAGCTTTAAATGGTAGTATCTCAAAATGTTCTCTTTGGTGGCCTTTTCCCCCTACAAGACATTTTACATTTTCATTTTACAAATAAAGCATGGTGCTTGGGTTCCATTAACAAGAACTAGACATACCATTTCCCACATCCATACATTCCCAAAAGATATCCCCTATGCCATGAGTATACCAATGCCTCATCTCCACCCTTCAGAATCTTTCTCTTTCTTTGAGGTTAAAGCTAGTTGCCAACTACGGTACCACCACCACAACAAGAATAGTAGCTAAAATTTATATAGTACTTGAAGGTTTGAAAAGTGCTTTACATACGTTAGCTCATTTGATCCTCACAACAAGCCTGGGAGGGAGGTACTATGTTACCCTTGCTTCACAAATGAAGAAACTGTGGTAGAGAGAAGTTAAGTGATTTGTCCAGGGTCACACAGCTAGTATCTGAGCCAGGATTTACACTCAGGTTTCCCTGACTCCAGGTTCAGTGCCCTATTTTCTATAGTACCCAGGTTGCTACACGTAACCTTCTCTCATTTTCCCAACCAAAAATAATCTCCCCTTTCTCTAATGTCTTAGGGTACTTTGTCTGGATCTCTCTTTTAACCCCATCACTTTCTATCTTGCATTATTATACTTATTTTAATCACTCTGCCCTATTATAAATTCTTCGAGGAAAGGGACTCTTATTTAACTAGATAGGGAGAGGTGGTTGAAAGGGTGATGGATTGGGGTCAAAGGATCTGGACTCTAATCTTAGCTCTGCTGCTTTCTCCTTATGTGACCACAGGCAAGTAACTGAAACTTCTGGACCTCATTATCTTCATCTGTAAAATGAGGGGGTTGAATTAGATGACCTATAAAAGGATCCTTGGAGCTCTAAATTGACGATTTTATGTTTCATTTTTGTTTTTGTGTCCCTAGCACCAAGTGTGGTGGCTTTTACCAGTAAGTACTTATTGTTTTTTTAATCAAACTTTCTGAACACTCACAGTACCTCAAAGATGTCCAAACAATTTGCTTTGAGGTGGGGGCATTCCCCTCCTTGAAGAAAAGGATGCTTTAAATTAAGTGCACCAAGAGAACACCTCATTTTTCTCTCCAAAACTTATCCGAGGTTGCTAGTTGCACTTGGTGGAAGAACGAGTTTTGTTAAGCCTTTGATCTGAACATGAAGAAAGCCATGCATGGTGAAGAGTGATAATGACCCTGGTGAAGAGCTCACGAAAGATACAAATCATTAACCAGACTGTGGAATGATGGGTCTGAGCTGAATGACTCAAAGAACCTGGCATCATAGAAGGTAGACTCTTTGGAGCCCCATGGCCCTTACCTTATTGAGCCTTTTCAGTAGCATACACCACTCCACCCTCAACATGGTGGTTATTTCCCAATTTTCTTTATACAGGGAGTGCACTGCTGCTATGGTGTCTTCCAGCAGCACCTTCCCAAAGATCCATGAAAATCTGACCATATCGATTATTCTCTGCGTTAGAATTTCTGTGAAGAAGAGGGGAAAACCAGGAGGGAAGAACAAATCAAACCTCCAAATATTTATGTAACAAAACCCCATTATATGTATTTCATAGACTTTCAGTACTGAGTCAAAATAAAATTGAACATAGCCCAGTTAGTTATGGAGGAAAACCTCCCAGGGCACCAGGACTTTATTTCCAGTGTGAGCTTCATAAGATAGAAAAACTGGGTTTTTTCCTAAACTTTATGTTTCTCCCAGTACTAAGCCCAGGGTTCTGCACATAGTATGTGCTTAATACGTGGCTATTGAATTGAATAAATTCTTATCACTTAGACAAAATCATCAAAATTTCCCCAGAGTCAACCTGGCAGACCCAAGGTAGACCCTGGGCGAAAAGGGAAAGCAGGGATATTTGTCTTTGATACCTATGCTCCTCTTAAAGCAGCTTTTGTCTCTTTCCGTGGTTAACCTTAACCTCTCATATAGATATCCATCGTACCTACCTGGTTCATGCAAGCTTCCATCTTCTTTCTCGGAAGCATCAGCATCAACATCTTCACATTTCTCCAGACTTCTGTCTTTTGATCCTACAGAAAGATAGACATCACTTGGAATCATCTGTTTTATTCTTAATTATCAAAAACTTGATTATGTTACATTACAGGATGTATATATATGTTGGAGAGTAGTGGCTGGGGAATGATTTTCAACCCTAGATGAACAAAACATTTTTGGAATTACACTAGGGACATGGCATCCAGTCATCTGATTCTGTTTCCAGACCATGTGAAGAGTAAAACCATTCAGATTCTTACATTAATTTATCACTTGTTCTAAAGTGTTTATTTCTGATGGATACTTTTCTAGGCAAAGATCTGATTCATTAAAGACCACATACTTTATAATTTCCAAAATCCTCAAGAGATAAGAAGATGCAACTCCTTCCCTTCTTTGCAGAGGTGGGAGCTAAGAGTATGGAACATTCTCTATACTGTCAGATGTGGTTAATGTGTTGGTGAGCTGTGCTGGATTGCTTTGTTTTCCTATTCCTTCTTCATTTTCTGTCATAAAGGGTGACTCTCCAGGTAGGGATGGGGAAGGAAATGGAGGTGATGAAAAGATAAATTATATCAATAACATTTAAAATATTTCTAAGGTCCCTTCAGATCTATAATTCTCTGATATCTTCCATAAACCAAAGTTGTAATTATGGTGTCAAACAGATTTGCAAAATTCAGATGTCCCTGCAAATGCCTCAGATGAACAAACTATCCTCCAGAAAAACTCCAGCCTTTATCATGGGCACTGACATAATCATAATCTCTCTTCCTTAGCCCTTATTAAAAAAAATAGCATTCCTGTCTGATCATGATATAATCATTCCCAGAGCCCAATCTATTTATTGCTAATTCACAAATCAAAAATGTCAACTGTTTAATTTCGATTGTTCTTCTTAGACCAGTGATCCATCAAAGCTATCACCCAGCTCTCTGTTCTGGAATGGATGGATACCTCTTTGACACTGTGGCTCCCATTCCTCCTTCTTTTCTTCTCTCCTGAATGTCATTTCATCTTGCTTCCACAGCCTGACTGCTGATGCAGAATTATTTGCCCAGGCATCATAAGCAAGCTGGAGAGACAGAGAGAGAGAAGGAGACAGAGAGAGAGAGAGAGAGAGAGAGAGAGAGAGAGAGAGAGAGAGAGAGAGAGAGAGAAATCCTTACTCTTATATCTCTTTGGCAGTTTCAGCCAACATCACTCTCATCTATACTCTGTTTTAAAGCCACAAAATCTAATCAGAAAGCTCTCTAACTATATGGAGGTTGTCAAGTCTTAAGTAGATTGAAAATAATAAAGTGAGATGGAAAATCAATGTCATATTTGTTCCAAGTAATTTCCTCTTAGAAAAGAAATGATCTTAAGGAACAGGTCCTGAATTTTAAAATGTTTCAAGCTCCACTCAGATATTTGTACACCATAGTAAACTAAAGACAAAATTCTCTGGGTGAACCTGTGACATGTTCCAAAGAAAACCCAGAAATATTAACTATAAAAGCTAAGAAAAAATGAATATGTCCCCTCTATTGACTATTAAATGAACAAGGGGCAGCATGGTACAACAGAAAGAATGATAGATCTGGAGTCAGAAGACCTGGGTTCAAATACCAGTTCTGTTGATTATTACTCATTATTGTCTTGGAAAAGTTACTTAAAGATTTTTCTCAAGGGCTCAATTACCTCCTTCAAAAAATGATGGAGTTTAACTAAGTGGACTCTAAGACCTCTTTATGGCCCCATGAATTTGAAAGGAGGCACAGAAATACTTGTCCCTGAGGCTTAAAGGAGAGAGTATATTAAATGAACTATAGGTTCTTTCAAACAATCTAAGACTTTTTGATATCACTGAAGATGAGGAAGAAGAAAATATCTAGGAATAGTTCATAATCAACAATGCCAATTACTCAACAAAGTGTGAAAAGGACAAGGCCAGAGAAATAGTGAGAAAATAACAGAGAAAGCATCAAGGTTGGACTGCTTTGGAAAAGTTTGAAAGATAGAACAAGGGTTTGAAGGGAGTAAAGGATTGAAATAAGACTTTTGTGGATAAAAATTCATTTTTTTTATCATACTTTAAGGTTTATGAAGCACACTTCTCTCCACATCCATGAGATGTAAGTAGTACAAGTGTTATTACCCACATTTTATAGATCAGACCTTGAGGCCTGGAAAAGTATTGTCTTAGTCAAGATCCCATAACTGGCAAACATCACAGCCAAGACATCTTCCTCATATCATATCTAGAGCTCAGTGGATGATGCCATGCTGGTTCTCTGCCTTTTCATATAGGAAAGACCAGAGCATTTTTATGCCTTAGTCTCCCCTTTATTTTGAACAGATCAATGCAATTCACAATTCCTGTGTTGTAGGGCAAATGGTTTATGCTGAGAGGAAAGGGCCAGTGACTTCCTTTGATGAAAAACTAGGATTTATTCCCAATTGTTCCATGTTTTCCAAATATCTAGAAAGCTGCCTCAGGCTGAAAGGGCATGTTCCAATTTCATGCCCTGATTACAAATAAACATACACAAAGATCTGGAATTGTGGGCCTTTAAATTCCCTCAAGTTAACACAATATACACATAACGAAAGCCTGCAATGAAGTCCTTTGCCACATTGAGTATGTTACACTGTGTCAACTCATGTTCCCATTACACACAGTGATCTATGTACACTGTAGCAGCCTGGCAAAGTACAAAGACTACTGGATTTAGATTGACAGGACCTGGATTCAATTGCTAGTTCTGAATTCTGTTCCTTTCTACCTTGGACAAGTCACTCAACTTCACCAGGTTCAGTTTTCTCACCTGTAAAATGAGATGGTTCACCTAGATCTGAGATTTAGAGCCAGTATAAGGGACTTTGGAGGATCTCTAGTTCAATCCTTTCATTTTACAGAAGAGGAACTAAGGTAAGTGACTTGACCAGCGTGATGGGACGGAGGGTAGTAAGTAGCACAACCAGAATATCAGCCCAAATCCTCTGTCTCCAAATCCAGTGTTCATTCCACTGAACATCTACGATATTCTGATCTCACCACGACATGCTTATAGCATAAATGTTGTTGAAAAGATCAATGGGTTTAGAGTTGGGGGACCTGGGTTAAAATCCTGATTCTGATACTTTCTTGATATGTCCTTGGATGAGTCATTTAATATCTCTGAATCTCAGTTTTCTCATCTATTAAATGTAAGGAATGGAGGAAGGAAGGAAGGAAGGAAGGAAGGAAGGAAGGAAGGAAGGAAGAGGAAGGAAGGAAGGAAGGAAGGAAGGAAGGAAGGAAGGAAAAGGCATTTTTTAGACATTTATATTGCTAATCTCAAGTAATACAAATGCAGAAGTAAGATAGTTCCTACCCTCCGGGAACTTATTCTTTAAGAGGGAGAGACAACACCTGTACAGGAGTGGTGGCAATGAAAGGTGTTTTTGTCTGGTAAATCACAGGAATGATGAGTAGTAGAATTAGAATAGTTAATTGATAGGCCCTTTTGGGATGGAAATAATAATATTAACACTATCTATCTTACAGGGTTGTTACCAAAAAAGTATTTTATGAATTGTAAAGCACCATCAGGAAGTGAGTTGTTGTGAACAAAAATAATAAACCAGTATTGTAATGGGACTATTGCATTTGGATAATTTGGGGACATCACCCAACAAAGATACCTGGAAGGCAGTTTTAGGACTTGGAAATGCTTCTTTCTTTTTTTCTTCATTTATTTCTTCTTTTTCCTCTTCACTGTCAGACTCAAAGAGGCTATAGCTCCCATCCTGAATCACTTAAAATAATTCCACAAAACAAAAGGATATACAACTTTATCTCTTTGTACACATCCCAGGAAGATTTATAACAAAAGTCAAGTACCATCTGAAATCTATCTTATTCTAGTGATGTTACAAGACATTTCATTTTTATGAGACTAACCCCTCCTGCTACAGCCTGAAGTCTCAGCTTTCCTCATCTAGACTGAGATGCATTGGTACTGCTGCATTAAATTAGTCCCTGGGGATGTAGAGGGTATGGGAGTATGGGGAGTGTGGGGGTGTGGTGCTTTTCTTTGTCATCTGTCATCACAAACAGCTTGTTATCTATGGCGTAGAAAGCCTCCATTCTTTGCCCCTTTCTTGGGACAGTCAGATTGCAGATATTCTATAGCTATCAAAAAATGAAATGCTGTCCATTTGTATATAAGCCCAATGCTACCCATCAACCCAAGGCATGAGTTTTTGGGTTCTTCTATAATAAATGTGAGAGATTCGTGCTGCCATTTATACTTTTTAGCCCAGACCCCTTTGTATATTATAGCATAGCTGTGTTTTCAAGAGAGCTGGCTAGGAGTAGGGATTCAGTCTGTAATCATGGAACGGCGAAAAAAGCTAACCCATGAAGCTGGCCCACAAGGAAATAGATAATGATAATGCTGATGATAATTAACATTCATAGAATACTTTAAGGTTTGCAAAGGACTTCACAAATATTCTTTCATTTTATCGTCACAATAACCCTTTAAAGGTAAGTGCTATTATTATTCTTATTTTACAGCTGAGGAAACTGAGGTAGGCAGAGGTTAAGTGACTTGCCCAGAGTCACACAGCTAGGAAGTGTCTGAGGTGGGATTTATACTCAGGTCTTCCTGACTCCAGGCCAGGCATTCTATCCTTTGCACTCTCTAGCTGCCAAGGCCTCTGCCTCATTAGCCTTGTGTAATAACCCATTATGCTCATTAGAATCTCCGTTAACTTACTAGAAGGATGCTTTACCCAAGGCTTCTACCAGTTCTCGCCTTTATTTTTCATTATGCTCCCATCATCTGCAAATAGAGTAAAGCCTCACTAGATGAGATACCACTCATTTAGAACATGGGATAGTTCCTCCCCAAAGAACTAAAGCCTGCCTTTCTATTATCCATTAAGAAAAGATTGGCTTAATCAAATGAATAGATTTACATGGTTTTAAAAAGTAACTTGATAGGATTGTTTTTCATTACATTCATCCCATATGACAATTAAAACTCATTCTTGCCTATTCAAAAAAGCAGATCCCCTGGGCACCTCTATTGGGCAATACTTTGTAAAACTACTTTGGGATATACTTTATACACTTTTAAACAGTGAAACTATATTAAGTTAAATAACTTTTAAAAAAGACACCTTCTAAATTTAGACTTATCACTAATATAAACTGCTCAATCTAATTAGTCTTGATTGGTGAGGTCAAATTATATACTCGATGTAATTTTTGCCTAATAAAAGGAAATGTGACTGATCATTATCAAACAAAGACATGGATTCTTTTTTTTAACCCCCCAAATTGGTTCAATTCAAGAAAAATCCATGAGGTGAAAAATTAACTTTAGAAGCATGTTCTATTCTTTGATTAAACAAACAAAAATCTCCTACTTCCTTTGGGCACCTGATTCTTTAAGGAAATGTTTTTGGAAATCTCAGGATTGTAATTGTCAAAGCAGCCTTTGAATTTCCAGAAGCCCTATTATAACCAACAGAAGGAAGGGCCTCCCTCTGCTGGAGGCCCACAGGTACAGTAGAAATTGTTCTGCATTTGTACTTGGAAGACCTAGGTTTGCACCCCAATCCTGCCACTTATTATCTATGTGATCTTGGGCAAAGTTATTTAACCCCTCTGGATCTCAGTGTCCTCCTCTGTAAAATGAGAGGGTTGGACCAGATGACCTGTATGTACCCTTCTAGCTCTAAACTTATTATCCTATGATTTTGCACTAACAAAGGGCCCTTTTCACATTTTTTTTTTGCTTAGGTCAGAATTTAAACTCCCAGCACTGTTTTAGAGCCAAATTTCTAAGAAAATGAGATCAGTGGAGAAGCTGCTGTAGCATAGACCCATTGTCTGTCTGACATTCCTAGAGGCTAAAGTCCACCCCTTTCTTACTCTCAGGGAAGAGTGGTTTTACATGGCAGATGATTTAATTTCACTGTCTCAGATCCTAGAGGTTCTTTGAGGGTCACCTGAGACAGCTGAGTGCACCAATGATTTCATCCTTACCTTGTGTTTGTCTTGAGAGAATGACTGTCTTTAACCATTGAGGCACCAAAGGTAGATTTATCAGTCTGCTGCATACTGTCAATTTTTTTTCTGTTTCAATTTGATTTTCTCCATTCTGAAAATTTAAGACAAGTTCTGAGAACTTATCCTTCCCCATCCCCCACCCTCACCCCCACCACCTCCTCTCTGCCAAATGGGCCCCATCTCCTACCAAAACTTCTTGGGGTCCCATGTTCATATCAGAACTTATTCTCTCTACTGACTAGCTAAAGATGGAGCAAAGAAACTCCATAGAGCCTTTAAGGAAGGAGTAGGTCTTAGATCAGTAGAGAGAAGAGGGTAGGTTATTCCAGAGAGATCCATCATAGCAAAAAAGGTTGGGGTGGGAATGTGAAATAGCAATCATGGTGTTGGGGGTGAGTTGGGAAGGGGAGTGGAGGGGAGAATTGGAGGGAGAGAGGAGGTTGGAAAGTAAGAGGAGCCAAACTGTGGAATTATATGGATTATATGAATTATATGGATTCCTAGGTTGGAAGAGCACTTCTTAGCATCCTTATCTACTGGGAAACTCATATTCAAATCTCAGAGTTAACAATCTACACTCACAACATGGTCATTTTATTCAGCTTCACTGCTTGCTCTTCCTGTTGGTCATATTCAATGACGTGATGAAAGGGTGACTTAAAGGATGAGTAGGTGCAATGGGGCAGCTAGGTGATGCAGTAGATGGAGTTCAGAACCTGGAGTCAGGAAGACTCATCTTCCTGAGTTCAAATCTGGCCTCAGATATTTACCAGCTGTGTGACTCTGAGCAAGTCATTTAACCCTGTTTGCCTCAGTTTCCTCATCTGTAAAATGAGCTAGAGAGGGAAATGGTAAACCACTCCAGTATCTTTGCTAAGAAAACCCAAAATGGGGTCACAAAGAGTCAGACATGACTAAAAACAACTGAACAACAACAGCATGGCCCAATGGAGAGAATGCTGGATTTGGTGTCAGTGACTTGGGTTTAAATCTTGACTCTGCCAGTTACCACTTGTGGGACCTCAGGCAAACTATTTTTCCTCTCCTTGCCTCAGTTTTCTCCTATACAATATAAGGGGATTGGTCTTAGTGATCTTTAAGTTCCATTTCAGCTCTAAATACATAATTGTTAAATAGAAAAATGTACTGCCTGATAGAAACAGAGAAGGAACAATGAAAAAGGCCAACCTCATGTGGCTGGTTAATCTTTCCTTTGTAGGAGTAGGATGTAAAGCATTGTTTGATCAACATACTGTTTCATCATGAACAGTTTTGACTTTTCCTCTTCTTCTCGAAGCATCAAAAACTTTTTTAACTTCAAGTCAAACATCTCAGCTCCTCTAAGTATGCAAAAGAAACATTATGTTATCCCAGCATATGAAATCAAGTCAGCTTGCTTGGCATTCACTGAGACATATGAGACTATTTTACCTTGTGTTGGAGGAATGCATTCATCAAGAAAGGCATTCATTGAGTAAGACAAATATAGCTTAATGTAGCAGAAATGCATTCTACCAAGAATCAAGAGACCCAGGTTCTAATCCCAGCTCTATCACTAATTCACTATTTGATCTTGGGCAACCACGTCACTTTTCAGAGGCTCAGTTTCCCTTTCTATAAAATAAAACCACCCAAAGTTGATTCCATTACAGTCATATTACATATTACTCCTGGCTGTTCCACAAACTGGATGCTCCATCTCTTGGCTCCAGGCTGTCCTCCATACCTGGAATGCTATCCTACCTCTGCTCTGACTACTGACATCCCTGGCTTCCTTTAAGTCCCAACCAAAATCTCACCTCCAACAGGAAGCCTTTCCCAAGTCTTTTTAATTCCAGTGTCTTCCTTCAGTTAATGATTTCCTATTTATTCTATATATAGCTTGCTTTGTGTATATTTGTTTGCATGTTGTCTCCCCTCCATTCGATTGTAAGCTCCTTGAGGGAAGGACTGTCTTTTGCCTCTTTTTGTATCCTTAGCACTTAGCAACATGCCTGGCATGTAATGAGCACTTAATAAATGTTTATTGAATCCAATTGAATCCCAGCTCTGAGATGTGACAATACTCAATATTCTGAGATATATTCTGAGATATGACATTTCCCACCCTGTACTCAGTGGCATGTTGCCCATGTACCTGGATACTAAGACCTCAGTGGCTTTTAGATCAGCCACAACATAAAGATGATAGTAACTTGTAAAGATTCTCCTCTGGATTAGCAAGAAGGTGAAACATATAGCATCCCATAGGATCCCAGCATCCTTTTCTGGAGGTTCACACCCTTCATCATCAGGAATGGCTACACAAGAAAGAACATGAATATTTATAAGCTTTTCTGTGAGGACATGGTGGGTATAGTCAGCATAAGAAAAGTATTATTTTGTCCCCTATTTCCACCCTACCCCCCTTTCCCCCCATGTCTATGAGCAGGGATAATAATTATAGAGCTTAGGCACTCCCTCTCATCATTCCTCCTTCACTCATTTTTTTTTCCCCTTCTTCCACCAAAGCCCAAAGTGTTAGATAGCAGGATGGGATATAGAGAGCAGGAAGAGGAAGGAAAAGTGAGATCAGGATTTGGAGACATAATTAGGGTTTAGGGAAAGTGATCAGAATTGGAAAAAGACAGTCCAGTCTTTCCCCACCTCCAAACCTAATTAGTTGATATTAGACATTCTATATCTATTGCTGTGTGAACTTGAACAGCTACTTTGCCACTTTAGGCCTCAGTCTCTCCTGTAAAATAAGAATGAGAACACTCAACTGATAGAAGAAATGGTAAAAGGACAGATGAGAGAAGAGGGCTCTGAACTCTTTAGAAGGCAGGTATAGAAATTCAAGATGTTCTATAAAACCAGGAGTAAAATAGTCTTTCCTTTCTCCCCCATTCCCAAGATCAAGTCAGTTTCATCTGTTGTCAGGCAGAATTACGGTCCTTTCCTCTCTAAAGAGGGCATGGTCCTGTGCTGCACTGCTTGTAACACAATCCCTTGAAGGATTGTCACTGGGGAGTGGTCAGAACACTGTCAGTCACTGAATAAGTCTAGTGTCACATTGACATGACCCTGGACCTGAAAGAGCCAACTTGACTGGAATGTTCCTCGAGGGACAGGTCAGAAAAGTATATACCTTTTGCTCTTTTATTTTAATTGTATATGACATTTTAAAAAGTATATGATATTAATTACATGAAAGTAATTTAGGGAGAAATTAAATAGGAACTTAAGAGAAAAATCATGCCAATCACTGTACTGTAACCTACTTGTAGGTGCATTTAATATGAACTCTACTGCTGGGAAAAATATAGCTCAGGCACAGCTGTGGATGAATGATTTGTATATTCCAAGTACTTCCTGAATACTCCCATAAATACACATATCAAGTTTCTAAAAAATTAAGTGAAGGTGTCAAATCTATTTAGTTGCTTTTGTCTTTAAGAAGAAATTCTTATGGTAAAGTTTTCTTCTTTCTTTCTTCTTTCCCTTTCCTTCCCTTCCCTCCCTTTTCTTTCCTTTCTTTCCCTTCCTTTTCCTTCTACTTCCTCCCATCTTCCCTTCCTCCCTTCTTTCCTCTTTTCTTTCCTTCCTTCCTTCCTCCCTTCTTTAGTACCTTCTTTCTTACCTTCCTATCTTCCTTCCTTCCCTCCTTTCTTTCCTATTAGCACAGGGACCCAGTGAAATTCATTTCCTAAATGAGCTCATGACTTTTCTTCTGAGAAAATGGATGTATTCGCAATTTGGGACCAGTTTCTAGCTTGGTTTCTCTCCATATTCTTGTCTAGAACATGAGCTGTGTGAAGTTTCTGCTCAACTTGCATAGTCTTTTTCCCTTGGAAAGAGGAGGTGAGTGCAGTGGGATGGGCACTTGTGCCAGAGATGAAAGCAGGTGGCCAGGTACTTACCCCAATGATGAGAAGAGCAGACTGGGTACTTACATAAGCTATAGCCTCCTATTGTGCAGTATATGCTAAAACTGCGAACAAACCAGCAGTGGGAACTCAGTAATCCCTCCAGGTAAGCGCAAGCTCCAATTTACAGTTAGACAAGGAATACAGGAAATGCTCAGTACAGAATCACAAGATCTCAGAGCTGAAAGGTGATCTCAGCAGTTATCTATTCCAAAGCTAAGCTGTATAGGGATCTCTCTGTGATTGCTGCATTTGTCATAACAGCCACAGAGACAGTACAAGAAAAGCATTGGCTAGGAATCCAAAAATCTGGGTTCAAGACCCTACCTTATCATTTGCTGCATGACCCCAGCAAGTCATTTAAGCTACTTGAGCCTCACTTTCCTCTTCTTTAAAATGGAGATAACAATACTTGCCCTGCATTGCAATGACCGTCACAAGGTTATCGTGAGGATCAAGTGAAATAAGAATTATTCAGCAATTGAGCAACAAGCATTTATTAAGCACCACCTGTGTGCAAGGCACTTATTCAGCAGTACTCAGAACTGTGACATCATCGATGTGAGTGCTTTGGTGCAGATCATAGCCCCTCCATGCCTTGGTAACTTTCATTTACAGAAAAGACAATTGCCACCTTATGGCCAGTGTACCTCTCTACTATTAGCCAGGCTAGTCCTGAACCGCAGACACACCGTCCATCACCGGGACTTCCTTAAAGCTTTCCCTGCTTGGTATTGAACTTGCCAAAGCTTGTGCCCCACTCTTGTAGCCTTCCAGAGTCCAGAGTCACCCCCAAACCAGGATGAGGCTTCAGAGGAGTACTTTAAATGTCATGCAGACTTACAAAATTTTAATGGTGGACTCTGAGAGGCAATGCGGTCACAATGGATAAAGATTTGGATTCAGAGCCATGGAAACTGGGTTCAAGTACTGCTTCTGATATATACTGACAGTGTGTGACCTTTGGCAAATCACTTAACAGTCTCAGTTCTCTAGACAACTCTCTAAAACTACATGTTACATGCTGGAAGGAGGCCGTTTTCTTATCTGGGAGTTTTCTATATCAATGAAATCACAAGTCCAGTCCCTAATAAGTATCCCTAATAATAGGTCCTAGTCCTTACTTGTTAATTCATAAATCATTCCATTCCCCCTATCATCACTCAATTCATAGCTCTTAGTCTCAAAAGCTTCTCTAAGAAGCTCATGCTGGGGGCAGCTAGGTGGCGCAGTGGATAGAGCACTGGCCCTGAAGTCAGGATGGACCTGAGTTCAAATGTGGCCTCAGACCAAACACTTGACACATACTAGCTGTGTGACCCTAGGCAAGTCACTTAACCCCAACAAGCAAAAAAAAAAAGAGAGAGAGAGAGAGAGAGAGAGAGAAGAAGCATGTGCTTCATGGCAACATTTTAGGCATTCTTTAGTGTTTTGTAGATTAACCAGTTAGGGCCTGTACCTGTGATTTCATTGATTTGGGAACTCCCAGATGGTAAAACTCTCAATGCAGGTCAGTATCTTCTCTGAAAATGTATAGTCTAATACAGCTGTCTATTAGTGCACTGAGAAGTTAAGTAATTCGCCCAGGGTCACACAACCAGGACTCAAATCCAGTTCTTCCTGGTTCTGAGGCCACCTTTTATTGATTGTGCCATTGCGGACTCTTTGGGGTCTTTTGCCTTGGTTAAATATATGAAAAACATGATCTTTTAAGATCACTGCTTGTCTTGGTAATACTCATTCATTTTTTTAAGGCCCTAAGAGAGCTGAGCTAAAAACAAACAAAAAACAATCCCTAGGAGGTATGTGAAGGTACAAACATACACTTAGAAGATTCTTCATGGCAATCACTACAGCAGTATATAATCAGGTAGTCCCACCGATGGAGGATAATTTTCATGTGTCTCAACAGGAGGGCCCTTCCATGGAGCATGAAGTAGAAAAAGGCTACCAGGTAGCCAGCACAGAGGATGTTGATTCGAGTTGTCCTGGTGAGGAAAACCAGGCAGAGTACAAACCAGAAGTGGTAGCGGAACACAATGATTTTAGCCATATCAAGGTAGGACCTAGAAGACAGAACAGGTGAGTCAAGTAGACATTTGGGCTTTCATAAAGTGAGACACTATTAGCCTAATTGACCTAATTAGACCTAAGTGGCCTGGAAGGTCCTTTCCAATGCTAAGATTCCATAAGTCTTGGAATCTGAGAGTTAGAATGGGTCCTCCAGCCTAGTGGAGAAATCTCCTTTATGAGTTCTCCTACAAGTAGGTATTTAGCCTCTTGTTGGAGATGTCCAGGGAGAAGGCACTCACTACTATGAGAGGCGGTATGATGTGGTGGGAAGAGAAGTGCATCTGGAGACAGAGGACCAAGGTTCAAATCCTGGCTCTGATACTAACATATCACTCTGGGCAAATATTTCTCCTATCCCTATCTAAGCCTTAATTTCCTCATCTGTAAAATAAGGAATTGAACGAAATGATTTCTAAGATTTTTTCAGGTCTAAATCTTATGACTCTATGGCCCAACAAAAGGAAAGAACAAAAAATATTCTCTAGGAGTTAAATAAAGTAACTTGGGAGCATTAGAAAGCAATTTACTAAAAAATGGGACTGTAATAATAGCTAATAATAATAGGTACCATTAATATAGTGCTTTATACATTATTTCACTTGGTCCTCACAGCAACCCTGTGACACATATGCTATTATTACCCCAAATTTATGTTTGGGGAAATTAAGGCAGAGGTTAAGTAAGTGACTTTTCCAGGGTCACACAGCTAGTAAGTGTCTGAGACAGAATTAAAACTCAATTCTTTCTGACTCCAGGTTTGATACTGCACCACCTAGCTGCCTCTGTAGGACTAGATTACAGGTGGGAAAGTTCAGAAAGTAACTTTGACTATTCAGAGGAAATTTTATAAAAACATTAGGAACAGGATGAACCAGAAAAGGGCGGGCCATTCTTCTGTGGCCTCACTGGACTCTGAGTCTTACCGGCAGTAAATAAAGTTCGGTACTGGAGTGAATTGACTGAGGTCTTCTGGAATCAAATCCTGGCTTATCTCCACATTATCTCCCACCTTCACTGTTACAGAAGCCTTATTCTCATCTTCAAATACTTGCCACTGGAGAAAGGCAAAGAGCAGAAGCAAAAAATCATCTGTGGAGATATGTAGGAATGGAATTAGACCCTTTGCAAGGTGGTCTACTCCACATTTAAACAGGCGTTCACTCAATCAGTTCTACTGAAGTCACTATTCATGGGTCAAGTCCTTTAGGGCAGTAAAACTTTATACTTAAATAGAATCATTCATCCTCCCAAATCACTTTCCAACTAATTCCCTTATCACCTCCCTTTTGGGAGGGGAGGGGGACAAAGAGACCATTGTGATTTTCAACTAGCCCTAAGTAGGACAGTAGCAATATCACCAAAAGGTCTGTGTGGGGTCACAACTAGGATAGGGCAAGCAAAGGCTTTGCCCAGGGCATAGAAATTTAGAGGGTGCTGATAGCACTTTCGTCTAACCCAATTAGCAGTTCAGAAACAGTTTAGCACCTAGTTCCAGGCAAAATAAGTTAAAAATAGGAATTTACCTGATAACATTTACTCCTCCCTCCCCATCACCACTGGCTGCAGCAACTCAAGTTAGCTCCTCCCAATCCTGAACTCATTTGCTTCTCCACCAACCCTGCCATCAGAGAGTCTCCCTAGAAGTAGCCTTGCAGTATCCTGGTACATCCACTGATCTCCCCACCCTGCCCCTCATGTGTTTTGTGACCCTTGCCCCAGGTACAGAATGGCTGATTATGACTCTGGGTCTATGGAGTAGAGCAGATTCCCTGCTCAAAATGTTTAACACAGAAGCACAGAAAGCCTTTGATACATGGTATGGTTCTAAGCGTAATTTGAACCGGACTTTGAGTTGACCATCCTATCCTCAGCACCACCACCAACTTTTTTTTTTAAGGCATCTGGGGGGTTAAGTGACTTTCCCAGGGTCACATAGCTAGTGTTAAGTATTTGGTCTGAGGCCGGATTTGAACTCAGGTCCTCCTGACTTCAGGGCTGATGCTCTATCCATCGCACCACCTAGCTGCCCCACCACCAACTTTAACAGCACAGTTTTCAAAGAAAGGAATAGATTGTGTGTATGGTTAGGAAGTCTGCTAGGAGGAAATTCAAAGAATCACAGAGTTTTTTAACTGGAAGACAGCTTAGAGCTCATCTAGTCCAATTCCCTAATTTTCCAATAAGAAAATTGAGGCTCCAAGAAGGAAGTGGTTGGCTCAAGGAGGCAGAGCTGGTGAGTTACGGAATTAGGCTAAGAGCCCACTTCTCAGACCAATACTCTTCCCATTAAACCACACTGCCAGAGAAAAGTTAGGAGATGAAGGAATGGAATAAGAGATTCACTTCCACAAATAAGTGAACTTTAATAAATGGGCTAATAGTTTTTAGAAGGACTGAGACCACCTAACACAAGCTCTTTTGGTGACAAGAAAGTTCTCACTTTCAAAACACAACTTTGGAACATTTTAAATATGAAATACTTGTTCCTTTTCCCCCCAAGTTACCCATTGATGTCTGTTCTGTCTCACAGCTCATAGCAAAATTGCATTGGAAAAAGCTGATTGAAAAGCACCAGCACAATATTTAAAAGTAAAAACTATTTCATATTCATGATTTTGAACTATATGAATTATCTCACATTACAAGAAAACTGGAACACTATATTCTAGTATCAGTATCTTCTCAGTGATTATTGGAGAGAATACAAAATCATAGTATCATAGAGCATTAAAAGTGAATGGGACCCTGTTGTTCAGTACTGTCTGACTCTTTGTGACCCCTTTTGGGGTTTTCTTCACAGAGATACTGGAATGGTTTGCCATTTCCTTCTACAGCTCATTTTACAGATGAGAAAACTGAGGCAAACAGGGCTAATTAAGAAATATGCCCAAGGTCACACAGCCAGTATGTGTCTGGAGCCAGATTTCAATTCAGATCTCCCTCACTCTATGCTGGGCACCCTATCCACTGTGCCACCTAACTGTCCTTAGAATGGGACCTTAATAAATACTTAATAAACATCTAATCAATCTATAAGCTTTTATTGAATACCTGCTATGTACTACACTGTGCTAGAAATTGGAGATTTTAATGACTTTTTTAAAAATCCTGCTTATCTTTTACATTTTATACCTAGAAGCAGCTAAATGGTGCAGTGGATAGAGTGCTGGGCCTTGAGTCAGGAAGACCTGAGTTCAGATCCAGTCTCAGATACCTATGTGACCCTGGGCAAATCACTTAACCTCTGTAAAATAGGGATAATAATAGCACCTCCTTCCCAAGGTTGTTGTCAGGATTAAATGAGATAATATTTGTAAAGCACTTAGCACAGTATCTGGCACGTGCTTAATAAATCCTTGTTTCCTTCTTTCCTTCCTTTTAGCAGTGAAGATGCTAGAAAAGGAGTATAGAAAGCCCATGTCTACCACAAGATGGAGCCACATAAGATGGAACGCCACTTTACTAGAGCCTGCAAGGCCCAGCTGGTCTGAAGTATCTTTTAGGACAGTGGCATGCAGAAACATTAGCTACTCACACAGGAGAAAAAGAGCATCTGGTTTCTTGGCAAAATCTGGGAGATATAACCATTTAATGAGATTTGAACGGATTGCTGGTCTCATGGATCTCCATGGGTAATCTGTAGAACAAGAAGTCATCTTCATATTATTACCACTACATTTTTTAATCACACTGAGTCAACATTCTGTTAATGCAATTTTTGTTTTTGAGATAAAAGCCCATCTCTGATCTCTCATTATGGTGTATGTGTGGGCGATGGGTAGGTGGGGGAAGGATATAGGATCACAGGATTTATTTAGAGATTAAAGGATCATAATAGTATCATAGATTTAAAATTAGAAGGGCCTTTAGAGGCCCTCTGGGCCAAACCACTCATTTTACAGAGGAGGCCCAAAAAGGTTAAATGACTTGTCCAGGGTCACACAGGTAGTTAGTGACAGAGGCAAGATTTGAACCCAGGTCCACTAAGACCAGAGCCTAGGATTTCTTAACCTTTTATTTTGTCATGGACCCCTTTGGCAAGCTGTTGAAGCCCCTGGAGCTCTTTCTCAGAATAACATTTTGAAATGCATAAGATAAAATATGAAGAATTACACAAAGAAACTGAAGAAAATAAAGATGCAATTTTTTCCCTCATCCAAGTTCTCAGACCCCAGTCTGTGGACTCCAGGTTAAGAAAGCCTCTCGTTTAAAAGAGGGGGATGTGGGTTCTCAAAATATGCACCTACAGAGTACAGCCTCTGACAGGCCCCGAATACAGACTCAGTGTCTGACTGTGTATGTCTCTTGTTGGATTCTCAGCCTCACTGGGGTGAGAGAAGCTCCAGAGGATGGCCCCTGGGTGGTGGTTGTGCTTTGTATGGCAACTCAAAAGCTGTCTACGAAGGTCTGAAAGTTTCCCACCATAGGCTTCTCACAAATACATTTAGATCTGGGAGGAAATTTGGAGGCCATCAAATCCAGCACCTTTATTTCACAGATGAAGTAAGTTGAAGCCCAGAGACGTTGAACCTTGAGTCCCACAGCTAATAAATGTTTGAGTTACAATTTGAACTTGGGCCTATCCGCTGCACTTCCATTGGTGTGGCATTCAAATAGAAATGGGGCTTAAACATTATATAATATATATACATATATTATATTGTATATAATATGTATAGAAAAAGTGTCCCCTATTGGGGCATATTGATGTTATCTATGTTTTGTCATTTCTTATTCATTTTTTTAACTATTTCCCAATTACATTTTAATTTGTCTCAGGATGCATTCAGGGGTGTCTCAGTCCCAGGAATGTTACAGACTGTGTATTTGACACCTTTGTTCTTGGCCACCTAAAAGGAAGTGATTAAAATGGGAAGTGTGAAGTAATATTGAGAAATTAATATTGATGGGAGTATTATTACTGAATCTCTGCTCTGATTGTATCCATCTGAAGCAATATAATATAGTAGAGAAAGCACTGGACAGCCAGGGGCTCTATTACCCGCATCCGGCCTCCTACCTGCCCACATGGGCCTGATGTCTTCTCCTTGGTGGTTATACCCCCCAAAGTTGTTGTGTTGGCTGAGGCCCAAGATTTAAAACCGTGCTCAGAAAAGTTGAAAGCACTAACCAAATGCCAGGGAGTTTTATTTTTAATAAATGATTTATTTAAAATAATATTGAACTCATGGAGTCTGAATGCAAATTGAAACAATTTTTTTTCATTTTCTTCATTTTTCTTGCTGTTTTTTGGTAAAATGGCTAACATGGAAATACATTTTGTGTAATTTCACATGTATAATTGATATCACATTTCTTAGCTTGACAATAGGAGGGGAAGGATGGGAGGAAGGGAGAGAATTTGGAACTCAAAAAATTTTTTTAAATGTTAAAGATAAATAATAATTTTTTAAAATTTTTAAATAAAATAATACTGAATATAGAAACAACTAAGCTTGCTCAGTAACAACTTAGGATCACAGGATCAGAGACCTAGAGATAGAGGGAACTTTTAAGGTCATTTTCAGGTCATTTAAGGTCATTAAGGCCAGCCCCCTTATTTTACACATCAGGAAACTGAGGCCCAGAGAAGTTAGAGGACTTGGTCAAGACTACATGGGTGACAAGTGGCAGAGCTAGGATTTGAATCAGACCCTCCGATTCTCAATGCACGATGCTACCTTACTTACCTGCTTACTTGGATGTAATCCATACTCACGTGTCATGCGCTAGTGGATAGAGTGCTGAGCTTGGAGTAATGAAGACCTGAGCTCAAATATGGCCTTAGACACTAGTAGATGAATGATTCTGGGCAAATCCCTTAATCCCTCTTTGCCTCAGTTTCTTCTTCAGTAAAATGAGAATAATAATAGCATTCACCTTACAGAGTTATCATGAGGATTAAATGACATAACCTGCGTGAAGTGGTTTGGAAAACTTAAAGCCCTATGGAAATGTCTATTTTTGTTGCTATTATTCCATAAATTAAATTAAATGGAAATTACTTATTTACAAGGAATGGCCAGACAAAGTGCTATGAGAAATGTGATGGAAGGAAGAGCCCTTTCAGCTGAGAGTATCAAAGGGCTGCTTCCTGGGGAGCTGAGCACATGAGGGGGACCTTCCCAGACACAAGGAGAGTGCAAGGTCCGTTCTCTAAGATGTGAGCTGAAGCATCTGACAAGCTCACCTTTGCAAAAAGCTGGAGGGATTCCAAAGCACAGAAAGTACTGAAAGGTCATAAGACTGGCAAGAAACCCACAGCATCTTGGCCAGGCCTCAGCAATTGCTTTCCTCCTCCGAAGGCGAAGCAAATAAATTAATGAGCAGATGTGGACCAGGGAATAAAAATCCATGCGCTGTCCTGTGACATTAAGAACAGCAACAAAGCACATCTGGAAGGCAAATATAAATTTAATTAAAGAGCTGAATTAAAAAACATGTGCATATATCCTAGGAGTAGGACTATTTCAGTTCCAGAGTCTAGAAGCTGTTGGGTATTTAATTTGTTTCAAATCCACTTAATAAACATTTATTAAGGACCTAATATACTAGGAACTAGATGGATCAGCAGATAGAGTGCTGGGCCTGGAGTCAGGAAGACCTGATTTCAAATCTGGCCTCTGATACTTATTAGCTGTGTGACCCTGGGCAAGTCACTTAACCTCTGGTTACCCTGAAGGCAGCTAGGTGTCTCAGTGGATAGTTGCTGCTGTTTGTTCTTCCTTCTTGAAGAGGACCATCACATCAGGTCATGATTTGCAAGTGAATTTGATTTAAGTGAGAAAGGGCTGGGTTGGAAGTCAGGAAGATCTGAGTTTGAATTGGACCTCAGACACTTATTAGCTGTGTGACCTTGGGTAAGTCACTTAACCTCTGTCTTATTCCACTGGAGAAGGAAAGGGCAAACCGGTTTAGTGTCTTTGCCAAGAAAACCTCACGGATGGCATGGTCCACGGGGTCGTGAAGAATCGGACACAACTGAGTGAATGAACAACAACAACATGCAGTCATTGTCCTGGGGAGGTGGGAGGATGGGGGCAGGGGGACCATGACTGAGAAGAAGCTTAATGTACTGAGAAAACCACTGGGCCTAAGGTCAGACGGCTCAAGTTCAAATCTCAGTCCCCACCATTACTGGTTATGTGATCTTGGACAAATCCCTTAACTTCTCTGAACCTCAGTTTTCTCATATATAAAATAATACTCCAATTACTGATTTCACAGGATTCTTAATTCTTATTTTATTTCTATTCTGAATTTAATGAACACCAAGATCATTTCCATATATGAAGCAGAACAGAAAAAGAGAATTGTATAGGAAACTGCAAATCTCTGTTAACATAGCTTGGCTTTAAAAAAAAGTACATAATAAATTAAACATGTGACTTTTAAAGCTGTCTTGCTTTGTGTTTCTGTCTCATAGGATTCTTGTAAGGAAAGTGCTTTGTGGACCTTAAAGAGCTAGGAAAGCTTCAAGAGCTCCTTGGGGAGCTTTCAATCTAGTATGGGAGGCAATATTAATTAATAATAATAATAACAAATAGTTAACACATATAGCACTTTAAGGTTTCAAATAATAACATCTATAGCACTTTAAGGTTTGCAAAGCGCTTTACAAATATTATTCCACTTGAGCCTCACAACAATTCTGGGAGGTAAGTGCTATTATTATCCCCTTTTTACAGATGAGGCAACTGAGGCAGATAGAGGCTAAGTGATTTGGAAAGATGACAAGTTCATTTTTGGATGTAGGGAATTGAAAACGTCTAAGAAACATTTAGCTTGAGATCACTAAAAGGCAACTGGAGATGTGAATCTGAAGGTTAGGAGAAACTTCCCCAGGCTTGCACAGCTTATAAGTGTCTGGGGCAGAATTTAGACTTATGTCTTCCTGACTCTAATTCCATTATCCCTATCCACTCTACCAACAGAACTGAATTTAATTTCTTAGGGTTAATGAAGAGACAACAGGAGTTAGTGGATTAGGTACTGCCTGAGATGGCAAATTTCTCTAAGCGTAATTTATATATTTAGGAGGCAAACTGGCATCTAGTTCTCCCACAGTCCCAGTCATTCATGCCAGAGATCCAGAAGCAGAGGTGACCTTATGCAGCTGGAATGTAATCCTGGCCCTGCTGTTTAATACCTAGGTGGCCTTGTGCATATCATGTCACCCTCTAGGTCTTGGTTTCTCCATCGGTAAAATGAGGGGGCTAGGTTAGATCAAGTACTCTTAATGTGGCTTCTGGGAATTTGCTTTTTTTTAAAAAAATGGATAATTATATTTCTACATAATTAGATTCCTTTGTAATCTTTTGTATTTTATTTTATGCATTTAAAAACATTACTCTGAGAAGGGGTCCATAGACTTCACCAGATTAACGGGAGTCCAAGATACAAACAATCCTGGATTAGATGATTCCTAAGGTTTCCTCTGCTTCTTAAACTCTGTGTTAATGCTGTAGGCAAGAATGGGGATAAGAAGAGGGTGGCTCACCTCTAGCCCGAACTTATAGAAACCATAGTTGATGAAATATTTCACCGAGCTCAGTAACCCATCATCCAGGTGCTTTCTAGTGACACCATCAAAAATGCTGCCCAGCAGGGGTTGCTTCAGCTGATTGTGGTGCTGGTAGACTTTCTGGTGCCTGTATATGGTGGCCTCCATTGCCATTAGTGCCAAGGTGGTGAGATGATTCTGTAAAGTCAGAGTGATGGAGAACCGGGTGTTAGCAAGAACCCTTTACTTTTGTTTACCATTGCTTAGCTAACTAAACAAAAAACCTGAAAGTCACTCTCAGCCTCCACACCAGTTACAGGAATAAAATAGTTCATCTGACATCACTTTAGCTCAGGAGCATATTTTCAAAGGAAAACATTCCTTTTTTTATGTTTTACATGATTGCACACATATAACCTATATCAAATTGCCTACCATCTTAGGGGTGGGGAGGTGAGGGAAGGAGAGAGAAAATTTGGAACTCAAAATTTTTTTTAAAAGCAATGTTAAAATTCGTCTTTACACGTAATTGGAAAAAATAAAATACTATTAAAATATTCATTTTTTTGTGACCAGTACTTGCAAGGGAAAGTGAATGTTTCAAACGCTGGGCTATCAGGAAGCCAAGGAAGTTCTGAACATTTTTAATGATGGAAACATTCTCCAATGACTAATCTATCCGTCTTCTAATTGATCTAGGGGGAAATGCTTAGTAAAATTATCACTACTGACAAGCCAAAAAGTTTTTAAACTAATGATAATTGATTCCTTCACTTTGCTTGATTATATTTTATAACTCTTAAGTCACCATCTCAATTCAGAGTCTATGCCCAATTTTATGTTCCATGCAACACCAAGCATGTATCTGGCTTTCAGAGTCATAACTAGCTTGGTGCAATGAGGGCTTTGCCTCAGGGTGTCGATTTGGGTGGAGGAGTGCGTTTCACCATCTCCTGAGAAGTATGCCTCCTGCCCTACAGTAACCACCATTCCTCTGTTGTGAGATATGACCACTCCTGAGACACTCCCCAAGGAGCCTACCACTCTGCTCCTGATTTCTCAGTCTGCCTTCTCCTCACCAACTGCATTTGGGGTCTGGCCCATCTAGGAAAATATCACCATCCTCTTGTGCTACCATCTTTATCCTTCACCTCCCCCCTTACTGAACTTCCCCCTGACCTAAGAATTCTTCATTCCAGTTATTTGGGCTCTCAATAATATTGCTGGTTATTGTTGTAATTAATTTTTTTTTTTGCTTTTTGGTGAGGCAATCAGGGTTAAGTGATTTACCCAAGGTCACACAGCTAGTAGGTGCCAAGTGTCTGAGGCCGGATTTGAACTCAGGTCCTCCTGACTCCAAAGCCAGAGCTCGATCCACTGTAACACCTAGCTGCCCCAGTTGTAATGAATTTTGTTGTAAAAATAGACTGATGCATTAAAAAAAAATTCAATAAGAGATGTCACCACTTCGAATCAGCCATAAATATCTCTTGTCTTTCCCATGCAAGAGGAGGCTGTGCAGCATAAAAGCACCAGATTCCCCCCTGCCCCAGATATTAATTGGTAGATAATGAAAAACAAATGTTCTCCAAGTTTAATTGTGAATTATACATATTCTTCATTTTCCCCACAGATATAGGACATGACATGAAAAGGTTTCTCTTATTAGATTATTTCCCTTAGCTATGTTACCCATGAGCCAGTCATTCCAGAGCAATTTTAAAATAGGAGCTAGCTCTTTAAGATAGAGAATGATGCTTTTTGCAAGGCTCAAGACATCCAGGAGTGTTACCATCATCTGAAACAGATTGAAAGCAGAACTGCAGCCCAGATCCACTTCCTTGCCAGCCATAAATCTCACAGATATACCTTGCTTAGATTAACCTTCAATTGCCCTGAAAAATCTTTGAAATTTATCTTCTCATCTGCAGACAAGGAGAGGGGAACTAAACAAGATCTCTCTCTGTTCATAGGTGCTTGAGGATCTTTGGATTGCCCATTTTGTAAGTTTCTAGTCTGGGATCCTGAAATTAAACAGTGCTCTATTGGGGCCTGAAACTTTTTACTTAGAACCCAGGCCAAGTTCCTTTTTTTTTTCTGGCTTTAACTAATAAACCAATGTTAGTGTCTGCAGACTCCCAATCTATTCTTAGTTTCCAGTCTGAGGCTGAAACCACTGAGGGCAAAATAGAGACAGGGAATGAGGAAGTTTGTTGCAATGGAAGAAGACCTGGATTTGCCATCAGAACACCAGGGGTCAGCAGGTGCGACATTGGGCACGCCACTTTCTTTTTCTGGGCCTCATTTTCCTCATGGGTAATAAGAGGGGTAGATGAGATTGTAGGGCAGCTAGGTGGTGCAATGAACAATGTGCCGGGCTTGGAGTCAGGAAGACTCATCTTCCTGAGTTCAAATCCAGCTTCAGATACTTACTAGCTGTGTGACCCTGGACAAGTTACTTAACCCTGTTTGCCTTAGTTTCCTCATCTGTAAAATGAGCTGGAGAAGGAAATGGCAAAACACTCTAGCATATTTGCTAAGAAACGCCCAAGTGGAGTCACCAACAGTCGGACATAACTGAAACACAAACAGATGAGATTATCTTCCCCCTACTTTATATATCTTGTATACCTTACATGTTGTCTTCCTGATTATAACATGAGCTCTCTGAGGGCAGAGATTGCTTTTGCCTTTCTTTCTATCCTCAGTGTTCAACACAGTGCCTGGCATATAGAAGGCACTTAATGAATTGCTCATTGACAGACTGACTTCTAAGGTCAGCTTGAAGCTCTCCCCAGGTTTTTTCTTCTGATTATATAGCATGTCCCATAGAGCTACTAGGAATTGTGGCATATACCTGTAAACCTTATTATGTCTGAGACTGGTGGATTGTTTGAGCTTGGGAGCTCAGAGCTAAAGTGGGCTAAAGCTGTTTAGGTATCTGCACTAAATCCCACATCAAAATGGTGAACCCCCAGGTGGGAGGGACCACAGTTAAAGAGAAATAAATCTGCCCAGATCTCATCATTGGTGGGAGCAAGTCTGACTGAGTGGCTGCTGAACTTCCAACCTGGCAAGATAGATAGACTGAAGAGAGAGGAAGAGGAGGAGAGGGGCGAGAAAAAGATGGAGGTGAGAGGAGGAGGAGAAGAAGAAAAGAAGAAGAAGGAGAAGGAGGAGGAGGAGAAAAGGAAGAAGAAGAGGAAGAAGAAACAGAAGAGGAAGAAGAATGCCAGAGTGTTACTTTTTTAGGCATATCCACTGGACAGTTTTCCACTTACCTTCAGGCAAGGTAACACTTTGGCGTCACATTTTCTTAGTCCCCCAAACCAATATGCTGGATCAATAAGGGAGATATATAAGAGAGAAGCCTTCTGCAGTTCCGCCAGGTTGTCAGGTGGAAGGATTCCATTCTGATATAGCCCCTAATAGGAAACAGGGAAGATAATGACATAAGTTAGTATTACACAATACAGCAAGTATTTGAGATCATAGGATCATAGCTCCAGAGCTGGAAGGAACCTCTGAGACCATCAAGTCCAACCCCATCGTTTTACAAATAAGGGAACTGAGTCCCAGGGTTGTTAAGTGATTTGCTCAAGGTCTCATGGTAAGCATCAGGAGATGGATTTGAACCCTGGTCCTCTGACTCCAGAGATGGTGCTCTTTTCACAGTGCCAGACTACTTCCTCTCACTCATCTTAGTCCCCCAAAGCAGAGGTGCAGGAGGAGTTGACCAGTAAAGGATATGTAGAGAGAACAGTGAACTGAGATTCAGGATGCCTGGCTTCTGGTTTAACTTTGCCACTAACTTTCCATACAACCTCTCATCACTTCTTTAGGCCTTGGCGAAGCCTTCCCTCATTTCTCCAAATGGAAGTGATTTCTCCATACTTACATTGTTCTAATATGTATTATATTTGTCTGTGTGTGTGTATACACACACACACACACACACACACACACACATATATCTTATATCACCTAAGTGCCCTGAAACAAGGGGGCTATGTCTACCTTATTTTGGTAGCTCTCCCAGTGCCTAAAATGCACTGCCTATCAAACACTTAATAAATATTCACTGAATAAATACATGGATCTTCGTGTCCTCATCTGTAAAATAGTGGGGACCACAGGCAGAATTCAAATAGATGACTTCCAAGGTCTAAGATTCTATAAACCTGTGGGCTCTTCTAACCCTCGCTGTCACTCAGGCTGTCCACCATCTAAGTCCTTAGGATTTCTTTCCAGCAATTACAATCTTAGAAAGTAACTCCTTCCCTTATTTTCCTACTTCCTTCCCCAGGAGTCAGGTAGCAGTAGCATTATACCTTCAGATAAGTTGCTTTAAGTACACACAAACTTTCTTACTACTAGTAGGAGAAGTCATTCTCAAGAGACAAGGCACTGAGGGGCAGATAAGTGGTGAAGCAGGTAGAGCACCAGCCCTGGAGTCAGGAGGACCTCAGCTCAAATTTGATCTGAGACACTAGCTGGGTTATCCTGGGCAAGTCAATTAATATCGAGAGAGAGAGAGAGAGAGAGAGAGAGAGAGAGAGAGAGAGAGAGAGAGAGAGAGAGAGAGAGAGAGAGAGAGAGAGGGCACTGAGGGGGAAAGAATGCTGAGCTTGGAGTTAGGAGATTAGAGTTCACAACCTGGCTCCAACACTTACTATCTGTTGTTATTTGTCCTTCATTCTCAGAGGACCATGACATCAGTAAGGTGATGTCATTACCGGCAAGTGAATTGGATTTAAGTGAGGGAGGGCTGTGCAAAGTCACCAGTCTCACCTTCTCCTCCGGAGACATCTGAGTCCAGTGGCAAAATATAGATCAAGACAACTAAAGATGGCCCTTTTACTATCTGTATGACCCTAAGCAAGTCTCTTTACCCTTAGTTGCCTCATCTGTAAAATGGGTATTGGCTTACACTACCAAGAAGTATTTTATAAACTTTAACATGCTAGATAAATGTGTTTGGTTATTATTCAGAGGGCACACTGTATACAAGTAGACAGTTATAAGTATTAAAATAATTTTTTAATTGGTTCTGGACCTGCGATGAGCTCCACCAATGCAGATCAGCATTTGTTCATCAACTAAGACTCTTAGTTTCCTGAGGCACGGAGAGGTTGTGACTTGCTCAGCCTCAGAGCCAGTTCTTCCTGACTTGGAGGCCAGCTCTTTAAACCACTATGCCATGCTGTCTTTCTAGTAGAAGAAGAGCAAGAATTCAAGCATGTCTAGCTTGGAAGATGCCTTGCTCATAGACCCCCGCACAATGAGGGGGTTAGAGTTACTGGGTGATCTCTACAATCTCCTCCTGACCTAATGCTCCATGTTATAAGATCATTTCTAAGGTCTCATGGTAGATCACCCTATTCTTTGCCAGGGTTCTCACCTCAGTGCTATTTGAAGAGTAGGTCAGAGGTTTGACAAACTTCAGCTGATACATCATTTTGCAGATGACCATTACGCAAGCCCAAACCATGCAGATGTGTGATGCATACAGGTGTAATTTGGAATAGGGCAATGCAAACACCCAGATGATGTAGAATAGACAATTCATGAAGGAAACCTGGAATAAAGATTTTGGTGAGTGTTGATTGGATCCCGTTTTCTATTTTTCTGTGCATGTGAATCCTGCTGATTTTATAGGTCCAGAGTCAAATGGTGATGTGTTAGGAAGGACAGAAATACGCATTTAGATATGCTCAACTGGTTTTCATCTTGAGGTCCACCTGGCTCTCAAAGTTCCAAAAATCTGAATTTAAACTTCCACACACTAGAAGAAAAAAAAATGCCCCTCCACAGTTCCCCTGAAAGGCAGTTTCCTCTGGATCACTAACCTCCTGAAGAGTAACCCAGATGATCACAGTGGAAACAACCTTGATGATGTGTATTTCCAGGAGTCTCCATAGTAACGCTTGAGTTCCATTAACTATTTCTAGAAGTTTCAGAAAACCAGTAGTTAGCTTGTCAATCATCCAGTTGCAATTTCTTGTTTCTCTGAGAAGGGAGAAAAAAGCCATGGCTTAGAAGTACTATACTAAAACCTTATTAAGACTAATTGAAGACTGTTGGTGAAAAGTCTGAATTGTGGATTGTTTTTAAAGACATGTCATTGAATACTTTGAAGTGCATTTATAATAACCATAGTGAGGCTCATTAAACATTGCCAAATAGAAATCTTTTTGGACCTGCTTTAATGGATAGATCAGATGGTTGTAATTAGCACATTGTTTGTACATAAGTGCTTTTGAAGTACTTAAAACACTTTTTTCTCTTTAATAGATCAAGCATTTGACTCAAATCTTGATGAAACCTAATGTTTCCTGTTTGGTGAGCTCTTTACCAAAGTTGATAACAAGGAGCTACCATATTTATATTTATATTCTTCTTCCCCCAGCCTCATACTATTCTATTCAAAGCAGCACTCATTTACTGAATGAATGAATTTGCAAGCCCTTTCTCCACACATAGTACAAAAACAGACTTCAGCCTTTTCCCTGTCAGAATTAGCATACATTCCTAATTAGCAGGGTCTGATCTAATGAGGTTTGCCTACATGTGTGACCAAAATGACTTAATAGTTAGCATTAGAAGGGAAAATAAAGTACAGGAGGTGCTAGGGGAATATGACATTAAATTTATTCAGTTTCTGAGGCAGTGTAGGAAAGAGTTTTAATTTTCTCCTAATTAGCTTTGTAAATTAAATCTGGCCTCAATTTCCTCATCTGTAAAATAAGGAGATTGGACTGAGTGAAATCTAAAGTCTCTCCTAGCTCTAAAATTGTATTAATACCCTTCAACACCACCCATCCTTGCCTGTCAAAATATTACCCATTCATAGGATTACAGATCAATAGCTGGAAGCAACCTCAAAGGCCTTCTAATCCAATTCCCTTATTTTACAGATGTGGAAACTGAGGCCCAGAAAGGGTAAGTGACTTGCCCACGGTTCCACAACTAATAAGTATCAAAGGGTAGGATTTGAATCTGACTCCAACTCAAAGCCTTAACCTCTACACCATTTTTTAAGGTCCAGCTCAAATGCCCTCCTCCATGAAGCTTTCCTATCTCTCGCCATGAGTTATCCCATTCTTCTCTGAACCACAGTATTTTACATTTTTTTTAACAACAATTTACCAAATCCTATTATATGTTGCAATTATTTCTATATGGGTCTATCCAGCTAGCTAGGTGACCCAGTGGACAGAGCTCTGACTGTGTGACCTTGGGCAGCCATTTAATCTCTTTCTGCCTCTGTTTTCTCATTTTTCAAATGGGTAAAATTGTAGTATCTACCTCCCAGGGTTGTTGTAAAGATCAAATGAGTTAATATTGGAAAGGCACTTTGCACACCTTAATAAATGTTATATAAATGTTAGCTATTATTGGACTAGCTATTACTTGATTGTAAATTCCTTAAGAGCGGGCATTATGCTATGTCTTACCCATTTTTACATTCCCCATGCCTCCTCTCCTCTCACCCTGGGACTCGCACAAAAGGAGCACCCAATAATTATTTGTTGAATTAAATTGAATTTATTGGAAGAAAGAAAAGATGACGTATTTAATTGGCCTAACAACTTCGAAATTTGTCAGATCTGATTGAGGACTTGGCAGAGGTGGGGTGGGGGAGGGAACAGGGTTTGGTGGTTGCTTGTTTTTTATACAAAATTAATTACTTAACACTATGTCCTGCCTAGGGGTCAATGCGGCACAAAGGAAAGGATGCTGAATTTGGGGTTGGAAAACTTGAGTGCAAATCCCATCTCTGTCAATTACTGTGTGACTGCAGACAAACCACTTAACCTCTATGGCTGTCAGTTTCCTCATTTGTAAAAAAGAAAGGGTTTGACTTTATGACATCTAAAGTCACCTTCAGCTCAAAATCTGTGATCCTAATATACAGCCCAAAGACCTACAGACAGAAATCAACTTCCTGGTATGCCAGAGTGTCAATTTGGCACAGCTGAGAACTGGGATCCTTGGAAAAGTCATATATGACCTATTTATTGCTGATCAGCTGTCTAACCTGCTGGTCCTTTCTGTTCTGGCTGCTCATTTTCCTCCTGCTTCTGTTTTTCATCCACTGTGACAGTGCCTAGATCATTTGTGGAGTTCTGAGTTTCGTCATTTTCTTTCCAGGCATCAGACTGCAGAACACAGAAAGAGTGGGCTTAGACCATCTTAAAAAACATCGATTCATTTGCCAACTTCCTCATTTGCTGGGTTGGGTTTTAAAGGTCACAGATGAAATGGGTCCTCATCACTGGTAATGGAAAGAATGAGCTGATTTATTTATTCTAAAGAATTTTAAAACACTATGACCTGCTTCCATTAGCATTATTCTGAATTACATCAATATTTTTCTCATGCACGCAGGGAAAAAAAAAAAGACTGACTCCAAATCAAGAAAGTGACCTAGCAGGGTAGAAGAACTGAACTCCAAGTTAGGATACTCAATTTTGAAATAAAAATCATTAACTTTTTGGCCTTAGACAAACCACTCAACCTTTTGGAGTCTCATTTCTGCATCTGTACAATAGGGAGAACAATATTTATGCCAGAGGTTTTTAATCTGTTTTGTATATGCCATAGACCCTTTTGACAGTCTGTCAAAACCTATTGACTCTTTGGAATAATGTTTTTAAATACATAAAATAAAATATCTAGGATTATAAAGAAAACCAGTTATATTGATACATACTTATCAAAATTTTGACAAGAGAAATTCACAGAGCTCAGGTAAAGAACCACTGTGTACTAGCTTCCATGTGAGGTTGCTGTGGGAATCAAATAATGCATATGAGAACTTTTGCAAACTAATATACTGGGGCTGCATGTAGCATGCAATGCGTCAAAGTGAGCACAAGCTTATTTAATTCTCACCTATTCTGAAGTTTCCAAATTGTTGCTTTGAGCCTAAAAACAAAGAAAAGGAATAGTTTATCAAATATGTATAATTTATTGGCTAATGTCCTTGTTTCTTAACCAACTCTCTGAGTCCTGCTTCCAAATATTGCAAATCCCCCCCCACAAGGTACCAATTTCCCAATCTCATTCCACATAAGAAAAGACAATAGAAAGGAAATTGTATTTGTTATGTTCACCTACGGCATTGTCTGCCTGCATGGATCATAGAAGGATGTGACTTCTGATTGTGTGATTTGTGCCAGAACCTCTTGCTGATCATTGTCAATTTTGCTCCTGTTGATGTCTTACGTGTGGAAACAGTGATATACAGCTAAGAGCTGAATGAGAATCCCTAAGAAACTGGCTAGTTATATCAGCCTCTCCTTCTCCCCTTTGACCATTTGTTTATTGGGGATTGGAATTTATTCTTGTAAATTTGTATCAATACTTTGTTTTCCCTTCCAGTCCTCCTTTCAGCTTTTTAATGTGTTCTCTTCCCCCCTCAGAACTTAAGCTCCTTGAGCACGGGGATTGTCTTTCTTTTTGTTTATCTTTGTATTCCCAGGCAGTGCTTAATAAATGCTTGTTCACTGATTGACTGAGATAGCTGGTGAGAAAGTTTCTGCAAAAAGTTAAAAGAAAATAAGAGACTCACACATCTGCCAGAAGATGTACATCATTTTCAATCGTCTTATTTCTAGGAAATACAGAACAGTTATGTTGAAAACAGATACCATAACAAATGATACTATAATATGAGGACAACCTATTTCAGAAATATGCCCCCCCCCTTCCATAGAAGAAAATGCAAGAGCCAGACTGAGGAAATATTAACTTTTTTCAGGCCAGGCAGTCACAGGAACCACATGACCTAAAATTGAGTTGCAAGTCCAGGTGATTGTTCTGTATCCATGAGTAGGTTCTGAATGGATTCTCCATGAAGATGGAGTCACAACCTACCATGTTCTCTCAAAGTGAGCTCTGGGCTTCTTATGTAATGAACTTCCTTTACTCTGTAGAGGGGGATAGCTTCTGGGGATCCCCCTTCCTGGGCTCCCCAGGATTGCTATCTGAATAAAAGGATGAACTCAAGTTGGGAAAATCATGTGTAATGAAGAGCACTGGGGTTTGGTTTGGAGGAGGAAACCCATGTTCTCTTATGTTGTCTGTGCAATCAGGCATCTGGGTAGGGCAGTGAATAGAGCACTGGACCTGGAATCAGGAAGAATTGAGTTCAAATCCTGCCCCAAACACTTACTAGCTGTGTGACCATGGGCAGGTCTCTCTCTGCCTAAAGAGGAGATCATAATAGCAATTACTTCCAAAAATTGTTGTGAGAACAAAATGAGGTAACAGTCATAAAGCACTTTGACAATTTTAAAGAGTTGTATAAATGCTAGTTATTATTATCTATAACTCATACTGTCTTTTCTTTTCCATCAAGCTAGTTATGTCTTTAATAGAGTCAACTAATCAGGTCAAAAATGAAAAAAAAATATGGGCATAGAAAGGATAATGGATAATTCCACAAAGACAGAGAAGCCACAATTTCTACAACAAATTTTCAAAAATTAAAAAACCCATCCCCAAGCCCCAAGATAAATAGCAATTCTGTTTTTACTGAGTTCTCCCTCCTTAAATTTTCTCCTATTTATCTGTGTATTTGTTGTATTCTCTCCCCTCTTTTAGTAGAATAAGAACCCCTTAAAGAGCTATTTCATTTTTCTCTCTGGATTCCCAACACCTGGCTTAGTGCCAGGTACAGAGCAGGTACTTCATTATTGTCAGAATGAATTGAATGGAATGGAATATATGTGGGGGGAAGGGTGTTCTTAATCAAATTTCTTGAGTGTAGACTCTTTGCATATATGTTGGGCTGTCCAGTGTTGCCCTGGTGATGAGAGTACCTGTCAGGTGTGCCTTCCAAACTGATTGGAGTATTATTCAGGCTGGTGATCTTGAGAAAGTCTTCATTAAAGTAATGCAGCTGTAGGATGCATGCCAGGAGAAAAGCCACAGGTAGCATAATCTTTGCAAACAGCTCCACTGTATCAAATTGTTCCAGCCCTATGTCTCTTAACCTGGCAAGGCAAGTGAAAGAAGGAGGAGGAATCATTTAGGCAGACCTGGAGGCTCACGCTTGTTTTTCACCCCAAAAAATAAGGACATCTGACCTGTGCATCTATTGTTAGCACTTCTCATTGATGACTCCTTTCCTCTTACGAAAGGTGAATAAATTCAGCTTTGCTGCTAACATACTCCCACTAACATTATAATATCTTCATATAAAATGACTTCATACTGCAGACATGAGTTTACTTAGCTGTAAGAGGAGCTCTGATGACTTAAAGGCTTTTCAAAAAAAAGTTAATGCATGCTGCCCATGTAAAGATTCGATTATGTTTTATGTTTGCTCATATATTCCGATATATAGATCTAGGGGCAGGATTAGACCAAAGAATTATAATGGCGCCATGTCAGAGGTGCTACAGAAATGGAGGTGATTAGAAATTTAGTCTTTATAAGGCTACCCTGACCAACAGAACTTCAAGGTAATGTAATCAATCCATTATAGCCAATTCTCTGCCCCCTCCAAAGTCTCAAAACCACACTGTAATGTCATTTGGAGCTTATAACATTGTTCTTTTTTTCCTTTTAATATATATTTTCCTTTAAAATAGATACCACATTACATCATATCATATTATATTTTTTCCATTCAGATAATTATCCTTATAACAAATAAGTATAAAAAGAAAGAGGAAAAAAAGCAGTTCAGGTAAATTAACCAATATCTCAACTTAATCTGACAACATATAACATTCTATCCTGTAGACCCTCCACCTCTGCAAAAAAATAAAGAGGGGAGGAAGATGAATTTTCGTTTCTCCTCTCTCTTGAGATTAACTGTTTAAGGGTGAGAATGAGCAGAGGGCTAATCTTGATCATTGAAATTATACAACGTATAACATTATTCTTATAGAACCCCCAGGCCTCTTGTAATGTTTCACCCAATATTGTGTTTTTTCAGGACGAATTTGTGACATATACATGATATGTCTGTACTCCAGAATCTATGGCTGGGACAGGGTAAAGCGATGACTTTTTTTCTTCTTTGCCTCTCACTGCCTTCAGTGAGAACAGAGAAGCACAGCATTGACACATCCCAACCTCCTGTCAGAATAGAGCAGACACATTCAGGAAAAAAGGAAAGGATGCAGTCCAAGCTGTGAGTCCAAATGATAAACAGAATGCCATGCCTGGGTCAAATAAAACAGTTCACCAGAGTAAACCAATCCAAAGACTAGGAATGGGAAACTGAGGCCAGGGCAAATAATCTAAAGTTGGAGGGGTGGGGAAAATCAGCACGGAGTAGGGTAAGGAAACACTACTGAGAGTGCAGTATACCAAGGAATGAGTAAATGACAATTTGTCTCGTGTAAAGTCTCAGCCTCTGTTGTTTCACTTTATGATGGCAGTATGAGAGCCCCAGCTGCTCCTTGCTTAGCTGCATCAGAAATGCTGGAGATCTAAACAAGAATGGGTAGAAGTGGAAGAGGGTGCAGGGAGACAGAATGGGCACTCTCTGTTCTGACAGGTGGCTGCTGTAGAAGGGCTTCCCTGTGCCTGAGCTACCATGAGCAGCTGGGACAAGCTCAGCTGTGGCTTGGATACTTCCAATCCAAGCAGCTGTAGCCAGGACATTTAAGGGAAGCAAGTTGTGGTATATGACTGTGATATATAAGAAATATGCTATAAGAAATGATGAGCTCAGTGATTTTAGAAAAACATGAAAAGACTTGCATGAAATAATGAAGAGTGAAACGAGCAGAACCAAGAGAACATTGTATACAGTTGACAGCAGTATTGTTTTAAGAAGACTTTAAGTGAATAAGTTATTTTGACTGTTACAAATACCAAAATTGCAAAATGGATAATTTTGATTACATTAAATTGAAAAGTTTTGTACAAAGCCAATGCAACCAAGATTAGGAGGGAAGCAGAAAACTGGGAAAGAATTTTTACAACCAGTGTCTCTGATAAGGGCCTCATTTCTAAAATACATAAAGACAAAGTCAAATTTATAAGAATACAAGTCATTCCCCAATTGATAAGTGGTCAAAGGATATGGCAGTTCTCAGATGAAGAAATTAAAGCTATCTGTAGTCATATGAAAAAATACTCTAAATCACTATTGATTAGAGAAATGCAAATCAAAACAACTCTGAGGTACCACATCACACCCATCAGATTGGCTAACATGACAAAAGAGGAAAATGATAAATGTTGGAGAAGATGTGGGAAAATTGGAACACTAATGCATTGTTGGTGGAGTTATGAAATGATCCAACCACTTTGGAGAGCAATTTGGAACTATTGCCCAAAGGGCTATAAAAATGTGCATATCTTTGACCCAGCAATAGCACTTCTAGGGCTGTATCCCAAAGAGATCATACAAATGGGGAAAGGACCCACATGTACAAAAATATTTATAGCAGCTCTTTCTGTGGAGGCCAAGAATTGGAAATTGAGGGGATGCCTATCAATCTGGGAATGGCTGAACAAGTTGTGGTATATGAATGTAATGGAATACTATTGTGCTATAAGAAATGATGAGCAAGCAGACTTCAGAAAAACTGGAAAGACTTGTATGGAATGATGCTGAGTGAAGTGCGTAAAACCAGAAGAACACTGTACATAGTAATAGCCATGCTATGCAATGACTAACTTTGATAGACTTAGTTCTTCTCAGCAATGCAAGAATCTAAGACAACTCCAAAGCCTCATGATGGAAAATGCTATCCACAACCAGAGCAAGAACTATGGAGTTTGAATGCAGATCGAAGCATACTATTTGCTCTTTTTTTCCTTCTGTTTTGTTTTGTTTCTTCTTTCTTGTGGTTCCTCCTATTGGTTCTAATTATTCCTTACAACATGACTAATGTGAAAATATGTTTAATAGGAATGTATATGTAGAGCCTATATCAGATTGCTCACTGTCTTGGGGAGGGAAAGGGAGAAAAATTTAAAACTCAAAAGCTTTTGGAAGTGATTGTTGAAAACTAAAAATAAATTAATTAATAAAAAAAGAAAAATAAATACATAAATGCCAAAATTAACTGTAAAGGACATATAAAGAAAGACACTATCTGCAACCAGAGAAAGAACTGATAAATAGAACTGTGTATAGAACAATTTTACATATATGTATGTGTATATATGTGTGTGTGTATATATATATACACACACACACCTATTTGTGTCTAATGGTAGCCATCACTAGAGTAGTGGGGGCAGAAGAAAAAAAAAGAAATTTACATGATAATTTTGGCGTATATTTGAAAGGAATAGCAAATTGTGCATAGCAGATTCACAGTTTCATACGCAATCATCTATTTTATTGCACTATGTTATGGAAATGCTTGTTTTATTCCATAAATTTAAAATGAAATAAAATAATTTTTAAAAAAAGGGAAGCAGAGCTAGCTTACTGTGCTGAGGCCCTTCTCTTTAGCAATGGTATCAGGTAACAAAGCCAGTGCCTCTGAAGTTTTGGCTGGGTGTCTTGAGGCCTCCTACGTTGGGGGAAGGCAGTGACACACAGTTAGCCACTCCTCCCTCTAAGGTGGAATTATGCCTATATGAGGGATAATTGGAGGCTGGCAGGCAAGGGCTGTCAGTCTGGCCAAAGTGGGCTTCTTGCTGTACCCTCTCACACATATATTTCATAATATTTAATCTCAGTGCCTCTGCTTAGCCTATCCCTCATGTTTGGGGTGAATGCCTTTTTTACCACTGCATCTCAGAATCCCAGGTTTCCTTAAAGCTCTCTTGGCTTTTTCTGATCTTCCAGATGCTAGTTTCTCCTCCCCCAAATTGCCTTGTGCTGATGTTTGTGTGTGTATATATATATATTTATATTTATAACTACATAGAATATGCTATACACAGTTATAGATATATTTATTTGTATATATACATATATTCTATGTAAGATATATACATGTATACACATGATATATTAGATATATACATATTATGTATATATATGTATGATACACGTACATATATACATATATATAGATACACATACATATACATATATATATACATATATATACACATGACATATTAGATATATACATATTATGTATATATATGTATGATACACATACATATATACATAATATGTATATATCTAATATATCATGTGTATATAGGCAAAATGAACCATTTTCCTGGATGGAAACGAAGTAGAATTTCTGTGTGTTTTGCTGCTAAGTCCTTAAGGAAGAAGCTTAGCAACAGAGGGTAGAGTGGAGATAACTGGGAAAGTTACTCTCCAGGCCAGGGCCAATAGCCTGCAGAGCTTGCCAAAGGACTGAGTAGTTCTCAGAACTGCAGTGGCATGGACCTGGCATGCCCAATCCTTTCTGTATCAATGAAAATTATTGGGTTCCAGTAAACAATTGCTTTGTTATCCTTTCAGGTTAATATTTCAAAATAAGGAGATTAGGGAGGATGTTAGCTTAATTCTGACATAACTTCAACCACCATCTATCTCCCAATCCCCCACAGTTCATCCAGGATATATATTCTGGGATTCTTAGTCTGACAGGGTATATTGACTTCAAATACATCTGGGACTAGGAATGAGCAAGATTGTCCCCAAGGGGCAGCATTGTGGTGGTGGTGGAGGACCTCACAAATGGGATGATTTTAAATTTTTTTTTTTGGCTAGGCAATGGGGTTAAGTGACTTGCCCAGGATCACACAGCTAATAAGTGTTAAGTATCTGAAGCTGGATTTGAACTCAGGTCCTCCAGACTCCAGAGCCAGTATTCTATCCATTGCACCACCTAGCTGCCCCCTTAATTTTATTTTTCATTACTGAACATATTTTAATGCCACAAATGTCATTCTCTGTTGTCACATGATGATCCAAGTCACACATGCTCCAGGGATGACTCACAGATCTCAGACATGGCTGGGAACATGGAGTGGAGGGCGGGAGGACAGGCACAATTCTCAAACCTTGCTTAGGGAACACAAATGCCTTGTCCCAGATCTGCCAACAAGCCGCAAAGAGAAAAGCTCTTACCCTTCCTCTGACAGCCCCAGTGTGTGGATTAAAAAGCCAGAAATGGTTTTAAACTGGTAGCCATAGACAGCAATAAGAACCACCATGGAGTAAGAGACCACAGTCATCCAGAAATACTTGAGGTTTCGCCTCCAGCAGTCATAGTGAATGTGCAATTAGACATGTTGCATGAGTTAGTGGGACTGCAGTATATTAGAGACACTGAGGACAGCCAGAGGCAACTCTCACAGGAGATGCCAACAAGCACTGGGCAGCCTACAGACAGCTGGAGCAGAGCTAAGCAGCTTTCTCCACAAGAGCCCATTTTCCAAGTTGGCAGCAGAATCCTGGGCTGTCAAAGGATGACAAGCTGTCATAAGGCACAGAGAGGAATCTTGGTGTTTGTTTGAGCTGAGAGACTAAAAAAGCAAAATATTCAATGCTCAGCAAATAATACAGCATCTTTTGAACCTAACGGCCATTAACTATTGATAACCTGAAGGTTATTTCTTCCTCACATTTTTAATGGAAGCAGGAAAGTTGGAAGTTTAATAGAAATCCCTGTCCCTCTCTTTTTCTTCTGTCTCTGATGTTCTCTACCTCTCTCTGTCTCTCTGTCTCTGTCCCTCTCTGTCTATCTCTTTGTCTCTCTGTCTGTCTGTCTCTCTGTCTCTGTCCGTCTCTCCTTCCCTCCTGATTATACACATTTTATTTCCAGTCCTCATGCTGGTGATCCTGGGGAACTTGAAGGGATTAATCACCTTCTTGTTTCTTTTATGGATATCTTGACAAACCAAGTACATTCCTTAATGGACTTGCTCTGTGCTTCATACTTTTAACTCATTGGGATCATTCTTTTCCTTCATTTCTCTGCCCCCTCTTCCTGTTTACGTATAGATCTTGCACCCCAAAGGTATATTACAAATAGTAAGAGCTGCCTTTTACATAGGACTTTGTTTGCAAAGTGCTTTGTAGTATATTATCACATTTGAACTTCACATTAGTTTTGTGAGGCAGTATTAGCAAACTGAGGCTCAAAGAGTTTAAGTTACTTGCCCAGGATCCCACAGCTGCTATTTATCATAATAGGGATTTGAGAAGAGGGATTTCTGAGTCAAATTCCAGCTCTCAGTCTACTATGCCAGGAGTAGGCAAACTATAGCTTGTGGGCTTGATGTTTTTTTTATGGCCCATCACCTAAAAATGATTTTTACATTTTAAAATAAAGTTTGATTGTATTTTAAAATATAGAAACCATTTTTAATTCCCTGGCTTTACAAGAAAAAAAAAACACAAAGGGCTAGATCTGGCCTTCAGGTCATAATGCTGAGCCCTAGAGGGGCATCTCTGTTTCCCATGACAATGAAATTTACCTGACACAGGGCCACACAGGCAAGAAAAAGCATGATGTAGAGGATTTTGTAGACAACCACCTTGCCATCAAAGCTGACAATGAAGAACATGCTACCACAAAGAAAGATCCAGTATTTAACCAGGATCCAGATTATGAAAGAGCCCAAGAGAGCCATCAGGGCATTCATTTGTTTCTCTTGGCCTATAAAGACAGTGAGAGAAACCAAATATAGGATCACGAATTCAGAGCTAGAAGGGATCTTAGGGGTTATCCACTCCAACTCTCTCATTTTACAGATGAGGAAACTGAGATCCAGGTTAAGATAACTTGCCCAGGGTCATAGAACCAATAAGTGTCTGAGGCAGAATTAACGACCAATCTTTCCTGATTCCTAAGTCCCCATTCCTAAGCTATTGTAACAGCCATCCATCTTACAGTTACCAAAACACCAACTGTGCTTTCCAAATTCCTGACCTCCTGACCTGTTACTGAGTTTCTGAGACAGTAAGAAGCGCCATCAGAATTATTATGAATGCAAGCAAGACTTGATTTGTTCCCCCCTCTTCTGCCCTCACCTCCTTATGAGCATATTAAACTAACAAACTGAGCCACATAGCGATGGTTCAGACATTAATTCATTTAGGATTTTTACCCCACATACTGTATAAAAAATAATCATATTTTAAATTTAGGAAATAATACAAGCATTTCCATAACATATTAGAATAAAAAAAGATGATTACATACAAAAGTGAAAATCTATTATGTACAATTTACTACCTATAATAAAGTTATCATGTAACTTTCTTTTTTTTCCTTTTTTTCTTCCCCACCTCCCCCCCACACCTTAGCTACCATTAGATGCAAATGTGTGTCTGTGTGTCTATATGTATATAATCATTTTATACATGCTTCTATTTATCAGATCTTTCTCTGGATGCAGACAGTATCTTTCTTCATAGGTGCTTTGTAGTTAATTTGGGTATTTATAATAGTCAAGATGACTTAGTCATTCCAAGTTGTTTTGAAAATAATATTGCTGTTACTTTCATCCACTTACTTTAATGAAAGCATTTTGTGTCCAGAGCGTTATTTTTCTTTATTTCTGACTGCTGAAATCCATCACATTCTTCAAGGCCTCATTTAAATGCCATATTGTCTGGAAAGAATTTCGAGATTCCCCTAACCAGTAATCGTTTCTCCATCCTCTGGATTCCTATAACTCATTTTATCCTTTCTATACATTCAATTCTATTTTGTTTTGGAGCCATTTGCGCACAGAACTTTAGACCCAGAATGGACCTTAGAGTTTATCTAGTAGAACCATTACATTTTACAGGAGAAACAGAGCCTGAACACAGGTGAAGTGATGTACTAACAGTCACAAACATAAGTTTTAGAGCCAGGATTAAAACCCATGTCCTCATATTCCAAATCCATTGTTAATATTAATGATAATGACTAATAATAATAATAACTAGCATTTATTTAGTTCTTTAAGATTTGTAGAGTGCTTTACATCATTTATCTCATTTAATATTTTGCTCTTTCAAGTAGAATGTAAACTTCTTGAGCACAGAGGCTCACTTTTGTATCTTAATTTGTATCCTAACTGCTTAGCATAGTGCCTGGCATAAATCCATCTATCTACTAATCTATCATTCTATCAATCTATTGATCTATGTATCTATCATCTATGTATCTATGTATGCATCTATCTTTCTATGTAAATGTCTGTGTATCTATCATTGATCTATATACGTATGTATATAAAATCTATGTATGTATGTGTCTATCATCTATGTATCTATATATTGATCTATGCATCTATGTATATATTTATCTATGTATCTATCATCAATAAATGTATACATCAATCATCTATGTATGTATCTATGTTTCTATGTGTCTATATATCTATCTATGTATGTATCAATCATCTATGTATATATATATATGTATCTGTGTTTCTATGTATCTATCATCTGTGTATCAATCTATGTACATAGGTATGTGTCTATCTATCTGTCCATCTATCTATCTGATACTTAGTAAGTGCTGGTTGGTTGATTTCTACTCTACCATGATGCCTCTTATTTCATAGTAGACTATGAGGTTCTTGAAGGTAGGGTCAATGTCTTATTCATCTTTGTATTCCCATAGAATCACCAAATTTGAGAGCAAGAAGGGTTCTCAGAGATCATTTAATCCAACTCATCCCAAAAAGGGATCCCCACTACAATATACCTGACAAATCTTACCTAGTCTTTGCCTGATCACCTCCAAGGAAGGGGGAACCTTCCACCTCTTGAAATGGTCAATTCCACTTTGGGACAGCTCTAACTGTTAAAAAGACTTCCTGGCATCAAGCTACGATGTCCTTCTTTGTAACTTCCACTCATTGTTCCTGCTGTTCCCCATCTACCCCCACCCCCCACCCCTGACCCAAGAGAACCAGTCTAATCCCTTTTCCACATGACAATTCTTCAAATACTTGAATGCAGCCATCATATTCCCTGAATCTTCTCTCATCCAGACTAATCATCCCCATTTCCTTCATCCAAGCTTCCTGTGATCTAGAATAACCTAACATGGAACCATGCTTTAAGCAGGCATGAAGCCAAAGGTGATCCTGAGTTCCTTTCCTAACCACCTCAGCTACTATATTAAGCCACATGTCAGTGGCTTCTATTGAGATCCTGGGCCCCCACATAAAAACACTAGTAATGGCTCCCCTGCCCTTTGTTAATTAAAAAAAAATCACTCCAAGGAAGAAGGGGTTTCTCACAAAGATTCCCCCAAATGCAGGCATTGCTTGGGAAATATTTGCATTTGTCATACTGTGTCCTCACCATGTTCATCACCAGTCACTTCCTGTAGAGTCTCCTCCTTCGCCTTTGCCAGTGACTGTCTCTCTGTCACATACTGCCTCAGGAGAAGCCAGAATGAAAATGCATAGAAAGTCTGCAATTAAAAACAAATGAAAACCTTTCTTTGCTCATTCAAGGAGCTCCTGGGATTAAAGGTTGTTCATTTGTACCACAGCAGTGACTTTCAGAAATATGTCTTTGAAAGGACCACTTAGTCTCTTGTGTATATCTAGAACCCACTGGAAATAGGGAATCAGGCAGGTTCATGCCAAGGTTGGGTCAAGTGATATTCTTAGCTCATGTCTGTCCATACCACTCATCTCTATGCTTCCAAAGAATCTACAAACACATAAAATTGGAAGGAAACTTAGGGATCATTTACTCCCTTTCATTATACAGATGATGAAATTGGGGTCCCAAAAGGGAAAGTAACTTATCCAAAACATCAAGTTGGTACCAGAGCTAGGGTCCATTCCACTGCCTCCTTAGGAACAGTGAGCTATTCATAGCCTATTGAGTCTTTTTCTCATCATCACTATAATAATTTATTTTCTGTTTCCCTTCTGTCTTCACTGGCCCCAAACTGCATTCCAGTCTTTCCTTCCCACCACGGCTATCAAAAGGCACCATGCTATTTAATGCCAAATTTAGAATTACTGAGACTAGTTCTTACCTTGACACCAATATAGAAACAGGGCTGGGGATAAGGCTTTAGATCAAAGCCAATGAGGATTGAAGTGAAACTCCTGGAAATAATTCTTCCTGGGAAACTTTGAGAGCCACAAAAAAGTTAAGAAGAATGAGGATATTTGCATAGATGACAAGGAAGGGTGAGCTGAGCAGGGCCAAGCGTCACCTGTTACGAGCCATCCAAATGATGCATGGCCAGATCAACAGGACAAAAGTCAGCCAGTTCTTGTGAGTGATGCTCCAGACCTGCAGCAAAATGGCAGCACAAGAGTCCAGTTGGCCAGAAGCTAAACAAATGTGTCTTGGGAAGAGTAGACTCATTTCATTGTGTCTGGATCATTATCCTCTTGATGCATCTCTATGATCATATTACTCTTCTACTCCTAAACCTTCAGTGACTCCTTACTGCCTACTAAATAGAGGATATAAGCCTCTACCAAAATAGCTCCAACATTATCTCATAATATTCCCCTTCCTGTACTCTACATTCTATTCCAACTGGACTACTCTCCATCCTACCTTCTCATGTTACTCCTGTCTCCATGCCTAATCTCACACATCTCCCATCCTTGGGATAGACTCACACCCCCATCACCATTTCTTAAAGTCCGTCCTTCCTTCAAGGCCCAATTCAGATACCACATCCTCCATTACGAATTCTCAGATCACTACTACCCTCATTCCTCAAATAAAAGTCACCTTTCCCTCCTCAAATTTCTGATGGTAATTTGCTTTCATCTCTCCATCTGAACTGTCTCACTCCCTTGTATTACAGTTATTTGTATACCTGTCCTTTTCTCCACTGGGCTCTAAGCTCCTAAAAAGAAGACCTTGTGTTGCATCCATTTTTATAACTCCAGAACAAGGCCTTGAACACAGACAGTAGGGGTGCTTAATGACATCTTAATGGAATTAAATTGAATTGCTGAATAAATATATTTTGAATTTGTTGAAGTAGGGAAGATTTCATGGAGCTGCAATGGATTCTAGGCAAAACTGAGAGCCTTTCAATGCTCTTAGCAACTTTCTAAGATTATCAGTTACAGAGAAGGTTATGATCTGAGTTAATAGAAGTTTCCTCACCTTGGAATTCCCTCTAATGAAATGACAGGTAAAGTCTCTATCCCTATGCAAAACAAGATGTTCTTTTATTTGTCCTAAAGAATAGAAGAATAGTAAATATAACAAAAATAAACCCAAATAAATAAATAAATAACCAGAAGTTTCATCAGTCTTGGATCTTACCACCATAATGATCAGTGCTGTGACATAACTTTGTCTCATAATGACATGGCCAAGGACAGAAAAACTGCTGGGCTCTTTGTCCTCAGGTTCTGTCTCCTTAGGGAAAGTGCTGCTTCCTGCAAGTAGTATACTAGGGAAGAAGACTAAAGGGTCAAAATGGAACATAGAAATCCCAATTGTTACAGAAAACATTTGGTTGTCTTTTCTGGGCATGTCTTATTATTGTATAAAGACCTCCATTTCCATCTCCTGAAGGATTCCACTTCCCAAGCAATCTTCACAAATTCCTTCCCACCTAACCTACATCAACAGCATATTGCCTTTTGTCTTGCCACTGGACTTCAATGATTCTAAATGAAAGAGTGAGGTTGATGACTTTGCACATCACTGCCTTACTTGAATCCAATTCATGCACAGGTCAAGACATCACCCCAATGTCATTAATCCTCTTAGAGAACAAAGGACAAACATCAACATATCAACAGCTTCAAAGGAAATACCATGTCTTGGTCAATGTGTTGGTTTATTTTTCTTTGCTATACTTCTTTGTGACAAGGGAGGTCTCTACTGGGGGAGAGGGATGATCTACTGTACAAAAGAAGCAGGGAACATCAATGGTATTTAAGAAAAAAAACCAATCAATAAAGCAGTTAAGGCAACTAATACAGGCATTGCTATCTCTATTTTACAGATGAGAAAACTAAAAAGAAGGACACAGAGAAATTAAAGAACTTCCCAAAGGTCAAGGTAGTGTGGTGTAATGAATAGAGCTCTGGACTTGGAATAAAAAAAAATCTGGGTTTGATATGATTTATTTAGTCACTTAAAATCTCTGCAACTAAGTTTCCTCAGCTATAAAAAGAGAGGGTCCAATAAATGTCTTCTACTGTCATTCCCAGCAGTCAACCTATGATCTGTGATCTATGGTCTAGGGTACACAGCTATTAAGTGGCAGAGCAGGTCTTTATGACTCTAAATCCCTTGCTCTGTCCATTAATACACAGCTGCCTGTTAAGTCTAGGTAGGGGCTCAACACCACTTCCCTAGACTACCACTGAATTCCACCTCCACAGGAGGTGAAGAAGAAAGAGTCTTACCTGTTCTGAATCACAAAAGGCAGGTGAATCCACACCACAGCTTGGGAGCTTATGTTCTTCACACTTCAAAAGTGGCACATCCTGCCGGCTCCCACTTGGGAGAACAGTCAACTGGTAGAAGAAAAATAGAAGTCAGATGAGGCTATTGGGTCGACAATTGTCAAAGATAAATTTTAAATACTCTGTGATGCCTATCCACCTCCATGGATTTAGGTCATCTATATCCTTGATGATATGCTAATAGGTTGCAACCTGATTGCACCCACCCATACCTCTTTCCATTTTCTTTTGGGTCATTTGCAGTTGCCATTCTGCACGTGCCCGATCCTTCCAACCCTGATATTTCATTGTGCTATAGATGTGACCCTGGGTTCTTGCAAACCAAGTCAATGGACTTCAGTTCTTAAAAATCCTGGCAAGCTGAGAAGATGAGTGTGGGCATGATGAAATATTGTATATTTGACATGGGAGGACCAGTCTAACCGATTTCAGGGAAGTCAATCACCAGGATGGTTGCTGGGAGATGAATTTTTCAACTGCTCTCAAAGACTGTCAGCTAAGACACAAAACATTTGTAATCTGTGCAGGCAAAAGAAGTATGAATGCTGGCAAAACCATAGATTTCTGACTTAATGAGCAATATTAAATTGTTCTGAGTTGGTTGGAACAAGACTAGAACTGAACCACCCTGGCACCCAGGCTCTATCCATTTTGTTTAAGTCCAATAACTAACACTATGGCTAGTTCATTATAGGTGCTTAGCAACTATATGCTGATGGTAATGATGTTAAATTTGAGGAAGGGGAAAAAAAACTTTAGTCAGCTAGGAAATTCTCTTTACAATTTAGCTGGAACCAAAGGGTGTGGGGGGAGAGTTATTTGCAATAGAACTGGAAAGGGAAAGTGGAATTGGGTTGTTAAAGACTTTAAAAGCTATGAGGGATTTGCATTTTTTTCTAAAGTTAATAGGAAGTCTTTGAAAGTTCTTGTTGCTGTTCATCTTTTGTTTTGGAAAAAGACCAAAGTCATCATGAGGTGATGTCTTAACTTGAGCTTGAATTGGATTTAAGTGAGGCAGAGCTGTGCAAAGTTGTCAGCCTCACTATCTCTTCCAGAGTCAATAAAGTCCAATGGCAAAACTAAAGTTAAGATAACTGGTGCTGGCCCAGGGTTGCAATATTTTTTGTTTTGTTTTGTTTTGTTTTTTGTTACGTAGTTTACAAATACTAACATTTAAAGTTACAAAGTGGAAACCATAAATTTATGTAATTTGTTCCAAAAAATATTAAATTTAACCCATCACAAAACTGCCTCTGAATCTCCCTCTGAACTTCCCCCCTCTTTTTTTAGTGTATTTACTATCTATGCTCTTCCCTCTTTTTATTTTTTCCATCTCTATCACTAGGCACCAACTCAACACCCAGCCCCCACTGCCACAGGATAAATGGGAGCTCTCTCCTTTAACATAGAAGTATAATTAAGCAAAACAATTTAGCACGTTGGCCAGGTCTGAAATGTTAGGGTCTTCTGGGGAAAAGCAATATAACAAAACAATTTTCTGGCCAAAGAATTTGCAACTCCATAAAATGGAGTGGTCATTTCAGTGCCCACAGACACTCTAGTTTTACTTGAATTTTGCACCTACCCAGGATCTAACACTTCATTCTGCTAACTACTCTGACTGGTCAGCCTATTTGCATGGTAAGATCTTTTATAGTCTCACTTACTACTATAGGTCAGTATTGGTTTTCCTTCCATTACAAGCCAATGGTTAATTCTACCTACAGAATAAAAATGTTTCGTAGAAACTCAGTGTTGGTCTACCATCTCATTAGTTTCTTTACCCTTCACTGCTAGAAAAGGTTGCAATTTAAAAAAAAACAACATAGGAAGATTCAGATAAGAATTCAAAGATCTGGACACAGAAGCCCATCTTCCTCTTCCTTCTTATTCTACTTCTCCTCTACTACTTCCTCCTCATATGCTTAAGGAACACTAGCCTCTCAGGGCTTTTTCCACTACACAGCATAGAGGTCTCTCCTCTTCTAGCTGAGAATGGGGATTTGTTGATGAACTTCCTGGTAGGTGAGATGATCAGGTTTATTTTAGGAAAATTATTTTTGGCAGATGAGTGGAGGATGGATTGGAAAGAGGTGAGATATGAAACATGGAAACCAATTAAGAGACTATTACAAAAGGTGAAAGGTGTTGAGGGTGTGAGCTGGGGAGGAGTAGCAATGGTGATGAGTGAAGAGACTAGGATGAACACAAGAGGTGTTGAGAAAGCAGAATCATCAGGACTTAGCAGCTGATTGGCTAGAGAGGATGAGTTTGAGAGGAAAGAATACAGGTTGACTCCAAGGTTGCCGATCTGGATGACTGGAATGATGGTGGTGGACTTAACAGAAATTGAGAAATTTGGAGGATGAGTGGGCTTAGTAGGAAAGATAATGAGCTCTAGTTTGAACTATTGAGTTTGAGATACCTATTGGATATGAAATTAGAGATGTCTATTTGGTGATGAAGTATAGGAGCTCAGGAGGGAGTTCATCACGTGAGAATTCGTTCAGTAATAGGTAGAGGAAGAAGAAAGGAGGAGTAGAAATTGTACATTCCCTATTCAGGGGTACTAAGACAGCTGTTTGTTAACCTGACAGCAATAAAGAGGTTTGCTATCTTCCTGGGGCATTTTTCCAAGACACAACAGAGATTCTCCCAAGACAAATCAAAACAGATGACAACTACCCACTCTGGTGATTTACTTGGGCACAAATAAAACTTCCAGAAAGAACCTAAAAAGTATTACCAATGATTATGAAGTCTTAGCCAAGAAACTAAAGACCATAAGGGCAAAGATTGTTTGGCCCGCTGAAAACAAGGAATACAAAAGAGAAAATTGATTTGGGAAGTAAATATCTGGCTAAGAAGATAATACCTGAAAATACATTTGGGATTTCTGGACTAGAACTTACAATGTAGGGATGACAGAGTCCTGGCTAGAGGGAGTATACCTAATATAGGTAGTAAGACTGCATTTGTCCAGTGTCTTGCAAATGTAATTTTAAAAACTTGAAACAAAAAAAAATGGGAGACAAGAGATCAAAGAAAGAGGAGAAGGACCCATAGATATAAAAGTTTTATAGCAGCAATTTTTTTTTTAGTAGCAAAGATCTGGAAACTAAAGGGGGACCCATAAACTGGGTACCACACTTAGTACAATGCCTGACACATATAAAAGCTCAATAAATGTTTATTAATGGACTGACTGAACAAATTATGGTATATGATTGTAATGAAATACTATTATATACACAAGAATTGGAGAAAGAAACAAATGCTGTTGCATAAGGAACTCATCAACTAACTTGGATTTAAAAGAGAAATGGACAGAAAATGGAAGCAATGGCCTTATCTTAGTAAGATAAATATTAAATAAGATAAACATTAAAATATTTATTAAGCACCTATTACATGTAAGGCACTGTAGATACAAATACCTAAAGGTGAAGCAGTCCCTGCCCTCAAAGAGCTAACCTTTAAACAAGAGTACATAACATGTATAGGGGAGTGGAGGCCAGGGAAGGGAGTTTTTGTCTGGAATTCACAGGGGTTGTGAATGGAGCCATAGGTAATTCAGTTATCATGCCCTTTACATTAGCAGTGGTAGTATTGATTGGGTTACTATTCACAGAGCAAGAGAGAAAAATGAAAGGACAGAGGGACAGGGTATCAGTAAGGCAGAAAGGGCAGGTAGCAAATCATATGTGTGTATATTAGGCACATAGAAAGTTCTAGGGAAATATTTATTATGCAAAGTGCCTGACACATTGTAGGTATTTACTAAAATCTTGTTAATTGAGTGAATGAATTATATGTCACCTTGTAAAGAAGGAAGACCATGTCACCTCTTCTGTCCCCAAACCTTCAATGTCTTCCTATTGCTTATAGGATAAAATGCAAAGGACTCAGCCATGCATTTCAGGCCCTCCATATTTTTTGTTCTACTTACCTTTTCAGACTTATTTTACATTATGCCTCTGCATTCATTCTATGCTGCAGCCATATTAGACTACTACCACTCTAACCTCTTAACTGCATGCATCCACATAGGTCGTCTCCTATGGCAATAATACATTCCTTCCTTACCTCCAGCTTTCAGAATCCTCCTCTCCTTTCAAAACTAAGCTTATTTGCCACCTTACCTATGAAGCCAGCTTTCCGTGATCCTCCTAGATGAAATAGCTCTTCAGATATTTCTAGAGGATTTTAGGATTTTTCCTTTATCCCTTTCATATTCCACTTTGTATTATTCTCCTTAGGTATATAAGATCCTCCCCTAACAGACTATGAGTTCATTGAGGTCAAGGACTGGGCCTCTTTTATTTTTGTATACCTTACTCCTACCCCAATAAAGTATCTTGAACTAATTAGGCAATTAATAAATATTTGCTGTTGTTTAATTAATGCCATACTTAGAACCTTTCATCAGCAGTGGAGAATTTCCTTGTCCATTTTTATGAGGCTCTATCTGATTTTCAAATCTCCCTTTTGTTAAGTCAACATGGTAGAATAGAAGTAATGATACACATTTAAAATTCAGGGCTCTCAATGCAAAAATCTGCAAAAATACCCTGCCATACAGGCACCACTGTCTTCAGAAATGTCCTTATGTCACACTCTGGTGGAGCCCCCAAGGTCTGCAAGAGGAGTTGTTACACATAGGCATACATGTGAATACCCTCACCCTGTCCTCACTGGCAATAACTCCAATGAGGCCAGTAATATGGAGACTATGACTGAACTTCCATTCTGCATTCATTAGATTCTGAGCTCCTTGAGGGCAGAGACTGTCTTTTACCTTTCTTTATATCCTCAGTGCTTAGTGAAGTGCCTGGCACATAGTAGGCACTTAATAAATGTTTATTGATTGACTCACTATGTGACTTTGGGGAAAATCTTTTAACCTCTATGATTCTCAATCTGTAATGTAGAGAATTTTTATAGAGCAATAGAATTACAAGTTAAAAGGGGACTTTGCCATCATCAAGTCCAGGGGTAAAGAGTCTTGGTTCTATTATTCTCCCAAGGCTAGAGAACCAGAGTAGAGGCTCTGAGGAGCTTAGAAGCCCTGCACTGGTATAATGAACCAAGGAGATTAGTTAATTGTCAACTTGGTAGAGAGGGAAAACCTAGCCCTGGGGAGATGTTGAGGATACTGGAATAAAGCAACTGGAGCAGAGGTATGGCCAAATAAGGGGTTATGATTTTGGAGTCTGTTTATTGTGTGTATTTATCAAACAGCTACTGTTTGCTGGAAGGCAGTGTAGCAATGTAAAAAGAATGTTGGTTTTGGAGTCAGAAGATTGGAATTGGAACCCTGACACTGCCTGTACAATATTAAACAAGTCATGTTTGCCCTTTGGGCCTTAATTTCTCCATCTGTAAAAAGAGGGGGTTAGACTAGGTAATCTCTAAGGTTCCTTCTAGTTCTAAGTTCTACCAACCTTTGCCTTTGCCTATGCTCATGTCTCAATGCTTCCAGGGGCTCCCTCTGGCACCCCAGGCACACCTTCTCCCCTGTGGCAGCACTCAAGGCCACATAGGTTTCTGATTCTTTTCCTAGGCAGCTGTAGAAATAGGGCAGACAACCATCTAAAAGGGTGGGTGTGGGAAATTCAGTCAAGAATCAGAAATTCACAGAATCTTATAACTGGAGGAAACATTAGAGATCACTAGTTCAGCTCACCCCACCCCATCCCAAGACATGTAGAAATCTCCTCTCTAGCTGGGCACCCAATCTCTGTTTGAGCATATCCAATGATAGGCACCTCACTACAGGAAAACTCTTCTTTATAATGCAATGAAATTTACTTACCTGTAATTTCCACCTATTAATTGTGATTCTGTCTTCTGGGGCTAATGCAAAATAAGCCTAATCTTGGGAATATTGAAGATAGGGTTTATGCTGGCCGGTATTCTTCCATTCTTCAATCTAAGCACAGTCACCTCTTTCAGCTCCAAATGTTCTTTTCTTTCTTTTTTTTTTTTGTGAGGCAATGGGGTAAAGTAAATATCCAGGGTCACACAGCTAGTAAGTGTCAAGTATCTAAGGCCAGATTTGAACTCAGGTCTTTCTGAGTTCAGGACCAGTGCTCTATCCACTGCTCCATCTAGCTGCCCTCACAGATATTATTTTTGATGAAAATAACACTTCTGTTTTTGAGATCTGTCCACAGCCATGGGATCATGGATCTAGAATTGGAGGTGATCATCTAATCCAAACCTTTCTTTTTATGGATGAGGAAACAGATGCCCAGTGAGTTTAAGGAATTTGCTTGAAGCTGTGTAAGTAGGAAGTATCAGAGGCAGTATTTGAACACAGGTCCTCTGACTCTAGAGCCAATGCTAAGTGCCTACTACAGGCCAGGCACTATACTAGGTACTGAAGATATAGAGACCAAAATGAAATGGTCTTTGCCCTCAAGTAGGTTCCATTCTGCATTCCAGTCTCAAACAATGCTTTGCACATAGTAAATGATGACTGTTTTCATCTACTCATTCATAACCTTGAAAGGAGTGAGCCATGATGGTATATGCAGCCATTCACCTGTTAGGATAAATTAATCAGATTGTTTTCCTCTATCAAAGCTGGCCAGGGATTGAGAAGGTGGTGTCCAGGAATATCTATCCCCTACTCTGAACATATAGCCCAAACCATTCACTTACACATTCACTTATCTTTGGATTTGGATTCCATTGATGCAATAGCATGATTAGCACATAATAGGATAGAAGCAGAATGACAGGATTTGCAAACTCAGGCCAGTTGAGCCCTGGGTGGCTATGGAGTTTCCAGGATTCTGTTCTATTAGTCTTAATGATAGCAGTCATGCCCAGTAGCCTGAAGAGAGTAGAGACAAAACATAAGCAACACTGTTTCCTGTCAGTCAGTGCCTTTATTTTATTATCATTGCTACCTGTGTGGATATGTCTACCCTCTGAAAGTTTTCTCTGTGAAACAGACTTTGTCAGATTTTTAAACACATTTTTCAAAGGATGGGGAGATTAAACTGGAGGCCAGCCAAATTCCCAACTCTGTTTCAGACTAGAACGTAGAATGTCCCTTGAGGAAAGAGAATCTTTTCTTTTTATCTTTGTAGTACTAAGTACTACTTAGCATTTAGCATACTACCTCTAAAGTCAGAGCCTGGGTTCAGATTCGACTTCTATATACCCTACCAGTATGATCTTGAGCAAATCCTTTAAGCTCCTTGGGCCTCAGTTTCTCATCTCCAAAATGCAGGGTTTGAACTAGATGATTTCTGAAATGCTTTCTAACTTTAATTCTAGACCATGGACAGATCTCAGAGCCAGAAGGGTTATCTTCCATATAGCAAGGTAATGCCATTGGTGCACCATCTGGTGGTTCTCCAGCTATGGGGAGAGTCTTGTACTGAATCATCAGGACCTCCTCCCCCAGTTCTCACTAAGATTGTCAGAACCAGCTTCAATGTGACGATCCTGGCCAAAGTCAGCCAGGTGAAGGGAAAAACTAATTGACTGGCTCACATGGAGAATTAACTGCAGACTTTGGCCTCATTAGACCAGGCTCCAAACAAAAAAAATTTCCAATACACACCCTGAAATCTTCCCTGACCTTCTCATTAGAATTTAAGCTTCCTGAAGGTAGGGTCAGTTTTGCTTTTTATTTTTGTTTCCTCAGCTCCTAATCATAGGGCCTTGAATATAAGGGATTTTTCATAAACACATTTGTTGAATTGGATTATAATTCTGACTGAGCTCAAAGACAGAAAACCTTTGCTTTGAACCCTTCCCCTTAATCGAGAGGGACAATTTAAAGCTCAGGCTGCAGCCTCGGCTTCTACCTGGCATAAATGTCTTCAAGCAGGACTAAGTCTTGAAAGTAAGGCAGCTGATAGAGATAGAGGCTCCCAATGCGGCCTGCAGCGAAGATGGCCAGGGAGACACACATGGTGCTGAAGGCCAAGGTGCCCACTTCTTGATGACAGGACCACCAGAAACATATGCCCAGGAAGGTGACAAAGTACACAGCAGAGGTCAGTGAAGGGTAGATGATCCCTGGAGAGAGAAACAGATTGGGCTTGGAGTGAAGAACTTAAACCCTAATCCTATTCATGCTCTTATAAACAAAACAGCCAATGACAATGTATCAGGGTAGTCTCTGGTACAGGCAGCAGAAGTTGGGTGGCACAATATAGGACTTTTGTAGGAGTGACATTATCCAAAATATTTAAAAGAGGCTGTAAGATATAATGGAAAGAACATCCGATTTGGAGTCAGAGGACCTGGGTTTGAATCTTAGTTCTAACAGTTACTAACACTGGACCTGAAGTCAGGAAGACCTAAGTTCAAATCCAACCTCAGGTACTTCTTAAATGGGTGACCCTGGGCAAGTCATGTAACCTCTGAATGCCTCGTTTCAACTATAAAATAGGGATAATAATAGCACCTACTTCACAGGATTGTGGTGAGGATAAAATGGTATATTTGTAAAGTGCTTAGAACAGTGCCTGGAACACAGTAAGTGGTTAATAAATTCCTATTCTCTTCCCTTACCTCTGTTCAGGGCCAGAGAGGTAGAATTTGAACTCAGTTTCTCCAATTCTAAATTCTGGGCTCTTGCCACTGTACCATACTGCCTCATTTCCTCACCTGTAATAGGAGGTAGTTTGCCTATATGATCCCTAAATTCACTTTAAGCCCTGACAGTCAATGATTTTGTGAGGGGAAAGGATCATAGAATGATAGATTTAGAATTAGAAGGGACCTTAGAGGTCATCAGGTCCAACTGCCCCATTTTACAGATAAGGAAACTGTGACCTAGGGACATGAAGTGACTTGCCCAGGGTCACACAGCTACTAAATGTCTGATGAAGGCTTTCAACTCAGCCCTTCTTGACTCTAAGCCCAGTGTCACTTAGCTGCCTCAGAAAGTCTGCTAGCTGTAGGCAAATTGAGCAGGGTGTCCAGCCTTAGTGGCTTAAGTAAGTTTAAATTGTTCTCAGAGTGAGAGTCAGACCCAAGAGAACCTCTGGAGTTTCTATAGGGCATCACTTCACCAAGCAGGCTTCCTGAGAAAGCCCCACATTGGATTTTATGGATCATAATCCGAGCAACCCAACCCTTCCTCTTCCATTTGGACAGTAACATTACCTGACAAGCCCAAGAGTAGGGTCACCAGGACCTTCCCAGCTATTGTTACAAGGGTGTCCAGTATTGTTTGCAAGTGGGTGGTGATGGTAGTGATTTTGCCCAAGAATTCTGTCATCTTCCCCTTGGTCTTTGCTTCAGAAACACTTTCCTCAGAGTAAGTGCTACTGTCAGAATTACTGTCATCAATATCCAGATTGATTTCATCTCCCTGCAAAAAGAGTTTAACCTACTTTCCAGTCTCATTACACATTACTACCCTTCCCCATACTCTACAGTCCAGCCACACCAACCTGCTTGACCTTCCTCATATAGGATACTCCATTGCCTTTTTTTGAACCTTTGTACTGGCAGTCCCTCATGCTTAGAAGGTATTCTTTCCTTCCCTCTGTTTCATAAAATCCCTTAGTTCCTTCAAGACTCAGCCCCAAATTCAAGCTATCAATAACCATATGAAAGCAATGCTCTAAATCACTAATGATCAGAGAAATATAAATTAAAACTACTTCCACCTCATACCTATTAGATTGGTAACAGTAACAAAAAGCTGGAGGAGCTTAAGGAAAACAGGTAATTTAATGTACTGTTGGGGGAGCCCTTCTGGAAAGCCATTTGGAACTATCACCCCCAAATTATTGAACTGTGTATACCCATTGATACCATTACTAAGTCTATTTCCCAAAGAGATCAAATAAAGAGGAAAAGGACGCATATGTACAAAAATATTTATAATAGCCTTTTTTTGGTGGCAAAGAATTGGAAACTGAGCGAGTGCTTGTCAATTCAGAGATGGCTGAATGATTCATGATATATGTATGTGATGGAATACTAAGAAATGATAAAGGGAATGGTTTCAGAGAAACATGAGAAGACTTGCATGAATTGATGCAGAGTGGAATGAGAAGAACCAGGAGAACAATTTATACAACAATAACAATAAAGACAAACAATTATGAAAGACTAAGGGATTTTGATCAACACAATGACCAGTCACAACTCCAAAGGACTCATGATGGAATATACTATCCATTTCCAGATAAAGAGATGATAGACTCAGAGTACAGATTGAGGCTTTTTTTTTTGGTGGGGGAGCAGTTATGGCTAAAGTAGGAATTGTTTTTTCAGGCTTATAGATGTTTGTTACAGGGGAAAAGATTTAGCTCAAGTACCATTTTCTACACAAAACCTTTCCAAATCTACCTGTTACTGCCCTCTCACCATAAACTACCTTGTTTGTATATATTGTATGTACTTGTCTCCTACAATAAAATGTAAACTCTGGGAGCAAGGACCTCAAGAGTTTATTTTTGTATTCCCAGCATCTAGCATGGTTCCTGGCATAAAGTAGGCAATTCATAAATCAGTCAATAAATATTTATTAAGCACCTACTATGTACTAGGCACTGTGCCAGGTGCTTGTGATACAAAGGTAAAAGATAGTCCCTGCCCTCAAGTAGCTCACATTCTAATAGGTTAGACAACATGCAAATTACTACATATGAACAAGCTATATAAAGGATAAATGGGAAATAATCAATGGTGGGAAGGCACTAGAATTAAGTGGGATTGGGAAAGGTTTCCTATAGAAGATAAGCTTTTATCTGGGACTTGAAGGGCACCAAGAAAGCCAGGAGGTAGAGATGAGAAGAGAGAGCATTCTATACAATTCTATACAAAATACTATTTGAATTGTATAGAATCGATTAGAAGAGGCATGGAGAAACTTCCTGTGAATGTATCTAGAGTCAGATGATGCTGTTCAAGGAACAGCAATAAATGCTTGTCATTCTATTGATTGACGGAAACTAGAAGATAGCCTCAAGCCTCTGAACCACATGCCACAATCCCTTTACTCTATTAGTGAATTGAGTAAGGAGGGGAATCTATTTAAGATTCGCAGGATTTCCTTGACTTGCATGTTTAATGTGGTATAAAGGCTACAACTGCCTTCACTACCCTCCTTCATTTCCCTTCTCTATGGGATAAAGCTGGACCTGTTCCTTGATTTTCTGGTCCAGGAACACTTAGACCCCATCACCTTTACCAAGCAAAGTCTAACTTCATTGTCAGGCCTAAGATAGCATGGAGATCCACTCACTGCCTCTTGCTCCACCTCTGTCTCCTCTTCCCTCTCATTGCTGTGGGAGGGTGAAGTTGACTCAGGAACAAGGGGCATCACCAGCTTTTGGCTCAACTTTATGATGACAAGAGATATGACCAGCATCCCAATGTCTGAACCCAACAGATGAACAATATTCCCAGCATCCACCTGGCTGAATCTGTGGAGGGGAAAGTAAAAGTCAAGTAGGGAACTTTCCCTGAGCCTTTTTTTTTGGGGGGGGAGGTGGGAAATTATGGTGCTATTTTCTCAACTCATGGATTTCATGGGAATCCACAGAATTTAGAGCTGTAAGGAACATTGGAGGTGGAGCCTACCCTATCAATTTTACAAATGCAGATACTGAGGCATGGTGTGGGGGGAGGAGAGTCACTTACCCAGAATTACATAGGTATTAAATGGCAGAGCCAAATTTCAAATGTACCTCCTCTGAATCCCAATCTAGGGCTTTTGTCACAATACTGTAATAACAGTTATCGAAAGGAATAATTTGCTAGTTTTTAAAATATATAGATTCCTTGCTTTGTCTTTCCTTTGGCTATCTGCATTTTGGCCATAATCCTCAATTTGATAAGCTTAAGTCTCCTTCCCCATTGTCATCCTTCTTACCATCTTCCCAAATGCCACTCATGCCTCAAAATCCACTTCAAGTCCCCCTTCCCCTTTCCCCAAGTATTCTAGCCCACCTCATTTCTCCTCCAGCATTCCCTGACTACACCATGTCATGTAGCACTAGGCAATATTATTTTCTAATTGCTTCAAATATGTATGTGACCCACCTTCCCAATTAGACTGTCATCTCCTCCAGGAAAGAGCTTTCATCTCCTTCTTCTATACCTCCCAACATCACCTAGTACAGAGCTAGTACTTGAGAAATACTATTTGAATTGTATGGAATCATTTAGGGCCAGTAATTGCCTGTTGTCCTCCTTTAATTATCAAACCCATTCTTACCTTAGAATTCCCAAATCCCCAAGTACCACCTCCCAAACTGCACCTGTGAGAAAAAAAAAGAATCTTGTTCACATATATTAGGACTTGCTGTTTTCAGACCAACCAATTCATTCCTTTCTAATGACTCTGGTTCTCTCTTTTTGCTAGCCTATGTGTTACTGTTTGAAGTAGGGCAGAAAGTGGAATGATGTGCTTCTTGATGCTACTGGTGTGTTGATATTTTCTGCATATAGCATATGCTTAATTAATTTTTATTGGAGAGAACTGAATATTAAGTGGAGCCTGAAACCATCTTTTGTCTTTTTCCCTCTTGGGAATCCACAAATGAATGAATCAAACAGCATTTATTAAGTGCTTACTATGTGCCAAAAACTGGGAATAAAAATAGAAAAGTGACACAGTCCCTTCCTTCAAGGAGCTCACATTTTAATCGGAGGAGACAATATAGAGGGGAGACTCTACATAGACACTCTCCCATTCCCAGGTTTCAGTGATTGGAAGATGTAGAGATCCTAGGATCATAGAGTTAGTGTGGAAATGCACCTTAGAGGACACTGAGTCCAATCCTTTTCATTTTATAGATGGGGAAAATGAGGTACAAGAGTGGAAACATAAATTGATCAGGGTCACAAAACTAGTAAGTGCCAGATGTAAGACTTGAACCCAGATCTTTCTGCCTCGAAGTCCAATGCATTCTTCAGTATACTGAGAGGCCTCTTGCTGGAGTTACCAGTTGGAGTCTTCCTAAGGGACCTCTATCCCTTGCTGTCCTCATCACCCCACTCCCCTTTCTCTCTTGCAATTCATTCTGTGATTTTGGCTGCTACTCTGCTAAAATACTGTCAACAAGGGTTAAAGGAAAAAGAAAAGTGTCCACCTTAGAAAGGCTTGGGGAAAGGAAAATGGCACATATAAAAAGGAAAAACTGATATAACTTTACTCTTCCTATTACTGAAATCAGAGTCCACTTTTAATTCTGACTGCTGGATTCTCTTGTGCAGCAAGAAATCAAAGTATAGAGGTAGCTAGGTGGCGCAGTGGATAAAGCACTTGCCCTGAACTCAGGAGGACCTGAGTTCAAACCCGGTCTCAGACCAAACACTTGACACTTACTAGCTGTAGGACCCTGGGCAAGTCACTTGACTCCAATTGCCTAAAAAAAAAAATCAAAGTACACTGTTCCTTACCACCAGGAGGCATGAAACGAAAAGCCATCTGAGAAGCCGCTTGTATTAGGAGGAAGAGGGCTCTCAACAAATGTTTTGTGCTTCCTAGAAAAGGAATCAGGGAAAATTAAGGGTCACACTACCCTCAGGAAGACCCCAGTGCCTGGCTAGTCAACTTAATCTCTTTTCTGTATATAGTGCATTCTCCAAACTGCATGCACACTACAACATACATCTTGTACTCTCACCAGGGAAGTCAAAGACATAATAGACAAATGGTAGGATCTTCTAGAGGTGGGGTGGGCTGGGGGGAAGGCATCAGAGGGAACTGGCCATGTTTCCTTTATAATAATATCTCCAATATCAGTAGACTTTAAGATTTACAAACTGCTTTCCTCATAACTACCTTGTGAGGTAAGCAGTGTAGATTTTGTCATCATCCCCACTACACAAATGAGAAAACTGAGGCTGGGAAGATCAAACACCAGCAAGCAGTTATTAAGTGTCAAAGAAAATCTTTGGACAATCTAAATCCAAAATGCTTTCTCCTGTTCCTTGGGAAATTGGTGATTCTTTTTTTTCCTTGGTAAGAAGGGAGGCCAAATTACATTCACTGAATCACCTCACCAGTTCAGACTTAAGAGAGGTCATTTTTAATTATTCTCATCCTGTAATTACAGAAAATTCCTATTTTCCAGTGTGCAGATTTAGATCAACAGAGGGAGATGCTAGGCATGTAGAATACCTTTTAGGCCTCCTCTAATGAATATGTAAGAATAATATGGAGTTGGTTTATATGTCAAATGGAAATGAAAGCTTGCAAAGTACTTAACATGATTTCTTCTCCTTAGGGGATTAAGCTTTCATCCTGAAGTTGAATTTTTTGTCACACTATTAATTTGCTGAAGAAGTTTTGTTTTTAGAATCTTTTGTCTCTGATCCTTTGATCACTTCATCACAGACAGCACCAAAGTCAAATTTTCATCTAACCCTTCACAAGATGAATGAGATTCAAACAAATTAAATTATTCTATATTTATAAAATACTCTCTCTTTACATAGTTCTTCTAGTGCTTATTGCATTGGATTTTTCTATGCAGTTAGTTTCTCCTGTAATCTGTATCATTAATAAAGGTGCTGTCGTGGCATGGAGATCTCGGCTGCTCTGATTCTTACTTTGTGACCCCAAAATGGGTCAATTAACCTCTCTCTGGCCTTTTGTTTTCTCCTGGGTGAAATGGGATTAATGGTACTTACCCTACTTACCTCAGAGGAGAGTTGGAAGGAAAACACTCAAAGTTCTACATAGATGTGGGTTTTATTATTTATAAAATAAAAGTATTCACTATTGATCACAGGTTATTAACAATAATAGCTCACTTTTCTAAAGCACTTTTTAAAGTTTACAATGCACTTTCCTCATGGTAGCCCTGACTGGTAGATAGTATGACTATCATTAATCCCCTATTACAGACATTAGTGCCTTGTATAACGTGACACAGCAGTAAATAAGTGGAAGGGTCAGAACCTAAACCTGATCTTCCAGACTTCCATGTCTCTTACTGTTATAACCAGGGCACTCTCTGAAAAGCTCGACAATCAATCTTTTGTTCAAGTAAGTATCTATATGACCCTTGCTCAGTGGTACTATTTTTGGGGGAGAGGACACAGGGCGGAACTGCAATTTCAACCACGTGGGGAACTTTTGGTGTGGAGACTCCCTCTACCAAATGCTGATAGGCAGCTCATCCTTCTCTAACCTTTTTAGAGTAATGATCTCCAAGCCTTTTTGATCTCATGCTTGTATCAGTTTTAAAAAATGAACATGCAATCTAAATATATGCATGTTTACTTATTTAAAAATTATGTACAAGTACTACAGTGCTAATTATGTATATTAGGAAAATAGAAATTTAAGCAGATGAGCTAAAGATGAAATAATATCCTATCCTAAAGTCAATAGAGCCCCTGAAGTTTACTGAGTGGGGAGTGGGAATGACATGGATAAGCCTGTGCTTTAGGAAAACCACTTTGGCAACTGTGTGGATGGGAGAAGGGAGAAGGACGAAATGGCAAGCATGTAGAAAATTGCAAAAATTACAAAAATCCAAGTGAGAGGTGAACTACAGGTGTGATTGTAGAGATAGAAAGAAGGGGACAATGTGAGAGATGTTACAGAGATAGAAACAGCAACATTTGGCAACCACTTAGATATGTGGGCTGAGGGAGAGGAAAGAGTTGAAGATGAAACCAAGGTCAAGAACCTGAAAGACTGGAAAGATGGTACTGTCCTCAACACAAACAGGGAAGTTTGGGAAAGGAGTGGGTTGTAATGAGATTTGCAATGCATACTGCAACTCAATTATGCCTGTTCATCCTGCAAAACTCACTCAAAATGAAATGGAAATTGGGGGGGGGGTTATTCCCTGCTCCTGAGCCCAGATTCCTCCTTCCAAGGTGCCTTGCTGAAGCCAGAAAGTGACCTAGTGGACAGCAGTTGGAAAGCTTAGGAAGGGAGAAATTTCCCTAATGGTACCCATATAGGTGCTGCTAAAGAAAACTGTTGGGTTATAACTCCTCTGGAGGCCATGCCTGGCTCAGAATGGGGGAAGTTGGGAGCTTCTACTGCTGAAGGAAGGAAGTGCTGGCACATGAGGCCATGTATGGTTGTGTTGGGGACCAGCCCTCCATGACTGGCTGTCATAGGGAGAGTGGAATGTGACCTATTTTCTCACCCTCTGATCGGTTGATCAGCTCTACTTTGGCGACCACTCCATCTTAGGCAGCAGGCAATAGGTAAACCAACTTGCCCTTGACCCCATAGCCAGTTTATGTTGGGGGAAGGACTCAAATTTAGATCCTTTCAATTCTAAGGCTAATCTTCTATCTACCAGGCCAAATTGCCTCTCACTGTGGCATTATATCCAAGATAAAGTTGTCTGACATTCATGGTTCATAACACACTTTACATATATAATCTATTTTGTTTGCCATATCAATCCCATGAGAAGGTATCATTAGATGTCTTAGAGAGTTGGTTGAAGCTGAGAGGTTAAATGATTTGCATATGGTAACATGGCTAATGTCAGAGGAGGGATCTAATCCCAGGTCTTCCTTACAACAAATAATACTCAATCCACTGCTTCTCATATGAGGTAGGTACTATTATTATCTTCATTTTACAGATGAAGAAAATGAGGCCTAGAGAGGTGATCCCATGACTAGCAAGTCAGCAGGATTTGAGCCAGCCACTGGTGACTCCAAGGCCAACACTCTTACACTGGCTTTAATGCTGTTTCTCCCTTCTCTTATGAACCCTCAGCCTCTATTAATTTACAAGCTAAATTCAGAACTGAAGTTACCTATCAGCATGCTAATCTTCGTTGTTTTGGTTTTGGTTTTCCCCAGGGGTATACTCTATGATGCATACAAATTGAGAACATAACGTTCTATTTTCCTTATCTCACATTGAAAGCTTTTCAAGAGAGTGTTTACCTACCTTTCATTGAACTAGCTGACAGTTGAGGAAAGAGTGGAAGGAGAAGTAAAAATATAAGGTAGACAACTGACATTCCATTGTACCTGAATGATATAGCTGTAAAAGAGAGAAAAAATATCAAGATGTCAGATCCTTAGCAGACAATAGAACAAACATCATCCCCTGGCCACACTGAATCCCAAATCCAGTACCCCAATACATTCCAATTGTTGAAGCCTCTTCCTTCCTTCAAGGCCATACAGCTGCTGCTTCCTCCAAAACTTTTCCATGATTCACTTTCCCCCTCCCTTTAAAGTGAAAGTGATTTCTTCCCCTCTTGTATGGACTTTGTATTTATCCCACTCTTCTTAAAATCATAGTTAAAATGTCATACGCTCCAATTACATTTTAAGTGTCTTTAGACCAGGGGGTGTGTCTATATTTTCGTATTTCCAGCCCCTGCGTAGGGTTTTTTTACACAGGGTAGGCAGTGGACCAACATTTGTTGAATTGAATTGGAACACGTGTGACAGAATTTCATTCACATTCCTTCTTGAGGAAGGATTTTTTCACCTTTTTTGGGTCACGGGCCCCTTCTGGGGAAGCCTGTGGACTGTTTCTCAGAAGAATGTTTTTAAATGCATAAAACAAAATACATCGGAATACAAAGGAAATAAAATATATTAAAACCCAGTTATCAAGGCATTAAAAAAACTTCACCAGACTCCGTATGTAGAACTTTTGCTTATAGTAGAGGTTAAAGTAAAGTAAAGGCTATAGGAGAGTAAATAGAAGAATAGAGTTTGAGTCCTACCTTTGATACATATAATTGTAAATGACTCAGTGCTAGTTTAGGCAACTCTCTAAGACTGTTTAAGTAATGGAGGACAAACTGAATTGGTAGAGGGAGTTTCCTCACACTGAACTTTCAGTAGGAAACCTCATAGATTTTTCTAGCCATTTGTAATGAACTATTCCAGTAATTTTAAGCTGACCAGGCTCCCACTTTTTCAGTCTTTCTTTGTCAGTGTGGCCATACCTGTCATCCACTTAGCCACACAAAATATCATTTCCAAGTGTGGCTGGGAAAAGCCAGAATTTCTATCAAGCTGAAAACAATTTGCCCAATTACAGTATAGGGCTAAAAAAATCTCACTTCACTAACAATAACTAATATCACAAAGTCAGGTTGGATGCAATACAGCATCACTGGGGAACAAAGGACAACAATTTGGGGAAGTTGGTACACAAACAGATTTGGAGGTGTGTGATATCCCATGTTCCCTGCTATCATCCTTGATTGGACTATGTCCATAACTGGAGACATGGTGAATTAATGAAAGAATTATCCAGGTAAACAAACTTTGGCCACAACTATAATGATATTTCAGATGAATTCTCTGGATAATCGTCTCACATTTTTCCTTTGTATGTGAAGATACAGTCTAAAGCTGTTAGTTTATTCATAGGATCATAGTATCTTAGATGGAAAGTTGGAGGGCACCTCAGAGGTCATCTGTTCCAATCCCCTCATTTTATAAATGAGGAAATTGAGATCCAGAAAGGTCAGGTGACTTGCTCAAGTCACACAGATAAGCAGCAGAAGCAGTATTTGAACTGAGGTTCTCTGACTCCAGAGTCAGCGCTCTATTTTTGAGGTCATAGCTATATAACAATTGGCAATGTAGACAAAAAATCAGTTATAAACTGTTATAAACTGTCCACATAACTAAATGGGACTAAATTTTTGACTGACTCGATTGGATATGTTGATGTCCTATGGACACACCTTTCCCTCCCCCAACATCCACACAGCATCGACCTAGATACTAAGTTAGGAAAGTTCAGAAAATGTCCTAAATAGAGGCTGAGCTTAAAAACCTGGCTAACTTTGAATCTGAAGTCTACTTTTATTGCTCCATCTCCTAAACACACTTCCAATGTCCTATAATTGTCCCAGATACCAGAAAAGGAGAAGTTTTCTAGTTGATATTTCCAGACTGAAAGTCTCCAGTTTATCAAGGTAGTAGCTATATCTCTAGCTGGAAATAAAGTAAAATTGCCACATTCTACAGAGCTATGGGAGACACTATACAGAAAGTTTTCTACCTCAACTACTTTGGGGATGAAACTCACCCATGCATTATGATTTTCTTCTCGAAAGGAAGAAAGCAATCTTACCTTCAGTCAAGGAGAATGGCAGAAGAACTCTAAAAGTGAGCCCAGAAGTGACATCACTGTCCATGATCTTCAATCTGCTCACAAAGCCCTGCAGACTAGTTTGTGGTGGAATGTGGAAAGACTTTACCCCCTCTTTTTCAGACTGCATACTTTGCTTTTCACCACCAACCTTTGTCCATGGCCAGAAAAAAAAAAGTCAAGTGTATATTAGTCAACTTTAAGAAGGGAATTCTGGGAAGGCAACTGAGGGACTAAGCAGCAGGGTCTCTATACTAATTCTGATGTGCTTAGGCAGTGGAAAAAAATTGATCCTTTCCTTGGCCTTTTCCCCTTAATCTAGCCTCTTCCTTTCTTGCTGAATAAGTGTTCTTCAACTTTGCTCTGAGAAAGCATCGATCTTTCAACACTCTTCTTTTTCAAAGTCTCAACTCTCTCCTTTTAGGTTGGAAGGAGCCATAATTCCCAATTAGAAGCTAATGTGGAAACTTCATGGACCCTGCCAGTAATCATCAACTTCTGGGACATCTTCAGGTGAAGAACAACTACAACCAAACAATTCAATGTCTTCACTCGTAGGAGACATTCACAAAACATTTAGTGGTCTCAAATGTTTTATGGGAATTATCTCCTTGGGATATTGGAATAGTGGAATTAGTAAAACTGAGTTCAAATTCCACTTCAGATAACTTACTAGCTGTGTGATCTTGGTGAAATTCTTTAACTTCTCAGAGCCTCAGTTTCCTCATCTGTAAAATGGAGATAATACTCAGACAACCTATCTCACAGGGTTGTTGCGAGAGTCTCTTAATTGGCTATACATTAAATTATCATTGTTTATTTATTTGTTACTACTAATTTTCATAAGTGAAGTAGGTCTTATGGGTATAACTCAGGGGTGGGGAACTTGTTGCCTCAAGGCCACATGTGGCCTTCTAGGTCCTTGGGTACAGCTTTTTGACTGAATCTAAGTTTTACTGAACAAATCTTTTTATTAAGGGGATTAGTTCTATGAAGTTTAGATTCAGTCAAAGGGCTGCTCTTGAGGACCTAGAGAGCCATGTGTGGCCTCGAGGCCACTGGTTTCCCACCCCAGGTATTAAACTATTCCCATTTTACTAATGGGAAAATAGGAATAGAGAGGTTACATGATTTTCCTAAGATCACACAACTGCAAAGCAACACAAATCAGCTTAGGTTTTTCTGACCTTGAATCCAGTGCTTTTCCCAATAACACCCCCAAAAAATAAGATTGTTGAGAGTAGGGGTTATATTATTCTCTGCATTTGTCGCCTAGGTCCCTAACACAGTACCTGGGTCACACACAGACATGTGCTTCATAAACGTTTGCTGATTGAATTACAATAGCTAGCAAATACACCACAGTTGCCTTTCTAGTCCAACAACAAGCATTTTAAGTGCCTATTAAGTGCTAAGTGCTGAGAATACAAAGACCATATGAAAAATGACCTCTCAAAAAAGTGTTTTGGCAACTACCCAACTTGACCTCTACACCTTAACTTGTGATTCCACTAAAATTAGAATAGGGTCAGTCCTCAGTACTTGCAGTCCTGGTACTGATTGCCTAATAGGCAAGCCCGGCCCCAATTCTCAAAATTAGTGATTGCTCATTCCACCAAGACTGGCCTCATTTATGGATATCTTTGCAAAGTTGTATCCTTGATGATGTCGTTTGAGAGATGATAGGGAATTTTCTCCCATCAAAATAAGCAACCTTCTAGTTCCCAGAAATGTTAAATTTGCTTTGCTTGAAGTTTAAAGCTAGTTTGTGACCTGAAAGATAGATGCCAAGATTAAGTAGAACTCGTGCCACTATAAATTAGAAAAGAAAAATGAGGGGGTAAACAGAATCCTTGTAAGAAATGCCACACAATGATGTTCCCAGTAAAACCATAAGGATTAAATATGTGGGATGAGTAAGAGTGAGGAATCAAGAATCACACTTGACTCTGGAAATTACCTAGCCTGACCAATTTTGTGCAGCCAGCTCTACTTCTCTGAAATTCTCTGTGCTTTAATGATGAGAGACCAGTGTACCATCTTCTGACTAAATCCTTCCTGTGTACTTGTGCAGTTTAAACTGAAGTGACTTTAGCTTACATCAGATTACATACAGTAATACTATGGCCTTGTTAAACAGTCTATGAACTCTAACTCCTCTGAGGAAAATACCACGATTCTGGGATATCTTATCTGGAACCAGTTATCTGAAGCATCTGGATAATGGCTTGCAGATGGCCATCACTCAGAAAAATAGGAAAGCTTATTTAAGCCTCCTTGGCTAGCTGAGGATATGCGGCATTTAAGGCATAATTGACTTTGGAAAATGGAAAATACATTTTAAAATGGTAGAGAAAATAAAGAGTGCTTTAAAGAGACAGGCAGAACCAGAAATTATTTGTGGATTTTATGTGTGTGTGTGTGTGTGTATATATATATTTCAGAATCATTTCCCAATTTACCTTTCCACCCCCCACCCAACCGTCAATGCCTTCCCTGTAACAAAGAAATATTTAAGCAAAATCTAGCCAACAAAGCAATCATGACTGGATATATGATATATATGACACACATGTACATATATATATATACATATATGAATAAATAGATAGACTATAGAAGCAAAAGTTTATATTAGACAATTAAAATTCAGTTCTCCAGTGCCTAGTACAGGGCCTTGAATATAGTAGGTGCTCAAAAAATGCTCATTGAATTGAATATACTGAAGCATAAGTTCAAAGGGATTTCTTTTTTTCTGTCTACAAAATAAAAAAAAATACTCTCAAACTCAGGCTTAATTTAAAAATATAATTTGGTTTAAGGAGAGTTACAAATTTTATCCATGTAAGGAGAATATTGATTTGAGTGTTGTTGTTGAAATGCTGGATAAAAGTTAGAAGTTCCATCTTGCTGAATGAAAATCATGAATAACCTGCATGGACCTAATATGATCTCCCAAGGGCCTGTCAAGAATTTAAAAGAATATATGCACCCAATCCAAATATCAGAGCAAGTTGACACCACAAATAAAGCAAAATACTTCGAAAGACAGATTTAATCCAAAGGGTTTTTCCTGTGTTGACTGGTTGGACTGTGGGTTTGACTCACAAAAGAGCTAAAACAGCCCTGAAACAATAAGCTAGATATTCTCTCTCTCTCTCTCTCTCTCTCTCTCTCTCTCTCTCTCTCTCTCTCTCTCTCTCTCTCTCTCTCTCTCTGTCTCGTACACATACACACACACACACTCACCTTCATCCCTTACACTCACACAAAAATACTAAAAAACTCCCAAAAAAACAACAAAACCAAAAACCTCAATATTTTCCTTAGAGTCAATGCTTGCCTGCAGAGGTCATATGGAAGTTGCAAATAATCGAATAGCCAGAAGATGGCAGTAATAGCTCAGTAGAACACCAAAAAATGGCAGCTCAGTGGAAAAATCAACCCAGCTGATGCCATCAGAAGTTGTCAATTCATTGCACCAATAGCTGGATGCTGCCAGCTTTGGAAGCAGAGAAGTATTCTGGTTGGGCTCCTGTCCCAGGAGTTCTCATTTTCCAAATTACATGTATTTCTCTCTCCATACCAGTGGCATGGGAATCTGTGGGAACCGGTGCCCCTGTGAGTGTGTGTATTGGAGGGAGGATTTTCTTTGCTGTTTACCTTACTATTCTGTTTAATTAAATGCCTCTATTTGATGTTAATGTGTCCACTGGTTTAGTTTGGTGAGGATGCTCACCCAAAGCAAGTATTTAACCTGATTGTCCCTTTAGGAAACCATCATCCTAGAGATTTTTTTAAAAAAGCATCATATTCCTCAAGTTGGTTTTACCTGCTTCATTTTAAAGCAAAATTACTGGTTCCAATTAGGATGATTACTGTGAAAGTGGCAGGAATAAGCTTACTCACCTTACAATGTAAGTGTAATGTCTTATGGAAGGTTTTCATCTATTGAGACACAAAATATAGCCTTGAAACGTGTTCAAGGCTTTTTGGTTTTGTTCCTGGGACTGCTTCAGGAACAGGATCTTCTACATGTCAATGTTTGGGAAAAAGTTGAGATCCAAGTTCAAGGCTACAATATGTTCTTCTAGGATGCATAAAATGTACTCTAGTAATCACCAATTGGCTAAGAAGCAAGCCCATACAAGGTGATAGTCTCCAAGTTCAGAAGCCTTTAAAGGCTTTTAAAACCAGGTCCTATTGACTCCATTTCTGTAATATTTCTCACACCTATGTCCTCTTCTTTATTCCCATTGTCACGGCCTTAGTAATAGCTCCTCATCACCAGCAATATGGTCTAACAAGTCTTCTTACTTCCATTCTTTTCCTTCTCTAATACATCTTTCATAGAACTACCAGAATAACCTTCTTTTGCACAGAACTGGTCACATCACTTCTCGGCTCAAAATTCTTCAATGGCTCCCACTTTTGAGTAAAGTTCAAATTCCTTAATTTAGCATTTATAGTACTCCACAATCTGATGCCACTTGACCTTTCTAGCCTTATCTCATCCATGCTCCACCCACACTTGTCTGCTTTGTAATCTTTGCATGTACTATGTCTTATGCATGGAATGTTTTGTCCCTCACCTACCTGGAAGTCTAACTCAAATGCTAACTTTTAGATGAACCCTAATCATTCAATCAGTAATGACCTTCCCTTTTTAGCTCTCACATAGCACTTTCTTTTTTACCTCCATGATGAATTCATCGTGAAATATTGATTATTATAGTCATCTGTGTTTGAGTATTATCCAGGAATGTGCTTTTAAAATTATTTCCCAAGATGTGGAAGCCATAACAGAACACAATACTTCATCTGAGATCTGAACAGGGCAGAATATAGTGGAAGATCACCTTGAATGTTCTGGATGCTACAGCATTCTTTTTAAAATTTATTTCCTAATACTAAATTTCATAAATACCAAATGAAATGAGCATTTCCTTATACATAATGCAACATAGAGTACAATTCTATTATATACATTCTATACTCTATACAGCTTACTTTTCTTTTAAAAAATGCATAATAAATTCAACATGTGACTTTTAAAGCTATTCTGCTAGTGTAATTCTTCCTGTTCTTTTCTGTGCTGTTCTTTTCTGTGCATTAAGAAAACCACACTTA